CTGGGAAACCGTAGCGACAACGCCGTGAAGAACTGGTGGAATGGCAGCATGAACCGCAAACGCCGTGGTCTCTCATCAACCCCGACTGTCTCCCGGACTTTCAGTGGCCGGGTTGAGGCACCGTATGCTCGGGCGTCAGTGGTGAGCCCAACTCGACCTCGCTTCAGCACTCGCCCATGGGACACCGAGTCTACAGCTTCTTCCGATGCATACTCTTCTCGCCGAGAATCCATGTCTACTACCGCCGCTCGTCAACTTTCTCCCATCTACACTCTCCCCTCCATCAACCGACCCATCGAAACCCCCTTGACTTCGCCTGCTTTCTCCGATGTTTCCAATGCTCTTTCCGTCGAGCCCCCTTCCATGGTCTCGGATCACAATTCTGTCTGCTCTTCTTCTCCGCGCACTCTTCCCTCACCGCAGCTATTACCGTTGCCGGTCGACATGCGTGCGCAGTACGATACCCGCCGTCCCAGCGTGGCATCCGTACATGTGGTCGAGGATTCACCAAGCTATGCCGGACGATCATTGGAATCACTCTCCGACATTGCCTCCAAACGGCGATGGATGGAACACCAGCCTACGTTGGCATCGTGGCACCAGCCCACCGATCTACCAAAGGCTTATACGCCCGAAGCTCCCCGCGATACTCGCATGGGGGTTAACAATCTCCTTAACTAAAATCGCAACGACCGCGATCTTTAGTTTCCTCTATTTTTTCTTGTGTCCATTTTCTTTTTTTTCTCTTATGACTGTACGACTTTCTTGAACCTGGCTTTCTCTGTTCTATACTTTATTCCCGTCCTTGTCCGGGAGATTTCCTGGCAAGGTTGTACATGTGTCAAAAAGCCCCTCGCTCGTTTCCTCGCTGGCGACAATCCTCTCCTTTGTTCCTAATGTGTATTACCATGGTTCGGTTCGGATCTTCAAAAACCTGGGTGTTTTCGGGTCAATGTGGGGGGTTTTCTCAATTTTTAGGGATCTCCTCTTTTTCGTTTCAGGGACGCTGGAAAAGTCCCGGGGAGTTTTGTTTTACGTGAGAAAGAACCACAAAAAATCAATGGGCTTATTCTCTGGGTTAGCACTTTTTTATTTTATTTTACAATACCCCTGCTGCTATAGGAATTTGAACGTTCAGTTTTATCATGATTTGATCGAGAACCAGTAGAAGGATTACACTAGAACTGTACATGTACAGATCGGACTTGCGTCTGGGCCACAGGCACAAGGATATCGAATCGATTAAGCCCTAGGTCGTACATCAGCTCCGCCCAATAATACTAACCATGGTACATGTCCCTCGATCTACTCCAGTTATTCACCTTCTCCACGGTTAAGTTTGGTTCAGGTAACATCGCTCTGATCTCATCTGTCAGATTCGCCTTCTTTGGTAACCGTCTACTGTTTCATGTATTCCTCGAGGGCGTAGGCTATTTTTCCGAGGAATGCGCCACTGGAAAAAAAACGACTCACGAGGACAGTACGCAAGGGATTGTAAAACGCCTGGCCAAAGTCGAGAGTGAGGCACAGGACCCACAGTATCTGCACGGCGCCTTTTTCATACAATGTGTTCTTGGTCTCGGCTGCACAGTGACGACGATCGCGGGCGGTTCAGAGCGTAGGTGCCTCGTCAACCACGGTTCTAGGGTTACAGAATATCACCTTCCAGAATATTTCGCCAAAATTTCCAGATCCCTCCTCTGATCTACGGAGGAAAAAAAAAGAAATAAACCGATGCACTGATATGAATAACTTCGTACAAATGATGGCATCACAAAAAGACACAGGAAAACTTGGTCGCCAGTTGGAAACTCTAATAACAGGTTCGTCCGTACTTGCAGGAGAATCATCCCCCAACGGTCCCGTCACCAACCACAAGCCCCCGATCGCTGACCGATGTGACACCATCTGCGCGTGAGTGGCGCCCCTCCTCCCCCCTCCCGCCACCCCAGCCAATAGCCTGATGCATCGATCGGACTGGTCATGTCTGACGGAATGAACGGCGGGGCTTTTGGGATCGTGGAGGGTGTTCGTGCATGCAAGCCCGGGGCGAGGGTTCCGGGGGCCGGAGCAGTTATTTTCTTCCTTGTACAGTAGTACCCTATAGCTAACGTTATAATATGCCTCAAAGCATGTACTCTGTAGCCGACGTCACTGTTGTTTTCAAATGTTTTGGAATGTGTGGTTTTGGTGGGATCCACCCGTTGTACAATACGGAGATGCACTCCCGAGCCCTACTGTATAGAGACGTACGGAATACGCCGTACCATGGTTTGCTGTGCCGTTTACTGTGTTAACGGTGGATCTTAATCAATCTGAAATCCGTTGAACCCCTGCTCTACACCGACATCTACGATCTCAGGAGTGCACAGTAGTATCTCGCCCGAGTGAGGATGGGTGAGCTGAACCCTACTGCAAAAACCGGATTGTCAAAGTAGCTCGGTTCGGATTTCTACGATGCAAACAATCACAAGGCGAATATGATATGCAACTAGGGACAGACTAAAATCAATATAAATAAATATAAATCAGAGTACACGGACGAAAATCAATCAACAGGCCCTTTTTTCAGCTGACGGTGATAACCGCCACCAAGTATGTCAGCCATCTAGACTCCAGACCCGCCCCGAGAAGCAACGATATGAAGCACGATCGAATCAGATGCTCAAAGAAGCAAGTCCTATTTCATACCGGATCATCGGGGGCACAGCAATCAATAGTGTACTGTGAGAGCAGATCGGACCTCACAAATCCTCCTAACCGTGCACTAGAGTGCTTACAGGAGTTACCCAAAAGCGTTAGCGAGGTTGCAAGTTATTTGGAATAACGGGGAATCTGCGTAATATATGTAAATGCCCGGTATATAATACAAACCACCATGATGGGATCGAGTCCCCACCATACACGTCCACGGGGGAAAGAAAAGCGGCACATCAGATAAAACACAAAGAATAAATTCCAGAACGGTGGACCCGGGAGACGGGACGAGGGAATCGAATCGAACCTGACCCCTGGGTTGCGAACAAAGAAAAAAATAAAATAAAAATGAAAAAAAGAACCAGGATCAAATCCCAACGCCATGGTTGACTTATTCAATAGTGCACACCGTCTACAGAATTATGACAGGGAGGAGCCGAGGGGCTGGTGAAAGGAAAATAGAATAGAGAAAATGTACGGAGTAGAGTTTGACCTGCCACTAGTCCGCCAGGACCAACAGCCGGCACTGGCGCTGACAGAGAAACGGGTGCCAAGACGCGAGAGAGATCTGGTACATACCGAAAGGACAGTAGGAAATCCATTCAGGAGGCAACGCCACCAAAAAAGGGGGTGTAAGAAAATAACGGTCAGGCAACGGCTGATATGTGGAGTTCTCCTCTATGTAGTTATGGGCATAACCATGGGCCACTTACGAAAGGATCAGGGGGAAATGAACCGATCTGCGTGTCGCGCATTCGATCCATACGTATCATTCTACAGCGGTTCTCCCGTTGTCCCAAGCCATCGGATTCGATCGACGCTCCCTCTCGCCCGACATGGCAGTCCTGACGCGAGCCCCATTTTTGAGCTGGAGACATCCACCGAGCTTTGAAGTTCTCCAGATGACGTAAGTAAACATACCAATACGGAACAAATAGTGAATCACACGGAACGAGAAACTAGATTGGAAATTTTGCATATAGTAGATTCTATAAGAAATAGAAAAAAAAATTATAAACCTTAGGCACGATCAATCTGATACCTCTCATCAAACAAGCTCCCAAGATTAACGCAATGCACAAAACTCAAATCGCCTAAAAGAGCATCCATGTGCAGGTCCGTAACTTGTGCCACAAAAATACATCCATTACAGCTTCTGATTGGTCGACGGCGGATCTCGGTGCAATCTGAGTACTATCACCATCCCGGCTAGCGTGTGTAAGTTACCCGTCCGTCGGGATAATGGACATCGAGCTCAGATCGAGTTCATATCTGATCGTCGTAACAAAGATTTACTTTGGGCCTACGTTCCCACTCAACTCAAAGAACCATGGTGTCGGGATTGTTTCTTTGTTTCTTTATCTCTGTTTGGAAGCTGTGAACCCGAGGACTGGGTCAGTCATGACGTCCTGGGCCTAGCGGCTGAGATCTAGAATATTGATAGTTCGCACTAGATTCACACAGGTGGCCTAGTCGACGGAGCTAGCACTATACGATCAACCAGTTTCCCAATGCGCATCTCTATGCGATGTATTGTAATGTGGCGTACACTACAGCGACCATCAAACCATGGATCAAACTATGCGTGCGAGAGATTTTCCAAGGTTTTCGCGGTGCCACAGTGCCACAGTAAGCAGGGTATACTAGATTTGGGCGTCTCCGAGTCCACATGGTCATTCCCCACCGGCGTCGAAAAATTGAGTCTAAGAAGCTTTTTGAAACGTGGTGCGACTAGCCAGAAAGCTGTTAAGAACCTGCCTGAATAGACTATAGATCCCAGATCCTGATGGATCTCCTGGTTTGGCCTTTGTCTCGATCGAGGAAGTGATTGCGAGCGCCTTATTTTTGGTCCAGATCATGGAGTTCAACTGTGGGATTTGTGGGATTTTAAGTTGATGCTGCTGTGGAACCGTGGAGAAAGCTGTACAAATTTGGGAAGGGATACGGCGAATACGATCGGGTTTCCCGAAGAAATCCGGAGTACGGACGGAGTACGGTGAATGTCATGCTTGGAATAGCCAGTTGACGAGATCTCCTGCAAAGACAGGACGAATGTCTTCACGATTTCAAATCTATTTGAATCGCAACCTCCGCATACGTGTACATTTCTAGCTCCATGCTCGAGAAATAAAAAAAATATAAGAAAAAAGAACCGCAGTGAAAAGAAACGAAGTCATCAAGAAGTGAAAGAAGAAATGAAATGAGAACCTGAAGCTTTCCAAATGAACCAGCAAGACCATGTAGATGTGATACAAAACCAAGAATCAAGAAAAAATCGCTCAAGGGGTATATCGCTGTGCACATCATAACCAGATATCGCCTTCTTCGCCATTCACCCATTTCGCCCACACAGCCTCATACGCAAGTTCTAGGTCACGCACCCAGCGCGCCGTATCAAACAGCCTATTCGTGTATCGCTGCAAAAACAACATCTGTCGCATATTCGCCAGTCGACCTGTAGCTCGGCCACTGCCACCAATCACGTATTTTAAATCCATGCAAAGCTGAATAGCTTTGTTCTCGTAGTCATCATCAGAAGAGGCAATCAGTTCCTCCCGGGCTCGTCTCCCGTCTTCTGTGCTTGGGAGTGCGCTTGTGAGGATACTGCTTGCCATGCGCGAGCACATCTTGTACTTGTATCGCGGGTATGTGAGCATCGGCGTACCGCTCCACAGGACATCTGTGGCCGTGGTGTGTGCGTTGCACTCGGGCGTATCGAGGAATAGATCTAGGACCTTGGCCCGTGCAATGTGTGCATTCTTCGGTGCCACGTCCGTAAATATAATTCGCGATGCCGTTGCCTCACCCGCCCATGCTTTGGCAATGTCTCGTAGGTTCTGTTCGCCTGTTTCCGGGAATCGGAGTAGCCAAAGAACGGCATTAGGAATGCGCGCCAGAATCCGCAACCACGTTCGAAATGTGGTAGGTTCAATCTTATCTTGATTAGCAGAGGTCAATGTTGTGGCTAGGAAGAAGTGCCTACCTTGTACAACTGATTAAAATTCCCAAGGATGATAGTATCATCACTCAGCTTGGGAAACAATTCCTTTCGCATTTGCCAACGTCGCATCTGCTCATCATGCCACGAGAGATGACGTTCCCCAGCATCAGGAGCACTCTGTCGATGGTCACAGCAAAAGAAAGTGTCCCGTGTAAAGACAATCTTCTCGCCGTAAACCCAGTTCTCAAGATCCTCCCCATTGTCTTCGTCAAGAAGGCGATCCTCAATGCGCGTGGTGCGCCGTGCAGGACTCAAAGTCTCTGTAGGAATCGAGATCTGATCAGCAAGGATGTAGTCACACCACTCCGCACCTAGGGTCCCTGCAAAGCCCATAAAAGACATGTGGATTGGTGCAGGCCGAGCGGCAAACACCTCATTACGAGCACCACGAGTATAGCCATTCAGATTGATCAGGATGTGGATCCCATCGTCGACGATCTGCTGGACCAAGCGGTCCACTGACCATGCGCTGGCGTCGTGGAAGACGGGTGCCTCTTTTTCGATCTGCTGGCGGTGAATGGACTTGTCACTGGCAGTGGTGGCATAGCAATACGCCGTTACCTTGTTTGGATTGTGCAGCCCAAATACCGACTGCATGAGGTGGGCCAGGGGGTGGTTATTGAAGTCAGATGACACATAGCCAACTCGAAGAGCTGGGTTCGGTGGGGCGGGTGGACGGTATACTGTAGCTGGAAGCCAGGGCAGCCGCAGAGTGGACGTTGAGATCCGGAGACCATTACGCTGTGAGATTTGACGAATCTGCTTCGCGGACAGCGGGCAGGTGAAAGTGTGAAAGGGCAAGACGGTGGGCGCATTTGGCGCACTCAAAGCAGCAGGAAGTTGGGGCCGACGGTACTTAGATGCAGGATAGTCTTTGCCATAGACATACCGATCTTGGTACCATTGCCATGTGATGGATCGGGTGGCACGTTCAATAAGCCGAACGATGCGAGACCCTTCCCATTTCTGTCCTGCCCATGACTTCAGGACTTTGGCAAGAGCTGATCTCCGATTTCCTGTGAAACTTGATTCCAATGCATTCGCCAATTGCGCACACAGTTGTTCGGTTGTGCTTTGAGTCAATAGCCCTCGGCCCCAGTATTCGCCTTCGCGAAGCTGCCGGTCAACAATGTCCACAACACGCTTAATCCAACCAGCGCCTGTGTCATTGGCCTGGGCATCCCGAAGCATGCCTTTGTCATCCACATGCCATCGATCATGAAAGCCACGTCCATTCACAATGCCACCACGACCAACCCAATTGCACACCGAGTTCAACGCGTTAGCTAGACCACAAGCTGCTTCGGCGAACTCTGGATTCACCTTGACGGCGCGCTTGTAATAGGTAATAGCGTCGTTGACTCGGCCAGAATCCTTGACAGCGTTTGCCAAGTTGGCCAATGCGATATCGAAATTGCCATCACACTGAACCGCTTGCTCATACATCTTAATAGCAGCATGGAGTTGACCAATGTCTTTCAGAAGGCTGCCAAGGTTGGTGTACAGGTGTGCATGACGAGAGTCAAGATGCAGTCCGTAATTATAGTATGCCAATGCCAATGATATACCGCTTCCGGGGATCACACCAGGGATCTCTGGATGTTGGCTTTCTCCGTTGGGGCGCACAAGTCCACGGGCCGGGGTATTGTTCTGAATACCAGCGAGCAAAATACCAACATTGTTCGCTGTCGATGGACTTGGCTGGAGGGAAAGGGAGAGGTAGTAAAGAGCTAAGATGTCTCGAACGCCAGGCGTGGACCTCAAGGCTCCAGATGACACGGTCGCCATCCCGTCCTGGTAAATCTTTGCCAATGAAAGCAGAGAGTTACTAGTAGTCGAAACCGCCGCGTTTCGCGAAATGCCTTCTGCCACATACTTGAGACCGGGCGGGGTCCCATTGGCAGAGAATACAAGTTTCGACGTTTGCAAAGCTCTATCCGGATACAAGAGTACGCTCTCATTGCCCTCCTCTGGCTGGTATGCGGGGCCTGCGCCATGGGAGAAGGCAGCAAAAATCTGCTTGATGAGGCTTTGGATACCATGCCGCCTCCTGCCAGCGGCGATCAAGACTGCATCCTCAAAGGCTCCAGCAGCTTCAGCATTGTCACCAAGAGCATAAAGCATATTGCCCTTGGCATGGACCAGTGCCAGCATCCGCCCATTATCCGAGCCAGGAATTGCGTAGCCACTGGTCGCGAAGCCAACTGGAGTCGCATCGACAGAGCCCAGATTCAGATTCTGGACACGGCCCATGTCATCATCGTAGTCGAAAGATGCTTTGTCGTACATGCAGACATCTGATACGTTACTCTCTGCGTCACTCTCTGGCTCACTAGCATGCTCGTCTGTCTTGAAGCAATCGCCATCCTTTGGATGACGCAGCGAGTTTTGTACAAAATCAATGATATTGACCGCCTCTCGACCACGATGGCTACTGCAGAAGAGCCCTATCAAATGCTCAACAGCTTCAAAGAAGCTCGGACGCAATTTGACAGCACGCAGCCAATGTTGCTCAGCTTCTTCGCGTCGGTCGAGGGCGAACAAAGTTGCTGCTAGATTAGATATAGCCTCCACATGTCTGACTCTAAATTAGCATCATGTCTAGAAGAGATACAATATATACTTACGATGTGTCGCGTGCAATAATCCGAGAATACCACCGCAGGGCTTTGTGGTAATCTCCCAATCCATAAGCCAGACAGCCTCCAAGTAGCATGCCGTCGATCCACTCCCAATGGCTTTCGTGGCAGAGGTGAGATAGCATTTCCAAAGCTGATTTGGCGTTGGCGACCGGGGAACCCTCATTAAAGAGAGAGGTTGAAAACCGTGATGGCGCTCCAGAAAATCGTCCGGCATCATGTATCCGTGTGTCCAATGTGCGAGGGTGCTGAGGAAATTGATTTAGTGATGGCCGCCGATTATGGCCATGACTTGGTAGTACAGTATTAGAGTGAGGATCATTAATTCTCGGGAAGCCAAATTTCTGCCGTTGTAAATCATGTTGACTAGACGGGTAGCTGTTGTGACGAGTAAGTTCAGGAGGATTATTCTGTGAAAAATCAAGCCCCGGCTGACGAGGGGGCTTGGGGTAGATGCTTGGTTTCAAAAAGCGTGGGTTCTGGCCATCAGCCCCATTTGACATGCTGTTGCGCCGAGCCTGGTGAATGGTTGCAAGGAGGTCGACATAGACCCCATGGGCCCACGACAAGATCTTCTCCTTGAACTCCACATTGGCTGGGACGGTTGGCCCTGGGGCTTGGATGGGTGCCGGACGAGTGTTGTTCCATGACATTTGTTCATTATGTAGAGGATTTGATGAGTATGATGACACAGGTCGACTGATTCGAGTGTGATAAGGTAACTGTTCAGAGTGACGAGGGGGGGAAATGGGCTTTTATCATCGGATCCTGGGTTGGCATCCCAGGCTGTTGGCCCCATGCAAAGCCTGTATCCGCCCGACTAGCGAGTGGGATTTGAGGCTGATTGAACGCTGGCTGGCTAAGATCATAAAATGCCTGGGCGTTCGGCTCGGGCGTTCCAAATCGCGGCTCCCGAAAAGCCACAGGACGATATGGGATGTAGGCCCCATCAGGCCAATATGGGCCAAATGGGCCCGTGCCTGCTGACGCGGTCGGCCCCACGCAAGGCTGGAGGGTCGCTGGAAGAACGGTAGGGATATAGGAACCATTCTGCAACAGAAACCGCTGCGAGGCCTGCAGAGGCAAACTTTGGTTAAGCATCGAGTCGATCCCGGGCGGGTAATTCACCGGGCGGACCCAGCTTGTGCCGTTTACATCTTGAACTACCTCTCCAGGAGCGATAGGATTGCACGCCTCGTTCTTGAAGACCGGGGGAAAGTTCATATGTTTCGAGGTGGATGGGTCCATGATCTGCTGCTGCCAGGTGTCGGTCGGCATGCCCTGGGGCGAGAGGAATTGTCCCGAGTCCATGGGCGAAACCAAGATGTGCTTTGTCGCGGGTTGGAGGGTCGATTCGCCTAGAGTTCCATCGTAGCCGGCAGCTAGGGTACCGTTCGGGGTCTTCCTTCGTAGTGCATGTTCGCCGGTGGCATTCGAGCCAGACCCGGAGGCATCGCGAGCGTCCAGTCGTTGTACGGGGTGTGGCAGTTGGAGACGTGATCGGGATGGGTTGAAGAAAGGTTTCGAGGGATCGTTGCGGGCGGGGAAGGCCGGGTCATTCAGGTCGTACGGGGGTTGGTGAAGGGCATCGTGGGTAGGATAGTGATGGAGGTGGTGCGGCTGAACCGGAGGGAATGGCGCGACGGTCGGAAACATCTTGTGGATTTTGGGCGGTCTCTTTTTTATCGAGATGTCTCCGATTTTTGTCGTGGGGAAGTTTCCCTTGACGATTCAGAATCACCTCCTCGACCACCACAATCCCCCTCTCGATCTCTCGATCTCTCGTCGAGCGGGCGGTCGAAGGAGCGGGAAAAGAAGGAAAAAACAACAGGGGTGTTGGTTACCAAGATGAATTCAACATCAAACGCAGAAGTTTAAATTCGTGGGTAATCAACAAGCATCCTCCTTGTATCGTTTCCGACACCGCATTATGGGGCACAGGGCGAGAGAGAGCAGGGCTGAATGTCGATTCAGCAGGCTCGTAATATCGTCATCGAGGGATTTTGGATCCACGCGGTGATAAAGGGCCAAGTGGTTTTAAAGATGATCGATCCCGGGCGGACGCAAGGGAGAAGGGGGTTCAGCTTTCACTGCAAGATCCGGGGCCAATGAAGGGCAACCTTGGCAGGTATTGGAGGTGTTGAAAGGATAGAAAAAGTAAAGAGGGGAGAGAAAGAAAACGAGTCCACATGTATAGTAGAGTGGACCTGGGGCCTGTTTAGCCAAGACGAGTGGGGGATATGAAGGATGCGGATCCTGGCCACTCGGTCCCTGTTTATTCGATTTCTCTTGACTACCACGCACACTACTGGCTTTGTCTACACGGTGAGCCTGATCTCTCTTTGAGGAGTGCTAGTGCTCTATGAGTTCTTCAACTATCCGTATGCGCAGCTTCGAAGTTCCCCCCCCCTTTCCACTTCTTTCTATCGCACTCTAGCTCCACTGACCCACTTGATCCAACGGCTGAACCTAGAGTCTCCATCTAGCGGCCAACGTCAGTAGACCATTGGCTCCGCTCGGACTAGTCATGGATCGGTCCCCGCTGTGATGATCGAGTCGAGCCTTGTACGCGCTGATATTATCTATGTATACCGGAACTGAGATCCCTAAAATCAAATCATAGGGGCAACCCCCTGTTCGCCTCACGATTCTTTCCTCAAGCGAATGCCGGGGTGAGGAGATCTTCGATCTGCTGATTTCTCGACGAATCCCGTACATGTCTCGGGGAAGTTCGTATAGAAATTCCTCAAGGCTAACGCTCATACGGTCGCACTGCGGAATGATCGAAATCAAGATACTCTACACATTTCCCCAAGATCGGCAAACTCTCTCTCTCTCTCTACTTTAACAGGTATGCGGGTCGGGTGATACAGAAGCGGAACCGCACACCGGTTGGAAGCCAAAATATACATCAACCAAGCTCATCTCGTCGACCGGGGACCGACATTTCATCTGTCCAACGATCAATATTCCCCGACCTTCACATTTCAAGCTCCAGGGCCTCTGTAGTCGTCCGTACCGAATCCAGAAGGGACGCAGACGAGAATCCTTGACCAGGATTGAAAACAAAATTAATTGGAATTTCTTGCTTTTTCTTGGTCTCCACCGAACTCCCCCTAGGTGGACCAACGAACATCACCCGCTATGTGCTAACAAGGCCAACCAGCAATGATCGTCGGGGTGGTGGAGTCGGTGGACTCCTGCCGGGGCCAGTGCCTAGGACGCCCGGGTGCGCTCCAGTCCTTCGGTGTGCAGTGCTGACAGGTCCACTGGGACACGTACTATGGAAGTGATGAGTTTTCCTCCATCTATATCCTATTCGGTGTTATGGTTTATTCCAATTGCTTATCAGCCCCAGAGGCCAATATTGAAACCTTGAGGCATTTCAAATGCCGTGGCCCAATCATTGCAGGACTTAAGGGCCAAGTCTAGATCCAAGGTACGAAGCTGTGGTTTGTTCGTGCATCGTACACACCGGGAATACGGTGTTAGCGACCGTTGGGGGTTTCGGATTCCGGTGCTGAGTACATCCATGTCTACCGAGGGGTACATGTGCATATACATTTGGGGGCTGTGCAAACAGAAACAGAAAAGAAAAAATGATGGTGATGATTCTGATTAGGCGTGCTATACCCAGGTGTGCCTATATTATACATGTGAAGATATATATATCCACGCTTACAGGAGAGACTGTCGAATGCAAACACTTGGATTCTGCGGGGAAGACCCTGGGACCAGACTAACGGATTCAGGACGATCGACATTGACATGAATGCGACATGGATGTCACTGTATGGACCTATGCAGCAGTATCTGATTTGAGATTCTGCTAGTCGTGCAGTGGACTGGCATATCATACGCAAGTAGGCGTGACCCAGGCAATGCGGCCAGCCACAATGTACGCGGTTGAATTGGAAAGGGCTAGAATCTCGGGAACAGGAGTGGGGGGTTTTTTTTTTCACATTTGGATTTCATTTGAACTTCATTTGCTTTTTCAGTCTTCAAGACATCTACAATCTATCTAGGAGTGGTCTACAACCTACATCAAGAACAGAAAAGTCTGAATCTCGAGATGTAGGCCCAAGAAATGGACCATGGTATCCACAAGGACTTGACACGAGGTCAACTCCCGAGAATACCGCGGTGAGTAATGGGCCAATTGCTCTCCTCTGCTTAAAATAAGCCTATACCACGCAGTAATATTCAGACCTCGTAAGGAAAGAACGGTAAGGGCCAGAGTGTATCAGAGGGTTCCGGAAAATGGGGCTTGCGCCAAGATGATCTAGAAGTCTTTCAAACAACCACGTCGCCATTGGAGTGCAGCGAGAGGAAATGAATGCAAGATTGGAAGGGAGATTGGAGCATATACAAACGGAAGGGAATCGGAATGCGAGTAATCCAATGTTCATTTCGATCACTCGCAGGAGCGCAAAAGAAAGTGGTATCAAGTCATGACTCATGAATAATTTTTTTTTTTTGGTTGAGGCAACAATCGTATTCTGCAACTAGGACCGCTGTTACGCAAAAATCCAAACCGTCACAAAAGAAGGTAGCTACCTCCCTGCATTCGAGAGGATAATTTATTCCTCGGGAACTAGAACCTCGTTAGTGGACAAGAACCAAAGCATGAGGGAAGGACGAAACATACTGTCAATCTCGCCAGCCTTGATATCGTCAGAGACATCCTTGGGGCTGCGGCCATCGACCTGGCAGCCGACGGAGAAAGCAGTACCGAGGATCTCGAGAACGGTACCCTGGAGAGCCTTGGCCATGGAGCGAGAGCGCATCTGGCGGGCAATCTCGATGATGTCGTCAAGGGGAATAGACTTGGAGTGCTTGATGTTCTTCTCCTTCTTGCGGTCACGAGGAGGCTCCTTGAGGGCCTTGATGACCAGGGAAGAGGCAGAGGGAACAACCGAGACGGCGGCCTGACGGTTCTGGATGGTGAGACGGACAGTCACACGCAGACCCTTCCAGTCACCAGTGTTCTTGGCAATATCTTCACCAATCTTCTTGGGAGACAGACCGAGAGGACCGATCTTGGGAGCCAGCGCAGATTGAGCACCGACTTCACCACCAGTCACACGCAGGTGGATGATCTTCACCTCATTGGGGTCGAACTTGGGAGCTGTGAGTAGAAATTTACATTAGCCGCTATAGAATAGCTGACCCAGGTGATGATACTTACGCATGGCTAGTGCGAAAGGTAGTCGATCTGCCTTGGGTTGTCGAAGGGGTGGATGGAGAAGAGGAAAAGAAAATTAAAGGAACGGACGAGAGAAGTCTATCACGGCAGCCGGACCCACAGGGGCTAGTAAGCGAGTGACCCAATGAGGCAGCTAGGGCAAACCCTACAGCGGCCCAGCACTCCGTCACGTGACCATGGTTCAAGGCCCAGAGGCTCTAGCCATCTGGGGTATCATGTTGATTGCTTGGCCATACGGAGTTGAAAGGTTTCCAAGGTTGTCCCACCTGGGTAGGAATATATGTAAATTGAACACTGGTATCAATCCATTCAATCTACTACTATATCGAGGCAAACACTTGAAAATTTAAATCACCGCTAAAGATACACAAGACCCGAGGGGTCAGAGACCGCCCTTTGCTCTCATGGCTATCATGTATAAATGACTAGCTAGTGCCAGATACCGCGAGTCTAATGGGCAGTTAGTATGTGTTCTAAAACAATATGTCATCTATTCTTGCAAGAGGAAAAGCTCACTTCATCAGGTGATCCATGAATGTCTGCAAAGAGACGTCATCGGTGAAGATGGTTTGCGACGACACACCACCGCCGTAGCCTCCAGTAGTGTGGGTAGTCGATGGGTTCAGCTTAGACAATAGGAAACGGGCCTGAGAGCCACCGGCATCACAGACAATGAATCGGGGAAGAGGGAAGCGCTCGGCAATAAGTTCCTGCAAAATTGGTCAGCTTGATCATTTGTGATGAAATTAGAAAGAGAATAATTACCCTGGCATCCTCCTTGGGCTGCTGTAAAAGTGCCTTGAGGTTCTCGTAGCCCTCCTGCTCCTGGTAACCAGCTTTCCGCCATTCGGCAATGGTCTCGCCGTGGAAGATAAGAATGTGGAAGAAGGTGTCGAGGAGAAGAATGTGCTGGGGTTGAATGGATGCCGAGTCCAGCAACACGGGATTGGCGCCTTCCTCTTCCAGAGAATATGAGTCCAGGGTAGGTTGAATCATGACAAGTGAGTCACCGGCATCCTCATGGTTCAAAACGTGACGGTAGAATGCCGTCTCATCGGGGGAGTTGTTGAAAACTTGCAAGAACTGGCTTCGTCGTAAGTGGAACATAAACTGAGGGTAGAGGGTGAAGTTCTTTTCCAACCGGAATGATGTTGGGTCATCCTTCCGGTAGTCAGCGAAGCGTGAGCAGAGCCTGATCAGCATGCGGTCCACCCAGCGGAGCACATCAGGACCATCATCCACTTCCGCCTTGAAGACAGCAATTCGAGCCATGAGCACCGCTGCAGCCTCCTGGTCGAACGACTGTGCCAGTGTCGGGTCACCAGCGGGGCCACTCAGAGGCCGAGCGGTGGTAGTCACGCGCAGGTGGTAATGCCCGGAAGAGTGCTGGTAGTATGTCAAGAACTGCATCATGCCCCTTTGAGGACCAAGCTGCACAGCAGTGGGACCACCCTGGTTGGCAATTTCAAAGTAAATACCGTAACTTGAAGATGGGTCAATACCGCACATCTTCCAAGCACATGTGTTTCCAATACCACACTCGGTTTCACCAACAGCACTAGACTTCTTGTTCAAAGAGATAGCGTGACCAATGAGACCGGTGACCTTGAGCTCCTTGGTTGTGAGGACCTCCAATGAGGCATTGAAGCCCATGAGAAGGTTATCGTTGGCGTCCTTGTCGAATACCCGAATAAAGGATTGCTTGAACTGAGATGAGGTGAAGCTGTCCGTCAACAGCATGTGTCCGCCAGTGTAGTTAGACAGGTTCTTCATTTCCAAAAGACCGACTTGATCAAGACATCCAGCGAAAATGTCGACAATGTGGCCGTTGTTGGCAGCGCGCTTAGCGAGGTTATCGTAGAACTAAGCTGGTCAGTATCTGAATGAGGCATGAAGAAAAACTAAGACCCACCTTGACAGCCTTCTTGTAGTACTTAATGTTATCGCGATCAATGTCGTGGTGGGAACGGATTGGCTCCTTCAGCTCGGGCGAAACAACATGGCCGGGACCTTCAGTAGCGGCACCACTGACAAAGTTCATGATGCGGGCACCGGCATTTTGGAAAGAGCTCTCTAACAAGCTAGTCGCAACACTCAGAGCCACACCGGTACAGCGCAGGGGACGCTTATCGTTTGCAACAGGCCAGGGGTCATGCTGCAGTTGTTCGAGGACACTGGTGATCTGGAACTCGGCCTGCTGAACGGGCAGAAGGAAACGCGCAGCAGGAGGGAGAGGAGGGCGAGCTGGTTGTTGTTGAGGTGCACCAGGGCGAACACCGTGGGCGAGGCCTAGCATTTCCTGTACTTGCTTGGCGGTGTAGTCCTTGTTTCCTCGGAAGACATAAGACTTGGCACACTCGGTGTAGCCGAGTTCATGCACTTGAGCCTGTTCGATCACAGTCAATATACAAATGCGTTTATTTCAAGAGGCGTTCCGCCCTACCATAGTTCCATAGGTAACCAGACCAACGAGCGCATTGGGCGGCAGCAGAGACAAGCTCATGATGAGCGCATCCTTGAGCGCTTGCAGACTGTCATCCTCCTGGCAAGTATCGACAACGTAGAGGAAGATCGGGGGAGCTGGGGCTGGGCGTGCCAATTGGTACTCGATCGTGGTGCTCGAGGGGTGGAGCTCGGGGGGTATTGTGTTTTCCGTGATATCCTTATAGTGAGGCGGCAGAGGGTTGCGCATTAGACAGAAGGGGCAAATCCAGATTCGTGCGCGGATATCGACAGTTCTAAACACTGAGTCAGTTCCAAACACAATCCGGGGATCAACGATACGGGCACATACGCATATGGGTTGAGCACAGCCCGACAGGGCTGCTTGCAAGTGACCGGCTCATATTGAAGCAATGGGGAATCGGGCTTCTCCTTGAGGGGTGTATAGACGGCAGCAATGGGAACGACCAAGCGGGAGGCCTCCTAAATCCGGGGTCAGTGGGAAAGACGCGACATTGAGGGGCGAGCAGGGTCCAATCCATCACACACCATGCGAGAGCTCGGGAAAGTGTTCCAACTAAGCCGGACACCATCGCGGTCCTCCACGTCACTCCATTGATCCTTCAGAGCTTCGAAATCCATGGTGGGCAAGAGGTTGGTGAATTCGGGGGTCCGGTGTTGACCAAGGGGAGAGGGGGGTTTGTTGTAGATGGAGCAAACCAAGGCGCACAGAACCTCGGTATGGGACAATACTAGAAAATTTTAGATCAATAGACCACACCGGAGCTTAACCCAGATCCCAATAACAAAAACCCCGACGTCAGCTTTCGGGGAGATGATCGAACGGGTGGAGGGAGTTGTGTGAGGGAGTGGTTGTTCCCCGACTAAGGCCAGGTTGCAGCGCTACTGGTTGCTGTTGTCACCCGTACAAACACAAGCGCCGCAATCGATTGACACCTCAGGCCAAAGTGATACCTAATCTGGCTTAGTAACCTCGAGGAGCAAAAATCCTTAAATTCTCGAGCTTCCGCTCCTTTTCCTTTCTTTTTCCATAAATTTTTCACGCCGGCAAAATATGGCATTCTTGTCATCCGACGGCTTCTGTCTCTCTATGACGAAGCTGTCATCGCGTCGAGCGGAGATCGACTTGACCCGTTGCTGGGCACCTGGTTTTGAAAGGTCATTCTGATCCTTTCGGATTTATTGGGAATCAGCTGTGGTCACATCCCTCTCCCGTAATATATCAAATTATTTTACTCTACAATGAGACAACATGAATCATACGCTTTCCTTTCAATCAACAAAAACCCTACCTAAATGCATTCAATGAATAAAGTGTACAATTTCTGACGCCCAAAACGCCCGTTGAACAGCCTTGGACGCGATGGGAGGCCGACATAACGTCATAAAAAAAAACAAGAAGCGTAAAAGAAGTTAGTCTCGCCCAGGAGCCTTGGCCAGTTGCTTCAGCAAATAGCTGCGCTTGAAGTAGACATTGGGATGCACAATGGTGTCCAAGTCAGCTTGGCTCCAGGTCCCATCTTCCTTGACCTTTTTAATCTCATTCTTGTGCGAAAATTCGAAAACGCGATTGCAGGCAATGTGGTATCGTTGTTTGCCCACATCCTCTCGGACCTCACGCAAAATGCCTTTATCATTGACGCCAGTTGTCTGGAGCAATCCAACCAAGTTATCGACAGAATAATGACGGTATGGACATCCGTGCGATTGACCAATGCCGACGTTGTTATCACCCAGGATCTTCTGGCATGAATAAGGTGGGTAACCACGACCCCGACGGGCATCACCACCGACATCACCATAGGCGTGGCGGATGTTGTATTTATATTGAGAGTTGAACTCGTCATCCGTCTTGCCCCTGAAGGACTGGCGCCAGAATAAAATGCACTCTTCTAATGAGAGACCGATGCCTTTGAGGAAGAGCGTATACTGGAGTCGTCCAAAGTGCTTCAGGTGGTGGTTCTTGCGCAAATTCATATGCAAGTTCCGCATGCATAGTGGGAAGTGCTGGGAGAGCTGATCAATAGAGCTGGCAGTAATTGCCGTCCCATCGACATGTCCTTCGCCCTCGGTAAATGTAGAGTCGGCGCTACCAAAGTTCTTGGAAAGATGGTTCAAGATTGGAGTCAGACGGTCATCCTCGTCTAATCGGGGCAGGGCACGGCTCGTAAGCTTTGTGAGATTGTCAGTCAAGGTTCATGGATATCCTTGGGCTCAATAAATCCAACGTACCTCAAGGGACCGTTCCAGGCGTGCAGTGAACTCGGCCATGATCATGGCAAGCTGTTCTCTCCCAGGAACATAGGCCTTACCCTTATTCAGGAATACAGAGCGCCGTTCAACCAGCTCGGGTACCTTTTCCCAGTCCACCTTATACCATGTCTCCTCATCCAGTCGACGCAGTCCTGGCGTTGAGCTGATCAGGTGATCGGCCAACCCATTCCGCTCCTCCTCGCTCACGGACTCCCAGTCCAAATTCAAGCTATCGATAAATGCTCGTCGTTCTCGAGAGTCATCCCGCTGGAAGCGGAATCGGAAGAGCATCGTTTCAGCCCGTGCAAATCGTCGACGGAGATCCTCGGTAGCCGAAAATGCCAAACGTAGGATAAAGTGGGAGTAGTGGTCCTTTTGGCGCTCATTTTTCAAACGCTGGTCCACGGTGCCATTGGAAGCAGAAGTATTGGAGCCGAGAGGGAGATATTTGTCGAGAAGGGGGGTGATGTGTGTTGCGGTCTCCGCGGGGGTCTTGTTGCGATAGGAGCATGCTTCGATCTCGGCGAGAACTGCATAGCAGTATTAGCAAAAGCGATAGTTCCAGATAGATATAGCAGTCTTACCCTTCAGCCGGTCAATAGCCCATTGCTCAAATTGCTCAAGCGTGATCTCGGCCGTGGGCGGCGTGTCATACAAGTTCAGACGGTGTGGGTAGTCCTGTTGCTTGTAAATTGGCGTGGCAAACTGTCTTTTCTTGGGATCGATGATAGCCCGGCGTTTTGAGTCAATTCGATGAGCATCTTGACGAATCATTGTGTCGGCTATACACAGGTTCAGTGTGTATGTCCTGATGGTAATGGTGGGACTTCAGCTTATCGCGATCACTAAATTGCTGCGACGCGACGCGATCCACGCGACCCAAGTCCACGTGACTTGGTGTTCTGCTTGCGGCCTCAGGATTCAGGCTTGAATCGGCCAAAGGCCTTTGCTTCTTATTGGTTTCAAGGGAAATGCATGTGAGAGCTAGAGTTGGGCATGTGAGAGCTAGAGTTGGAGCTGGAGCCGAAACACCAAAACAACGTCTTCCCCACCTTAATACTCGTGGCCTCATACATCTCTTTGATATATCTTCGATTTGAGGTCAACTGTTCTTCCCTCGGGACTTCACCGGTAACCAAAGACAGGAAACCCGCGTGCAACCGCGCCCCCTCACCGGAGAACCGGGAAATTGGGGAAATTGGAGCTTGAGCAATAAGTGCTAGATAATCGTGCTCATATCTCAGTTGATTATACATTCTTATCCTGTCATGCACCCGCGATAGCGCATCTGTGGTTGAATTGCTTCTGTACTCAACATTCCTCGGCATCCTGTCATCTACGCGGCAGTTCCAGGAACGCTTGGTGTAATTTCATAGACGAGAAATCACAACACCAACACAGCACTTCACACACAATACGTCTCAGGATGTCGCAAGCTACTAGGCAGCTTCAGAAGCCTGCCCGGATTATTCTGATTGGAGCACCTGGAGTAGGAAAAGGCACACAGTCAGAGCGCTTGTTGTCTCGCTTCCCGCAGCTGGCCTCCATTAGCTCCGGGGATCTTCTACGAGAGAATGTTCGCCGAAGGACACCACTGGGTGAGTGCGATTTTGTCTATGTGTCCGAACTGCATGCGCAATAGATCAATGAGTGCTAATTGCTTTCCAATAGGTATTGAAGCCGAGGCTGCAATGCAGTCCGGCAACCTGGTTCCAGACTCCATGATCCTCAACCTCATCTCCTCCGAATTGAAATCTAAGGGCTGGCTCAACCCCTCACCCGGCTCGTCCTCTACAAAACCTATCAATGAATCACACACACTATCACCCACCGCTTCATTTATCCTCGACGGATTCCCCCGAACCGCTCCGCAAGCAACCAGCTTGGATACACTAGTCCCAGTCAACTTTGTCGTGCAACTTATTACACCTCCCTCTGTCATTCTCTCTCGGATCGCATCTCGATGGGTGCATGAACCTTCTGGGCGGGTATACAACACGGATTTCCACCCTCCCAAAGTCCCCGGCAAAGACGATGTCACCGGTGAGCCGTTGACCCAGAGACAAGACGACTCTATCGATACATGGAGGCAGCGACTGCGCAAGTTTGAGGAGACAAGCCGCGCTTTGATCGAGCACTACGAAAGTCGTGGTTGCGTGTGGCGTGTCGAAGGAAACAGCAGTGATGAGATTTCCCCACAACTCTTCGCAGAGGTCGAGAGGCGGTTCTGCTAAGACACAGGCCAATACCCTTCCCAAACCTATCCCGTCTTCTTATTGAACCGTTTTGAAGTTTCCACGCTTTTTTTCGAGGTTTATTTCGGGCTTTGATATACCCTGTTATGCTCCTGGGCCCGACTGGAGCACTTTGGATAGCCATTCATGATTTTGTGTACCATATTATACACTCAGATTAGGTCCAAGGGTCACATCCCCTGAACCAGAATTATCTCTCTCCAAATATAAATATATATATGTATATACACTGTAGTCATATCTCGTCATGCGTACATATAAAAGAAAATCACACCGACGTAGATAAATTACCTACTTCGATTTGCCTGAGCTATCCACATCACCCATCCCCATTCGAGTCTTATATGCCCTCGGACTCTCCCAATCCGACCCAATTCGTTTGTAATCCTTCCACAAGCCCTTATATTTCTTTCTTGCCCACCATTCAGCTTTGCGATACTTCTTCTCATTCGCCGGACCCCCAAACTCAGCCCCAATCTTTGCCTCGTAAACAGTCGCGAGTCCACGTTTCAGCATCTCATAAGAAACATCCCGGCGTCGAAAAGGCGGGAAATCGAATGCGCGCCGCACAGACACACTACCTACAACGCGGTTATATTGATCTTGTCGGTGGATAGATGCACGTATGCGGCGACCAAGTAGGTACGAGGTAAGCCAGGCGTGCGCATCGCGAGCGAAGGGCTGTTCAGGCCGACCGAAATGAGCTAGTTCAGGGGCATCTATACCAGCTAGACGAATGTGGATCTGAGCAAATAAGTTCCCGTTAGCCAAAGCAAAGTTTGACGCCTCGCGGCGCAAGGTGTAAACAAACGCACTGTTTTATCCTTCAACTCCTTTTTAGTAGTGGGAACCCTCTTCCAAGGTAACCAGCCCCAGCCAGCTAAGCGTCCACCGGGTGTGTGATAGATCCTGAAATTATCTCCATCGCCAACGCTGGTAACCTTCCCGAATATTGTGCGGCGGCGCAGCCAGGATGGCGAGATGCTAGGTGCGTCGGGGATGCGCCGGAGGTAGCTACGGTGTAGACGAACGCCGAGTAGGATACCGCTTGTGAGGAGGATAGTAGGAATTATGGTCTTAGGTTCTATGAAGTCGGACCAACCAAGAAAAGAGCTGGGGGATTGCGGTGTGGGCGTGGAAAGGGAGGAGGAGCTTTCGGAAGTGGTGTTTTGTTGTTGTTGGTCGTCATTGTTTGACTTGGAACTCCATGGAGGCCATCGCATATCGGCCCATGCCCCTGCTTCTGGCAGAGAGGAGAGTAGAATGAGGGGAAGTGGTTTGTTGGGACGAGGTGATCGCCGTGGGGAAGCTTGAGAGCGCGCCAGAGGGCGATCGTTGCCAGATACGTCTATGCACCGCGGTCATGATTTTCCCGCCCGAGGTGCCGGCGCTTTATGAGAATTATACAGATCAAACGTGAAAACAAATACTGAGCAAGCTACCTATGACCTCAGAGTAAATTATATTACTGCACGGCAAATTCGAGGTTCTACTCAAATATCTAGCGACTTTTTTCCGGCTAAGCGATTCGAACGACGTCTGTTATTAAGCACCGAACTTACATACCATTCAAGACTAGTATGTTATCGATACTGGATGAAGCCGTCCCTATCTCATAAGGTCGATGCTTCCTGTACAATGACTAAAATCGAAAGAATGTATGAATCCCTCGGGCAAATCTTGTTCTTGCATGTTCCGAGGCCGTGATCAAGAATCGGGATATAGATGCTCACTTGGTCACCGTACTAGTATGTAATGATTTTTGCCATGAACAGAGGAAGAACGCTCCTTTTCGTGGAGTCAGACAAAGAAGAGAGAAGAAGCCTAGACCCGAATAAGTGAATATCATTTCAGAGGGTTGCTGAAAGAATGCCATAAGAAATATAGCTAAGCCTTGGAGAACAGCCAGTAGTTAGGCAATAGAAGTGAATACAATTGTGAGAGAGAGAATACTTCATGACTAACTAGATGTCAGCAGCCCTGTCTGGTTGAGTCACTAAAGCTCCATCCTCTCACGGAGGATTGCCTTAAGATGATGGCATCGCTGTACTACTCCTTCCAAACACTGACTGCCATTACCAAACATTCGACTGGCGCCTTGATTCAAAGGGGCTCTGATCATTTCCACTTGGTCAGCAAACCAACCAGAATTAATTCTGAGATCCGCTTCGAGTTGCTGCTGTACTTCTCCTGGTTGGTTGTTCTCTCTCTCCATCTGCCGACTGACGGAGTCATGCGGATTGGGATAACAGAGAAAATACTCCATCGATTGGAACTCATCGAGAAGCATTTGCACCACTGTATAAATCTTGCTATAGTACTCATTGGTGAAAGGGAATAGCTCCTCCGGTTGAAGTTGTCCTTCAGCTTGAGCATTGGCTGGCGTGCAGTGATGAGAGCTGGACGCAGGCAATCGCCTGAGATGATTGCGAATTTGCGAAAGTACCATCATGTACAACTTCACAAGGGAAGCGTAACACGTCAACATCAGCAGATTAGTTGGCATGTCCGGCATGGCCAATGTGATCGACTCTTGACCAAAATGGTCCGACGGGGGAAGTTGGGCTTGAGTCACGCTGAAAAAGTCCGTGCTATTTGGAGATACGGGGAAAATTGGAGGTGAGGAAGAGTCGGCTCGGGATCGCTGTTGCAAGTCGTGAATTGTCCCGGGTGCCCAATCTCGAAGTATTGCCGAAAATCTCCGAGTCAATTGCAAGATTGGGCCAATTGAATAGGTGTCGAGGTCTTCTTCGGCGCCTCTTAGGATTGGATGGCGTAGTTCACCGTTCAGCACGTTTATCGTCTCATGGATTTCAGCTACCAGCCCCGAGAGATGTACGAAACAGGAGGGGCTGACAGGTTCATCAGTCGATGATAATGTGTTTCTGGGCGAGCTGTCATGCAGCGAGGCAGTTGGCCCACATGTGTTCTCAGCCATCAATGGAAATGAGGACAGATCGAAGAAACTCGTGGACGAATGAGGCCTAATAAAGAGCTCCTCATTGAAGAAGGAGTTGATACTAGGATCGACAACGTGATCGCTCACATTCAGAAAGTCTGTGCCGATATGCTCTCCAGTGGAGCTCAGCATTGATAAATCGGTGAGGCCAGAAAGTGAATCGGAGGAACCTAGAGAGGACGAGATCTCCGTAGGTGTTGGCAGACCGCTTGTCTCGGAGGTCCATAGTGACTTGCTCCTGGTGGAGTTTCGATTTGCTCTCCGAGCGTCACTAGTCTTCCTTGTCGGTGCCCGGCGGCTGAAGACACAATCCAATTTTGCTCGGATGCACCGATCACATCGCTGGGCCCCCGTCCGGGACTTTTCAGTGGCGGAGACGGTGCAGCCGAGCTTTTTATTACGGCAACGATCGCAGGATGCCCTTATAGATTGCTGTGATGTCTGAGATGGCATGGTTTCTGAACACTCCTTAGTCGGCATTCATTGTTCAGCAGTCTACGTCAGACAGGGTTGGCTTATATAGGGTTTGTACCAATTACCTACCCTATCCTGTTGCAGGAATGGTACCCATTTTCATAAGTCAGCCTTCAAGTTACAGCACTAGCCAATATGATTTCATGGGTACGCCATGTTCAAAGATTTGCAGCGCGGGAAATTGCAATGGATGTTTAGGCAATCCTTCGCCCCAGGGAGTCCGATAACTTACAAGTATTGCTGTTGGAGCTATACGAGTCTGTGAACCTTAGAAACGGTGAAAAACAGAGCTGCAGCCTGCAGGGTACAACATTTCTTTCATTTTGGCTTATTAAATACGTGATTGCATCTTACATGAATTGATTATCGGTAATACAGTGCCAAGGGCATGACCAAGTCAGCTGCAGTAGACTGGGGTATTACTGTAGTGCCGGGCCCCGGGGCGAGTGCCCTCCGGCACGGCGTACAAATCCCCGAATTTTGACTGCGCACGCCATCAAGATTCTAGCACAGCTCAAATCCATAGCCTGGAACTAAAAACCAATCTGGTCTATAATGGGCATCTTCTTAGGTAGTATAAAGCACCCTTAATAACCATATTCATCAGCCCCACTAGGTTTCGGGTCTAATTCCGGAGCCGAACGCAAAGGTGTCCCAGTTCGACCCACTCCTAAGGTTATGCATAATCATCAAAGAGGCATATGTTGTATGGAATATGCGATAATATGCAGCGTCGTTACGGGGAGACTTTGATACGGAACCGAGGGGAATCCCTTATCAAGAATAAGCTGACATCCGATGGGAGGCCGAGCCGGCGGGGCGTCTCACGGGTTGAGAGCTGGTGGGTGGTTCATGGAAGTCTAACAAAGGGCACTAAGAATAAATACGAGCTGATATAGCAATGCCTCAGAGGACGTCCAATAGCACATCGAAAATGCATCGGAAGGCATAGCATGATATGATGTTCCGCAGAAGATGACTGACCATTCCTGTTCACTCCGCCCGGTACGACCTTCACAATGTCGAGCACTTACCTACGCTTTCACCTCGGTATTTTACTCCGTCCGGACCATGTTTGAACCCTTTATAGCGCTAAGCAGAGCCACAGGACGTCGGCTATTCGGATCCAGATTTATTTCAGAAGAGAAGCCTGACATCAGACTAGCTCTCGAACAACGTCTAAGACAGGTACAGAGGCAAAATGGCGAGGAGGAAGTACAACGCCAAAGGGGTGAGCTCCCACAAAATGACCGCTCTGCAGTCCACCTGATTAATCCCACGATACACGTACAGCTAGTGACGAATAATTATCTACGCAGTGTCAATGCTGTTTCAAATACGTCCCCCATGACAACTGGGTTTGCAATCACATATAGTGCCAATGCAGCATACCAAGAATTTGAAAGTGTATAGCACTTCCAATGACAGGCGTCTCATTACCGATGCCGCAGTCTTCGTCCCGGGATCTTCAAAAATTTTTGTGACTCGACACGATGTGGAAAGTGTGGGACTCGCCTCTAGGATGGGTCTTCCCACCCTGCCCCTTGCTGCCGTCAACGTGCACGATCCCCGGCCTATTGGGTCCGGCCTTCGTCTCCGGTCCACTTGAAATCTCAGCAGCCCCATAATAGAAATGTCGTCCAAGTGAAGGACATCGCATCACGATTTCGCGAGCTCAGACACAAGCTCAGACTCCTGGCCCCCCTTGAGGCCACAAGGAATCCAATTGGAAATGGGTGGCTCCATTTCCTTGTCCAGCCTGAAGTGTCCCCGGTCCCTTCGCAATAGTTACTATGTATTAAGGGGTCAAACACATGTGGGTATAGCAGTGGGGCAAATGGCGCCTGGAACGTCTTTGATAGGGGGGTGTGCGCCTCGTGCCTTGGTGTGGACTTTGAGACCTTTACGAAGTTGGCTTCGGGCGCTAGTTAAGCGATCACCTGGTGATGTATTTGATTTATCAACAAAGGTCAGTAGTTGATTGTTTCTTATTTTTCAATACCATTTTCATCGTATATATGCTCCATCTGACATACATGAGTTGGCATCCCAAGAGAACCCAAAGATTTGCACCTTGGAAGTGACAAGCTATGTCCATGGGCTCAGATCACTTGTGTACATTGCGTTAATGACGAGTCCAAGGCCTCGTCATCTTGGGCGTCGAGCACGGAGTACTCCGTACAGCACCGTCGGATAGGAATGGACAGCTCCGCACCTGATTTCAAATCCTGTTCTCTACACATATCCCCATAATAATAGACGCAGGTGACTGTCTAGTTGTGGCCCCCCTTTCTTTTTCCCAATGTTGATCACTTAGCCACAGCCCCGTCCTGCTCCCCTGACAGACACACGTGATTTCCACTGGTCCGTAGGGCGGTATTAAGGTTCCTCCCCGGGAGACATTAAAAATTATTTCTTTAATTTCCGCTCGTCGGAAATTAAATTACACGTATCCACCCTGTAATGGGGATCAGACTTCGAGAATTCTTGGCTCAATTTCTCCATATTTGTCATTATGAATTTAATTGTGCTGCATAATAAGATCCAGTATCTTTGACTGATTAAATTGAGTTCATGTTATTGGTACATGTATGGCTGATTTTCTTGTCTCTAGGCAAGGAGGTAAATATTCTAGATTCGTAAAGGCCGTATGCGCGAATCTTTTGATCAGCGAGGGCATTAGCACGATGCTCATGTATGTGTAGAAGCTTCGCGCAAAATGATATAAACAAGAAAGGAAAAGGACAAAGGAATGATGCACATGGGGACCTAAATATTATTAAATGAATGTATATACTCCCAAAAACCGTGGGGCACCCTCCCAGGCTGAAAAATCTAGTCATAGGCCACAACAACCTGTCGGCTGACGACAATATCGGCTTGGCCAGGTCGTTGACCATTCTCGAGGATGTCCTTCTGGCTATCACCATCACTCAGGCTGCCGCCACGCCTTGTGTGGTCTGCAACAGAGGTGGTGGTGATCTGGTTCTTCTCGTGGTCGTTGAGCTCGTAGTTTCCGGAAAAGATAGCCCCCTCACTGCGGTGGGAGCTCTTGAACTTTGACCCCGGTGTCTGTTGGTAGTTCTTGTAGGCGGAGCTCCTGCCATCGCGCAGGATGCGGAATAGCGGGCGGAGGGTTGCCACATTTCCGACGATCATACCAATACCGTTCTCTGCGAATCCCCAGATAACGACATCTGCGACAGCGTAGAGATAATCATCTTGGTTGGTGAGAGCAACAGTGTACTTGAGCCGGACACAAGCTGACAGCGATGCACTAAGAAGAAGTATATTAGCCACGTACAAAAGAAAGAGCAGGACTGCACAGTCACATACAAGACACCGAGGCCCATCAAGGCAATAATCGAGATTTTTGTGTTGCGATTGATTTGGACGTTCCAAAGTAGAGGTACCGGCCTATTGCTGATGTCAGATTTTTATCTTCCAGTCTGTGTAGACGGGCAATGAAGGCATACAGGAAAGCTGTCACCCAATCAGTAAGGATATTGACAGCAGTACACGCATAGTACACATCGGCGAGGACGTAGCTTGGCTGGCAGTGGCCGCCATTCGCGAGAGCTTCAGCACTCCAAGCAGCTCTGCGACTAAATTAGCACCCAAATTTGCTTGATAGGGTGGTTTTGAGAAGACCTACTCCACGGGGATGCAGTTGATCAGAATGAAGATCAAAGCAATAATGTTCATAACCACGAATATGGCAATGACAACATATTGTACGTAGAGGTACAACTTGCGGCCACCTGCCACTCGAATCAACATCCAACTGATGCTAAGCTTGATTGGAATAATGGCCGCGCAGTAGCCAACCTCGAAGACCAGGAAGAACTAGTTGATTGATTAGTTCCATGTCGGTCGACATGATGAAAGCTACGCTCACCTTCTTTCCCTCCGCCGTGTACTTTTCGTTTCCAGGGAGGTCCAATGTCGAATTGCGAATGCCAATTCCATTGAAAGCTCCTCCAACGCATCCCGCTACCAATACGGCAAATGGAATCTTTTGACTGCGTGTTAGCCTGGGGTTTGGAAATTTCTAGAGAGGTACTAACCAATGCTATTGTCATAATCCAATCTTCCACTCCCCATGACTTGCGAGTCACTCTGCAGTACACTCGCAAGCCAAAGGTCAATAATGCCAAAACCGTTAACATTATCGTGCTGCCCGCCAAAGACGGGGCATTATCTGCGTAGATGGCCATTGCGGGGGGTGGAGAGCGAAGTCAACTGCCGAAATTGAAATCGATGTTTCAGAACATTAACTTGAGTCAACGTGGAGAGGGGGGTTTGTGGACTTTTTGTTGTAAACCGGAGGGTCTTCCCCTGACCCTAGCTGCAGCTAGCGTTAAGCACTAATTCTGTTTCAGGCAATTGCGGTCGACGGAAAACATTGTTGAGACGCGGATGGAGTCGTGGAGATATGGCATACTGAAATCCGCCGGCTCTGAGCCTAACAAATTCCCGGAAATCTGCTTCGGTTACTATGACTTGATTGGTGTCGCCTAGACTAAAGAAATTGTTGGAACCATTAGTTGATTTGCTGCCGTAGGACGGAAGTCCGCCGTGGCGAATCATAAAGGGTGGAGGGAGCCTCCACTCCGAGCTAAACCTGGAACGAGAAAGTGGTGACACCGATCGACGAAGGATTATTACACCTGCAGGCGCCCCACGCCCACTGTCCACTAGCCCTGCAGGTGGCTTGTCCCTAGCACAATACGAGACGCCAAGCAAAAAAAACGCAAAAATGCAATCAGTCTAGAACCACTAGCGTGCAGATTTGTTCCGTGGCGTCTCTGCGAACACTTGAAATCGGGATCGATTTTCGAGCCGAACTGAGACTTCTAGGGCTCGTCGGCAATAGGAACAGATTAACTAGTTTAGCGTTCACAATCGAGCGCCACACACATGGTTAATGCGCGCCACCGTCGTGATATCGGAAGGCGGTCACTCCTCCGCGCTGCACCACGTGCCTTGGCGAGAACTGTGACCCTTGGCTGCAAGCTAACTCAGCCTTCGACCCCACACAGCTACACACAACATTGGAGTATCGCCCAGCACACCATTTCAACATTCAAAGCTTCATCTAGACACAGATGTGACAGTTTACATACCCTCGGAAGATGATCCGCATGGTGCAAGATATTGGATTTCACGAATCGAGAGCTATAAGATTGACAACCCCAAAGACTCACAAAGCATACACGAACTTTTCCTTGAACAAAGTTTTTCTTCAGTCGAATATCATTGACGCCTTCGAGTCACTTGCCAAGTCCACCATTCCTCATCAGGAGTGAACGAGGCGCGCTGAGCCCCTCTGCTAACTACCGGTTCATTGCAATAGTCCAAGCGGCGCCAAACTCTGTAACAGTACCACCAGCCATCGTCGATGTGGTTCTGGCCAGGCAAATTCATAGTCCGGAAGCGATTCAATCCTATTAGACGATCTTTCGCATCTGACCGATCTACTCTGGATAGGGCTCGGGTGCCGTATGCTTCCAAGGTTACCTCCCGAGTGACCCATGGTTTGATAAGAGAGGTTACTGCATAGAGAAGGTGGTTTTAGGGTTTCCCTCCCATGCCTCAACCTATTTCAGAAAGATGCCTCTTCCTCAAACCTGGTGGTAGACGGCAGCTTCAACTAGACTATCCAGAGCGGCAGTGTACTCGAAAAAGTGCCGCAGTCTAAAACTCTGGATGATTTCCACGGGCTATCCACCTGGAAGTCGATCGATGCGCCCTCAAAGCTTTGCTCCAATGCGCGGCCGGCAAAGAAGCAGGTAGTGAATTTGGAAGTCTTCTGTTGGCCTTAACAATGTTGAGCAGAAGCCTCGTGAATGTTTGCTTCAAGTCCTACCGCTCAACCCTGATCCGCTCACTTGGTTTCTCGGCGTGAGAGGGAATTATTATGTAGACTTCACAAATTCTCTTGTTGGTTCTTGTTATGTGTCTCATGCATGATATCATCTTATAAAGCCGACTAGTATTGAGTACCAGGAATTGATGTCATCCTGTTAGTTACCAGGGGAATATCAACATGCGAGCAAGGCTATGTGGCCTGACATTGGAGGCAATTGACTAATAACTAAGTGTTTAGTTGACTCACTCTTGAAAGACCTTAACCTCTGCCGGTGTATGAAGTTTACTAGCCAAACATTAGGAAGGGAAAGTGGGGCACAAGTACTAAAAATTGTTCCTGATGTCTAGTGCATTTATAGGCCAAGCCGAACCAATAAGACAGTGCGTTTATGTACAACCAAGTCTATCGTAAAAAATCAAGACGAGAAACAGCTTCGGAAAGACAATTACTGAGGAATTCTAGACTATTCAAGAACATCGCAGTACGAAGAACCATCGCGCCGTAAAAAGGAACAAACAAAAGGGTAAATAGGCGGTTAGTAAGGCATAGGCAGACAATTTACTTCAAAGTTGCAGGCATGCTTGTCTTGGCCGTCTCTGCAACAGTCTCGGCTGCCTTCTTCAACTTCTCCCTCTTGATCTTCTGGAGGTAGGCGAAGAGAACGATGAAAGCCAGCTCCATCCTGGGGCATTGTTAGCAACATTGCATGCAAGACAAAACAAGCCATAACATACCTCTCCTTGGTCATCATCAGCAGACCTTGCACCAAAAGGCCCTTTGTGATCTGGGGTCCAATACCCTTGAATAGGGAAAGCACGCCCTCTTTTTCAACAATGTACTTCATGACCTCTCCGAAAGTCTTGAAAGGCTTGCCCTTGCGAGCAGGCGGCGGGCGAGACTGCAGACCAACCTTGGCAACAATCAGAGGCTGAGTAGCGATAGTCGCAAGAGCCTTGGACATGGCGCCGAGCACTGCAATTGTTAGCGTGCGTAGGCAAAGAGTAAAAAGAAATCGGTGCTACTCACGGAATGCCTCCCATGGCTTCAAGTTGCTCTTGCCGGGGAAGATAATCTCCTTTAATCGCTGGTATGCGCCATAGGTGATAGCAGGGTTGACGACCAGGATCAAGCTAGCCTTCAGACCACGCCACAGACCAGACCAGCCGTCCTCGCTCTCCACCACCTCCCGACCGGTCTCAATCAAACTCTTCTTCTCATTCTTTGGTTGTGTCTGCTGTCGAGTGGTAATGACAGAAACCGGAATAGTGAAGATCTGGGCCACAGCGCCCGCGACGGCACCAAGACTCAGCTCGACGGCGGTTCCGGGGGTCTTTGATGCTTTGCTGGAAGCCATGTATAAAGTGCGGACGACGCTGTACCAGTAGAAATAGGCAAAATTGGTGGATGCGACACCTAAGAGTGAGCCTGCGATTCCTGAGTACAGGCCACTGATACCCTCCTTCTCCGCAATCTTGGTAATAGCATCCAAAGTCGATTCATAATGTTCGCCGTCGTCCTCCTCGCCATCTTTCGCCCTGACTTGGACTTGTAATTTTGTTTTAATCCTGTTATAAAAATCGCGGGGTCAGCTCATTGAACCACCGAGCTCGGGGTTTAAACTTACAGGTCCAATGGGTATACAATGGAATTCGCCAACACCGCACCCGTTGCACCTGCAACAGCGCTGCCCCACGGGGAAAGCTTCGATTGTCCAGCCATAGTGTGTGTTATGGAATGAAATCAAGTCGACGCCTGAGTTGGAGAACGGGGAAAAACGGTCGAGCTCGAAGCGAGTGAAAGGGGATACCGGGCGGGGCCTATGGACCTAAGACCACGCTTGTTCTGTCCGAAGACCGGTGAGATTGAATGTGGACGAGTTGCTGGAGGTGGATGAGGATTCGGAGGACCGGGAATTTACAGAAAGATCTCGGAATATTCAGAGTTTAGCACATAGTAACCGACGACACCCGAAGTGCACTCTGATAACCGGACCACAAGATCATCATGCAGCGCCGAGGTGCTTTTGGGGTGACGACACGACGAGCCGAGGTCCACTCGGCTCCTTAGTCAGACACTAGATTATTGCCTTGTGGATGCGGACGGTATTATCTGATCTTGATTGATGGCCCTTAGAATCGGGTTAAGGGCCCTGGATGTATGGATTGAGAGTATTAAAAGTAATTTAATTCCAGACCACGCTTTTACTGAAGAAGTCAACATTGGTTGAGACAAGCATAGAGTATCTACAGTGAAGACAGCGCCTATTTAGTAGCCGAAGTTCTTTGCCGGTGGAGATTGGCTTTGATATCTGCCAGCTCTCACCGCTTCCGTCAAATCTGATCAGTTGGCTCACGATGAAGCAATACTTAGTTAACTTTACTTACACCACAAACCAGGTATAGAATCAATTCGAGGTAACTTGAAAGGATATTCATAGCGACAACCCAGGCTGAAGCGACAACTATGCACATCATCCAGTCATGATTTGACACCGAAAGGATAAGGGTTCATGGATGATTTCACCTGGGCATCTAACAATACTTCCAAGTTTGCCTATGGTTGCAACATAGGCACCTACCTTGGTTTGGTTCTTTGGTACTTTGGTATACAACTGGTGACATTTGGATAGAGCAACTTCACTTGTATCATCTGAATGTATACGTAGTGATTGAGAATTTGAGACCAAGCTTAGATACTGAAAATCAGTCAGTGCAACATATATAGGTGCAAGTCACTGAGTCCGGGCAATCAAGGTCGGAAAAAGTACTTTAAAAGCTCAGGGAACCTTCGGAAACATGGTGTTGAGAATTCCGGAGTGTTGACAAGGCTTTGACGGAGTGGACCGTTGCCGGATCCGAATATGCGGGGCGCGTTTGTCTCCAACCACAACCCAGGGTCGCGCAACGGTTCTTACGATCTCGATCCGAAGATCCAGCATGTCTAGACCCAGCGGTCCAACGCAGGGATCGTTTGTCTCCAAAGCGCGGGTAAGGGAGCCCCTCAAATTGTATGGAACCCCGCGGAGCGGCTAACCGGCATTTAGAGAGCCGAAGGAGCCATAGCTACCGCGACCTCTCAAAAGGCGGCACTCGAGGCTGCCATCGATGCCGCTGAACATTATATGCAAGCTTTGAACCTTGCCTCGGGGGAAGACAAGAAGCTCCTCGACTCTAAATGCAAGGAACTACTCACGCGGGCTGAAAAGATCAAAGCCGCGGAGGATTGGCAATCGGCTGCCCTCGCAAGAAGCATTACCGGTCTGCGGGCCCCCGCGTCCAAGCGGAAACTCACCACCCGTGAAGAAATCATTATTCTAGAGGGTGCGAAGCTGAATGGCTTTATTTTCCCACCATGGAAGAGCTCCCCACTCCCACAAGACTTTGTGATTGATGAGGGTGGGCCGTTCACGTAAGTCCTGAGAATGCCATGTCATGATCAATTCTGACTCGACAAAGGGATTCACCCGATCTGCACCTCTCCGAGTGCCAGCATAATATCTTCGCAGGATGGAGGAGACCGGCAGATTTGCTTCGTACAAGACACAAGGCAGACCAGTCCCATTCAGTTGAACCGGTTATGGCAGTGACTAAGACAACCGATCTGGTACAAGATGTCCTGACCGATTGCTCCGTAGTCGCCAGTCTTTGCGCAACGACTTCGCGATCAGAGCGTGGTCTGGGTATGGTATGTGCCACCTTCTTAGGTCCATAGACCTAGACTGACGAAATAAGAACGCCTCCCCAGTGATGTATCCATGCGAAAGCGACTCGGCCGTACCGAAGCTTTCGCCTTCCGGAAAATACATTTTCTCCCTCTACTTCAATGGAAGTTTCCGGAAGGTAGTCATTGATGACCGACTGCCATCCTCCAATACCGCAAGATCATTGCACGTTATTGACCGCAACAACCCCAATTTTCTGTGGCCAGCCCTGGTAGAGAAAGCCTATCTCAAGATCCGTGGTGGTTATGACTTTCCTGGAAGCAACTCAGGAACGGATCTTTGGGTACTTACCGGATGGATTCCTGAGCAGGTTTTTTTACATCACGACGATGCTACCTCTGATGAGATATGGGGGCGGGTGTACCCATCGTTCTCTAATGGCGATGTTGTGTTGACGATCGGAACTGGCAAGCTGACTGAATTAGAACAGCAGGGTCTAGGCTTGGTGAGCGAACATGACTATGCAATTCTAGACATGAAAGAGGTACACGGACGTCGCCAATTCTTATTGAAAAACCCTTGGGCAGGGGCCGAACCGACCGTGCAGAGTAGGAGCCCTGATCCATCAACATTATCGAGTCCACCGTCGCCTCTATCACCAGGTACATTCTGGATGGACTGCGAACAGGTATTGCAGAATTTCGAGCATCTCTACCTGAATTGGAATCCGGGCCTGTTCAAGTATCGCGAGGATATCCATTTTACCTGGGATCTTTCACAGGGCCGCGTCATTGCTGGATGCTTCGTCAAGAACCCGCAGTTTTCAATATACAGTGAAAATGGCGGCAAAGTTTGGCTTCTCTTAGGAAAGCATTTCAAGAACGCTAATCATCATACTTTCGAGGGGATGGAATCGCAACATGAACAAGGGTTCATTAGTATCTATATATTCAAGGCAGATGGCAAAAGAGTCTCCCTCAGCGATGGAGCGCTCCATCGTGGACCATATGTGGACTCACCAAATACCCTCATGAGACTAGACATGCCTCCGAGGACTATCTATACGGTGGTCGTCTCGGAACAATCGCTGCCATCATCCAGCCAAAACTTCACACTCTCCGCGCTATCGAATTCTCCCGTGTCGCTCGCACCCTCAAGGGACAAGTATATGTGTCTCAATAAAGCAAGTGGCTGCTGGACTGCCTTGACCGCTGGCGGCAATGCAGAGTCGGCTCGGTACTCGTCAAATCCACAGTTTAGTCTCGAGGTTTCAGAAAGAACGGATGTCTCCATCGTCCTCGAATCCAATAGCTCCGAACTTGCAACCCATGTCAAAATCTTTTGGTCCAATGGCCAGCGCATCTCAAGAGTTCGCAGTCGAGACATGATCGCTGACAGCGGTGACTACCGCCGAGGATGCGCTTTGGCTGCAACAAGATCGCTGGAAAAGGGTATATACACTGTAGTTTGCTCTACATTTGCCCCCGATCAGCTCGGTCGCTTCACACTTTGGATATCATCTGATATTCCTTGCGTGGTACAACCATTAGCTTCGGAATCTGCAGGTCGCCGGGTCACCTTGTCTAAGGTCGGGGTTCTCCTTCCGGGAAAAGACCGGATGATGGCATCGCTGCAAGTATACCGTCTGACACGTATCAAGCTTATTGCAAGAAACAAGCGGTCCACAATTGACTCTAGGTCTGTCGCGCCTTCGCCTGTACTGATGACCGTGGAACGTGGACAGGGTCCTTATAAAGAAACGCTTGCCGCCTCGGAGGACGGTACCCACTGTGATGCTGCTTCTGGTGTCCGTATTGATGACTTTGATTTATATGAATCCCAGAGCAGGGTGTGGATAGTCATTGAGAGGGTCGGAGGACCCGGCGGCCAGGTGGAAGACCATTTCGAGGTTGAGGCGCTTGCTGAGGAGCGAGTGGAGTTTGGCGAATGGATAGTCGAAGATGCCTGATTCAAGCGAAATATATCCGAGTTTCTGAGAAGACATTTAAAACCAAATGTTTGTGAACCTATTACACTATGTCACATCTATAGTTATAGATTGCCCGCAGTAGATAAGCTGCTTTATCTCCGCACTAGTACCACGGGCGGTGGGATTATCCCGAGCTTCAAACGTCATCTGGTCCTCCCCACTACCGCTTCCCCTTTCTTCAACGAACTCCAAGATGACAAGCAATATCCCAGCAAGTGTGCGATCTGCAGATATCGGGCGCTTTGCTTTGCGCGCGGCGCAGCTTGAAAAAGCGAAGCCGGTCATTGCCTACTGGTGTGAGTGTTGGCCTCTCGCGATGAAGACACTGAGCTAACCCCAGTTGCCAACAGGTAACTACCACATCGTGAACCAGATAATCGCCCGAGGGCTTCATAATTCCGACGATGAAGCCAAATTATACACTGTTGATCTGATGGACAAGCTTGAACAGGTCTGTCGCACCGTCGCCCTCCCCGCTCCCCGCTTCTCACCCGTGTTTCTATGTACTGACTCCGGACACTGAGAATAGTTCAAGAACGATAACCCAGAGAATGAAACAGTTACAGATAGTGTCGCCGCAAATGCATATGTGGAGCAGTTTGGAGTGGAAGTCTTCGATCGCGCCCAGGCAGCCATGACTGCTAATAAAGTCACTAAGTGAGCTTCCATTGCGCCCTACCCAATATGAACGATCCTCATTTTTTCTTTTCAGGCAAACAGGTGATACATTTCTAGCAGCGGCTACGTTCCTTGAGCTGTGCCAAATATGGGGAGATATGGACCCCGAAATTGCCGGGCGCATCAAATTTGCCAAATACCATGCCATTCGCATCACGAAAGCTATTAAAGCAGGAGAAGACCCCAATGCTTCAAATCCTGCACCCAAGGAAGAGGAGGAGGAAGAAACCCAAGTTGGGAGCTCGGACATACAGGCCTTTGACGAGTCCGTGGCCGAACAAGCGGCCAAACCGAGACAAGCATCTGTGGAGGAGATCCCTGACGAGGCCGACCGTCTTGGGCGGCATATGGCTCTTCAATCATCGCTAGATGAGTCTCTTCACCCTTCTCGTACATCCTCCTTGCCACCCTCCGCTACTGCAACACCACCTGAGATTCCTTCGGTTCCACAAAATGCACCGGGTTCCCCGCCACAAAAAATGGACGTCGATAATCAATCCAGCGGCCTTGAGCTTCCCTCAACCCCGGGTACAATTGGGACATCAGCCTCTATCCCACAGTTACCGGACACACCTGGGTCTACCAATACGAACAGAGCTCCGTCAAATGCTTTCCAGTCTTTCCCCCCTCCCTCGAGCCCATCTGTCGCCGGGCCCGACCCAGCTTCATTCTACGACGCATCGACTGCCAGTGCTCATATCCCTGCTCCGGCAGCTGCCCCAGTTGGACCGCCTTCATTCACTCCCCCCGTGGTTCCAGCGCCGGCCGCCTCGAGCCAGCCTTCCCACTCGGTGGACGATAATGCCGTTGCCCTTGCTCAGAAACATGCCAGATGGGCAGTCTCGGCGCTGACGTTTGACGATGTTCACACGGCGATCAAGGAACTGAAGAGCTCTCTCAAATATCTCGGGGCGGAGTGATGGGCTCGGGTATGGATATCATTTGCTTTACATCTTTCTGTTGTTCCAAGAGCGTGACCATACCTTGTTTATATGAGTTTCCTAGGTGTTAGGTAGTCAATTACCAAACCCTAATATCTGTACCTAGACCGGATGTATTCATACCTTTGATGGCTAACAATTCGCGCTTACTTCTAAGGCTGCATAATTCGATATAATTAGGAGCCAGTCGTGGACATGGTGGCATGCTACAGTTCGGATCAAAAAAGATGTCTCATAATTAGGCCCATGCCTAAATAGATCCTATTGATCTCAGATATTGAAAGAATAAAAGGAGATCAGGAGATAGATACCTGGGCGCTAGCAGGAGGAAGTTCTCGAGCTATCTAGGTGGCCTTTGATGAACAGGGTGCAAAATTGGTTGCTACTGTACTCTGCACGTGTGTATACCTGCTGATACGCCAAAGGCAACACTGCGTGAGTCATCAAGTTTTGCTGTTTCCTAGTCTTCATGGTTGATAATCGGAATGAAGTGGTTCTGCATCTGCGAATAATTCTAGGAGCGGGAGAGGAAGCGGGAGCGGGTGGAGAATTTCGAAGAGGCTTCATTTCACCCTTGATGCATACCTTCTCATTTGCAACAATGTGAGTACATACATACGGTATAGGGGCTTTGGCTAAATAAGTGAATCCTCTCAGTGGAGGGAATACCCTCATAAGCACCATTTTCTGTTGGCGGTCGATCTATGCTAAAATCGAAAGCGAGCTCCAGCATACCTGGCGTAGGGCGATCAGTTGGAAATAAATTAATCGCTGCTATTGAGGTCAGAGAAAGCGATGCAAAATCGATCGATGAAAGGGACAATACTCTATTCGATGCACAATGAGTAAGACCCCAGATCGGAACAATGGGTCTCGGGGCGATCAGATCCCAGTACCATGGCGCATCCGTGGACCTCCGACATTAGCAGTTCCACGACGTCAGCGACTTCATATTTTTCGTATGCTCATAGGACATAGAAATCCACTGGAATCCATCCACTTAAGGAACTATAGATCAACGGCGTCACTAGGGCGCTATGGCTTGGCAGGGGAGAAAGGAACTGCGTTCGCGAATTTTCTACAGTGGAGAGAGGACCTTTCCCCCCCCCTCCTTTTTTAACCTTTCCCTTTTCTCATCTTTCCCCCCTCCCCCTTTTGAAAGCAATTGGCTCGTACTTTCTTCTTGGTTCACTATGGCCGACGCTAAGCCCACCGTGCTGATTATTGGTGGTCTCGGTATGTGAAACACACCCCCATCACTTAACCCGCTCTAACCATCCTAGGCTTCATCGGCCGCCACTTGGCGCTGCACATCCATCAAAATAACCTGGCCTCGGAGGTCCGCTTGGTCGACAAAGTCCTTCCCCAGCTGGCTCGACTGGCCCCCGAGTTTGCAGAGGCATGCTCTCAAGACAAATTTGTTCAGGCCGACGCCAGTCGTGAACGTAAGTGGCGCTCTCCTGCCGGAAATAGCTGTCCAAGCGACACAGCAAAGCAAAGAAAACAGGTTTCTTATTCACCATAATCCTGTACAGAACACTTACCGCGAATCTTCGATCGAGCCAATGGTGAACAATTCGACTATGTGATCAACTGTGGCGGCGAGACCCGCCACTCCCAGCCTGACGACGTATACGAAGCACGCAGCTGCGGCCTCAGTATCGCCCTCGGCCATGAGTGCGCCCGACGCGGCATCCGCGCTTTCGTCGAAACCTCCACCGCGCATGTCTACAAGAGCGGCTCGTCTCCGCGCAAGGAGACCGACAAGATGCAACCGTGGCACAAACTGGCCAAGTGGAAGTTGAAGGCTGCGGAGGAACTGCTCAAGATCCCCGACCTGCAATACTGCGCGCTGCGCATGCCCCACGTCTACGGTGAATACAACGCAGGCTACTTCGCCATGGCCATTTGCTTGGCCCGTGTGCATTTGGAACTGGGACAGGACCTTGAGCTGCTATACTCCAAGGATGTGAAGGTGAACACGCTGCATGTGCGGGATGCCGCCAGTGCACTGTGGCAGGCGGCTGAATGGCGCGCGAAACTTGGCAAGCTGGACAGGAGCGACCCGAAGGTGCCAGAATTGTTCCGAGACCCTAAGATGCCGGTCGCGTTCAACGTGGTGGACCACAACGACACACAACAAGAGCATTTGGCCAATGCCTTGGCTGAGGTGTTCAACCTCAAGGTCAAGTTCCTCGGTTCGATTGTCTCCACTCTAGCCAAGATGAGCCTGGATGATGCTGTTGACGACATGAACGAGGTCAGTTTGCAGGAGTGGGCGGACCTGATCGAGAGGAGCAAGATCGAGCGCCCCGGTCCTATCGGTCCTTTTCTTGAGCTCGACGTTCTCAAGGACCAGGATATGTCCATCGACGGCGCGTTCTTCGAGAAGACAACAGGATGGAAGCCCAAGTATGAGAAGTTTGACGCCGACAGCGTCCGTGAGATGGTGGAGAGCTACAAGCGGATGGGCTGGTGGCCGTGAATTCGCCAACTCACAACATAAAAGGGAATCAGTCCCAGTTCTTACTTTATCCATTTGTTCTCGACCGATAGTCCACGGTTCTTTTGGGACATCGCGTCCATTCTCGACATCTCATCGCATTACATTGTCTGCTACAGCCCAACGACCCTTGATGATTCCTCAAGTCTCCCATATACCTTTCTCCGAACCCTTGCCCCTTTCTTCTATCTCGCCATCTCTCTTGAGGTTTGGCAGACAGTTCAGCATGATGGATCTGCTTCTGTACTGTAATGATCCTCTGGTCTTGGGTTTATTTCTTCTTCTTTTTTTTTTTTTTTTTTTTTTTTATTCTCATGCATATATCCCCACCATTTCTTTCGTTCAATTCAGTCTGCATCTCATCTTGCATTATGAGCCTTTTTTTATCTTATTTCATCATTTTTATCTTTCTAACCCTCGTTGAATGGCATCGGCTTATGCTGGCACATCTTAATGGATATGTATTTTAGACTTAAAATCCTGGATTATATTCTTCTACTTTGTAACTCATCATTGACTAGGAAAACATGTAGTCAGTTAAAGTGGCAGCATCAGTCAGTCTATGGGGACACCTGTATACCATGGTTAAGGGCTGGTTGCTGTAAACAAACCAACCCCTGGCATCAACCAAACCCGAAAGTAAATAAGACCTTCGGAGGAAGCTCAAGTGATATAAAGTGTTGCGATATCCACTTATAAAACCAACATACATGAATCAAGAACCTCAATATCCATATCCAGCCCTTAAGCTCAGCCCAATCTAATCAGCCTGATAAAGAGCCGGGCCAGCAACAACATGGGTATTGATCATGCTCAAATTGAAAGGAGTCAAGAAGGTATCCGAATCAGTGATAGCAATGAACATGGTACCATTCACAGCCGGATCCCCCTCATAAGTCTCCATATCAGGCTGGATGGTATAGCCACTCGAACCATGCACCCCAAGCAATGGGGTATAGGTTACGTTCAACTGCGAAGCCCAGGCAACAAACTTCGCCTCCCCAGCCTGTGTCGAAGTAACATAACTGTTATTAGGACCGACAGCCTTGCCAGGCTCCTCCCACCTCAAATCAACCCGTCTCCCAGGGAACGAAAGAGGTGAGTATCCCTCAGGTGTGACACTCGCTCCCGAAGCGCCATTGTTCGAGTTAGGATTCTCCTTACTAGAAGCCTTCGCGACATTCATGCCAGGAGCCAACGTGTTGTTAAACGCAGTCCCATTGTTGTGTTTCCCAGCATCAGCCAAAGTAGGCTGGTTCTCAATCCACAGCGCGGGGAAATTCTGCCAAACCAAACGGGTTTGGTCAGCAGGACAAGAGCTGATATACGGCGCCAGAAGCGTCCAAGCCCACGACTGCGGAACCCCAACCTCAAACCAAACAGGCATGGGGAATAAACCCTCGAACTGTCTGAAGATCATCTGTTGACGTGCCTCGGTGGTAATGGACTGCGTGAGCAGAGTGGCAGCCTCACGGGAATCGAGATGACCAAGGAATCCGTACACACCCGACTCGCCGAAACGAGTAAGTTTCTGACAGAAGTCGAGGTATTCCTGGACATTGGTGTAGGGGTAGTCGTATTGGCATTGTTTAGGCGCGTCGGCACCGAGCATGTTGCTGATTAGTGTTGCGTGACCGACTTCTTGTTCCGCCATAAAGGCGATTAACTCGCGGTCTGCCGCATTCAGGCCGGCATCTTCGAAGTCCTTGGCTGAGAAGCGGCGGAGACCATCTTGGAATAGGTCGAGTTCGATCCATTCTTGGTAGAGTGCTAGTGCCTGGAATGAATAAGCATGGTTGTTGTGGATAAGAGGGGAGAAGAAATGATTACCAGAGACTCATAGTCGAAATCGCTTTTAGCGTTGTATACTGGGATCTGGCCTTCGGTTCCGACGCCTCCAGCTGGGGTATAGGGTGCAGGCTCGGCGTTTTGAAGCTCACCGTTACTTGCGTAGGTTGTTTCTGCGGCAGCTATGCTAGCAGATTCGACGACACCCGTTCCGATCGAGGAAGCTGTCAGGGCACCGGTGGTTGTCGGTGTTCCGGTAAACGGGGTATGGGGGAGAGACGCCGGATGGCTTGCGGTTGGAGGAGCTGACTCCGATCGAAGTGGTGATGCAGAAGCCAAGGGCATCATGCCCAGGACTCCTAACCAGAGCGCCGAATTCCAGTTCGTCATTGCTTACAACAGGCTAATTTGACTTGAGAACTTGGATTGTAACATCTATTCCTCGGGAGGTATGGGAGCTACTTTATATAAGTGCATTTCCACACCATCTGACCGTCTCCATTGTCTGTGTTGGCACAGCCTTGGAACTACGGATGATGCAGGTACAGCGTAGGGCGGCACCAGCGCACCAGCGCAATTAGTCAAATCGACAGACCTGGCTACGAAGGTGGATTATGAGGTCAATGAAGCTGTGACAGATCGACTAAACAGCTTCCGTCACTGGAAGGTGACCGGCAGTCAGCGGTAGTGGTCAACAACCAAAATGCCGCTCGCCTGGTCTGGAACCGATGGGATGACAAAACAGATCGTTGGTTGAAGAGGAGGGATTGTCCTGCATCGTCCTGTTTTCATTAATTCTCCGCCTTGTTCTGGTAGATCCCGAGAGATGAAATGCTTGAATGCGGATCAACTTCCCCACAAGGAGCAAATTCCAGTTTCCTTCCCTGCAGTCGTCGGATAATCTAATTTCAAAATACAGGCCCATCGTACAGAGTTCCCCTTCGGATGATTTAACAGCCGAATCATCTGACAAAACCAGTGGAGCAGAGAGATCATCTTGCTATGACGTCAACAGCCAGTAAGCGTATAAATGAGATCACTACAGTAAGAAACTGGACTTTCAAGGTTGACGATTGGAATGCGTATTTGATCACGGATCTACGGACATCCTGCTCATCGTGCGAAGCTGGGCAGATGAGGCGACATGACCGATAAGCCGCGACACTGATTGATGATGATCTAATGATTCTCATGCCCCTATTAAGTTGTCCAAGAATTCAAAGCATATTCATGCCTTGTTTGGATTATATTGGAACATTTGACCAACAAATACTTGATTTCGTTGTCGAGGGCGATGTACCGCCATCAGTCATTTTGAAACTTCAATATTCTGACGTTGTTGATTTGTTCAAGTTTCGAGTAAGCATATCAGCTTGTTAGACATTACGGAGGTAAATAATAAAAATTAAGGTCATGCCGATCCCATAAAGCTAGCTCCTTTAGCTTTTTTTTACATGTCCTTTTTCTTGCTTTATATTCGCTCAAATCCACCCTATGTTCCAGCTACAATGGGGACCGTAAGTATTTCCCCAAATGCGGGTCCAGTAGGGTCAACTCAACAACCAACTTTTGGGAAGGCATGTACCACTCAGTATTGAGCGGGCTCGCTTCAAAAGGTTTTACTTTGATCCGTGACTATAGAGAAGTATTTTGAGAAAATAATGTAAAGATCCACATAGCTTTTTAGTGACAACAGAGCGGTTTGAAAGTTTATGTATTATGGAGGACCCGCCGAGGCATTCACTAAGCTTTTCACCCCCTTTAACATCATTTACACATTATTAAAACAACGACTTTTTAGGTTATATCTAAATCTCATTTAAAGAGGAAGATATAATGGTATTTAATAGTACCTTCAGGGGTATGTACCAGAATTATGGTGAGTAATACTTTACGTAAAAATCAATGTGTTAGTATAAAGGGTGACGAGACAATTACTTGTGATTAAAAATCTTAGGGTAGATTTTCGAAATATTAAGAGATGTTTCTGTGTGTCAGATGTGTATCAATTACTAGGAGTAATTATATAGAATTCCAGTAAGAAATGGTGGTGTGGTGAACTGTTTAGTGAATATGCATAATTGATGAGGTAGGCCCGAAAACTGATCTGGGGAAATACTTTTGACTAGATAGTGTATCACCTTCAGGGCCGACAAATAGGCAGGCTAGTGGAAGCCATAGAGAGGGCATAAGGTAGCATCACTAGGCGTTTTCTTTCACTGAAAAAGGTTGTAGGCTCGCCCGGAGATTAGAGACTAGGAAGCTATGACATCCAGATATCAACTGGTTTAAGCATCTACAAAACGATGTTATCAATAGACATCTGACCGAATTCACTACTTGCACAACTCTCTATGTTTCCACAGACCCAGAAGTCGTGCCTACCCTAGAACTAATGCTACCTAATGCCCTCTGGAACCTTCATATGTTCAACTTCGCACACCATTGCTGATTGTCCCTTTCATGGACTTGTGTAGCCCTTGAAAGAGTCAAGTAAGATCAGTTACTATGTTTAACTAGACCAGCACACACATTGGCCCCTAGCAGATACCCCGCAAACCATCTATAATAGCAAACGGCTTGTTCTAAATATAAGACTCGTACAACAGAAAAGCTAATTTAGAGCCATTATTCCCGCAGCAGGGGCCAGGCAAGTTTAAATTCCGGTTGGTTCGGGGGTGCACAAGGATAGATCTCGATGAACCTTGGTATGCGACCAAAATACCCCTCGGACATCTCCTGAGCTTGTGGAGCGCCTAGTATGAGTTAATATTACATTTCTAATTTGAGTTCTCTTGCTATTTACATAAAAGGCCCCTAGCTGACAGGGGTGAGATCAAACCGGCTAAGATCCACGATGTAACTGCTAGCCATGTCTTTAAAGACCCTAGGTCAAATTTGCGGTGTGTTCGTGGGTTGTTGTGGGGTTGAAAGACGGACCTTTTTTAACTAAATTCTGAGTTGCCCCACGGCGGGCTGAAAATACTCACCCGCGGGTCAGAGACCCATTCCAGTTCAGCATGTACTCCATAATTACTTTGGCATTAGGGAAAATGCGACAAGAACTATTGACCAGTAATTTTCACAGCATACGTAACTTTGGGTCTAGTTGGGTGAGTACCCGTGGCGTTCACGGGTTTGCCGACCCGCGGCGAAAATAGACCAAAAATGCCTGAGATCATTGTGGCTGTTTCATCTTTGGGCTATGACCATTGCCGCATGGTATGGCTAAGATGAGGTAGGTCGCATGCAGGTGCTCGTAGGATGCTTGGCCATGGAAATGCCGATCCATCGCCGAGGAATCAAACGTGACCATGGCTTAGAATCAAGTTCAAACGTCTGTGGCTGTTTCATCTTTGGGGATGATAGGAGCTCGAGTACAGTTCCTGCAACTGGTTGGGTGCATGAACCGGGTTCAATCGTTGATCCTTTAGCCCCCAAGCGAGGGGAGATTGTAAAGTTGCAAGCAAATAGCCATATCGGGGAGGAGCTATGGGTTGGGATGCGTTGATTGGTTCATGGTTGCCAAGACGTGGTTTAGATCAGGTATTTTTGGAAGCACTTGCATGTTTAGTTTACACCCAGATGAACGTTAAATTGGCAGCGAGATGGGGGCCGAAAGAGGGGGTCATTCGCTGTGAAGAACATCGTTATTGGCGTCCCAACAGTTCTCCTCTTTTCTGCACATTTCCTTGATTCCCTTGATTCCCTTGATTTCTTCGATTTCCTTCGTACCCGACATTCCTGCTGGATGAAGCTTAAATCTTGGTTCTACTTCATCGCCTGCAGAAAGGAATAAGAACATCTGAAAGGATGCAGTAGTTGTCGCTGAAGGTTCTAGTGACATAATAACTCCGGTCGAAAATGGTGAAGCGCAAGGTGTAGAGTAACAGTTAGGGTGCAGAGCCCACGTGTTATCGGTTAAGGCCGAACATTTCGGCTTAGGCGGCAAGTACAACGCACCCCTTGGAGTCGCCCTGGTCCTTCTAATTATGGTTCTGAGATCCTGCATTACAACCCCTGCTAGTATGTGGGTAATTATAATTCTCCAATCAGCCTCATTAATGGGGAAAGGGCCCAGCGCGGACCGTTCTCCCGTGGTCGGCCACTCGGGCCCACTAGAAGGGTTATCAGAAAGCTGGACAGGATGCAATTTTACGAATACATATTCATATCCGGGTGTGTATAGCCAGGAATAACTCGGTGTTGAGCATGCCTATTTACGATAACGGCATCTACATTGCTCTTCCTGGCATGGTCTACGAGACATTTGGAACGAGCCACTGAAGCACGACATATCGAACATGTCATCGGTGGCTTAATGGCGTTTCCTTATCTGTCTCGGTCGCACCAGCGGGGCCTTCCATACATGAGGCAGGGGCTGAAATCGAGCTGACTGAGATGCAATCACCAAGAGTGTCTGAAATCGTAGGGATGTTTCAGGATACGATTTTATCAACGTATCTAACGTATAGAGAGTTTAGCTTGCGCCTCTGCATCTGCTGAGGTGGTATAATGTAAGCAAATTCGGACAGATCATCGGTTAAAGCCGATTTATCAAAGTCCTTTTGGAGCGGCCAATGGTGACTAACACTCGCTATTATTTTCCTCCACTGGACGTTGCTTAGGGGGGCCGAATTGTGGGGGTGGAGAGTGATGCTGCTGATGCATTTCTGGCCCCGAGGATGACCTGTACCGTGACAACGACAGGATTCTTGCCCCACATTAAGGAGTCTGAAACTTGCCACTTTCTGCAGTTACATGGAATAGCTCATGAGCGGAGGGCTTGAGGGCTTGAAGCATCCGACGAAGCCCTAAGGGTCCATGTGCAATGATGGTTTCAAAGCCTTGCGCATATGACATAGCTATGCCATGTAGGGGCTATCGCGAGTCTTCACCGGTAGTCTCCAGGGCTGTATAGATTGTCATGATCAGAGGCAAAGGAATCAAGATTTGATTAGGGTTTTGGAAACTAGTCAACGGGGTCTCACAGAGTACAATCTCCAACCTCCTCGACGGTACAGGATTCCGCCCTCGGGACAAAAAATGTTAGTATAGAGGTGTTCAATTATATCTAATTATGACTAAATGTGCTTAACACTAATGTTTCTCTTTTCTTTTCTTATTTTTAAAGACAAAACTCCGGCAAATTCAATTGTTGGAATCCTAATGTGGGGGTCTGAGTGGGTTCCCAGTCAATGCATTCGGCCCCTAAATAGTCGTAGTAGTAGGCCAATGCTAGTACTAGCGCCCCAGAGGCTTAGAATATACGGACAGGAAGGGGGTTGGCACTGGCGATCTCCGATCCACCTGCTGCCACGCGGAAGATTTGAGGTTTGTTTCTGATTATTGCTAGAATATAAGATCTCTCCATTTACCTCGCCGATCTTCAAATACGCTGATACGCACCTACACGCACCCTCACGCAAATACGAAAGACGAAAAACGAACTTCGCTCTATTGTTCGCTTACTACTATATCGAATAAGCATCCTTCTATACCATATTCGTCATGGCAAGGCAGCAACCGGGGCTTGCCTGTGAAGAATGTCGCCGACGGAAGGCACGATGTGATCGTGGGCGCCCTCAATGTGGGATCTGCGCTGATGCGGGCCGAGAATGTATTTTTGTGGAAAAGAGGGCTCCTAGAGGACCTAAAAAGGGGCAGCTGAAGGATTTACGGTCTCGAGTGGGTAAGTCAGGTTCCCGTGTCCGTTTCTTCACCAAACCGTATCCGCTGACATGAAGGTCCAATGAAGCGGAAATCGAACAACGATTGATCAGCCAAGACCGACCTCTCGACGATGGCATGTCAACTCCAGAGCTTGAGGATCCGAGCGAGCTCGCCTACGATAGCTCAACTGGGATTGACATGGATGCGTATCAGATGCCGCCGCGGTCGGTTTCCACCGACAATATAACTGAATTTAAACGGCCGACAGAGTGGACGCTGGCGTCCTGTCGGGCTAATTCCTGGACTGCAGCTGGGAGCTTTGCGTCTAATCCACAACACATGCATGGCCTCGGATTAGGCGTTCTGTCACCAATGTCACCTGCTCAGACGCCTATAAATCAGATGACCCTCGGAGAAGATTTGAACATGTCAGATCTTATGCTTGCCGACCTGTATGATGGGCCCCAAAATTAAAGACCGAGAAGGAGCAAAATGAAAGCTAACAGCCTACGCCGATAGGGATCTATTATATTTTGAGCGAGTGCATCCTATTATTCCCATAATCCACAAGGAGCGGTATTTCTCATGGGCCAATGATGAAAATGTCTCGCCTTCTCGTATCTGCTTACGATCAGCTATGCGAACCATTGCTGCCGCTATGTCCTCTCAATTTTGCACTTTCACTGAGCCTCTGTATGCGAGGACCCGCCGCATGCTTGAGGTGCAGGAAGTACCAGGCGAGACCGGCTTCCCTTGGATGGCAATGCCCAGGGATCCCAAAAGCGGAGTGGATCATGAAGTAATTGCGGCATGGCTGCTCCTTGCCCACTGCGAGCTCATGCGCAAGTCAGAGCAACAGGCTCTCCTCACAGCTGGACATGCGTTCACGCTAATTCAGTTCTCTCACATAATTGAAATTGATACGCCCAATGTCGAGGCCTCGCCGCCGAGTGAGTATGCAGGCTCTAATTCCGGAACGTCTTCATATACTTCGATGGCAATATCAGATGAATCCTGGATGGAGACCGAAGAGAAGCGACGGACGCTTTGGGCTGCATTCGTTTTCGACAGATTGTCCAGTATGCTCAACGACCGACCATCGATGCTGCACGAAGAAATAGTGAGTTCTCCTGACTTTGCGGTACCGAATTGAACATGTCACTCATTGATCATCTCCTAGATTCAAACACGTCTCCCAATGCCCGAGGCAGATTTTCAAAGCGGCCGATTCCCAATCCCCATGGGATTTCTTTCCGAAACAATGAGCAACACCAACGAATATGCATCACTCCCATCATTCGCCCAATGCGTCGTGCTGGCAAGCCTATATGGCCACTGCCAATCACACCGACGAATGGAACAGTCGATTCCACCCCCAGGCACAGAGTCGCAATCCCAAGACTTCTGGACAAGACATGAATGGCTAGCTTCCGCCGCCACCGCCGCAACAATGACACCTCTCTCAACACAATCCAGCAAACGCGACGCCTCAATAAAATGTGACGCGATGGATTTCTTTAATCATATTCTCGCCTACAGTGCATGTATCTCACTAAGTGAGACAGCCGAGGAAAGGCTCTGGCAAAATGTCAATGATCAAATGCTAGCATTAGCATACAAGCAAGCAGCCTACCAGGCTGCAAACGACGTCGTCCATCTCATCCAAAAATTGCCTCGTGTCGCATTTTTCAAAATGCACCCTTTCCTTCCAAACTCGATCTGCCTGGTTGCTAAATTCTTGACTATCGCCACGTCTCAACTTGCCAATCCGACGGGTCGTAGGCAGGATGGTGTTCAGAATTTGATGATCGGGTTAAGACAACTTAGTGATGTCAACAACTTGGCTAGAGAGTCTTTGATGAAACTAGAGGCTGGATTTGGCTGGTCCACGTCGACAAGGGGAGAGCTTTGTTAAAATCACCACGGTAGATTGTGGTATAAATCCCTTTGGGTAATGTGTGAACGAACCTTCAACTGTACATGATTAGTATTTAAAATCCGTTTCTTTGAAATACCAATTTCCCTTGTTCAAATTTTGTTCCAATGGCACTTTCTAGTAAAACTATAAAGGTCAGTGTCAAGTCAAAGCGCCGACGGTTAGCTGTAGCTCAGAGTCTTTCGCAGAGTGTCAGGTACAGAGCCGAGGAACGAGAGGGGAGAAGGAATTAGAAAGTGGGAGAGGTGACCAGAAGAATGGAGGGGTACTGAGAAGACTGTAGTCATGACGCTGGAGAGGCATTGTTAGTCAGATGATTGGAAGGGTGGTTAGAACCTTTAAAGGTCGATGGTGGGAATAAGAGGCCATCATGACCTTTTAAATTAAAACAGACGAGGTGCAGCACCGCGCGCTTAAGTACAAAATGAAGCCATGTAACAGATAGTCCGAATCCCAAAGAGGCTATTCACTGCTTGGTTCAAGTCATAATATTCTTCTTCATCTACTGATTAAGGCGGCTACCGATCAGACTAGTCTTGCCTAGGTGGGCGGGCACCTTCCTATTTGGGTATAACCCTTAGAATAGCAGACGTGCGTCGCGTGAGTCTCGGACTTGAGGTAACCCCGTGCCATAGCCACCAGTATTGATTTATTTTCACGTTTCCATGTTCAAGATTGTCTGACAGGAGCTTGTTTCGATATAATCTCGCTAGCTTTGGGTGAAGTGAACAGCCGTGAATGACATGCAAATATCCCGTTGCCTAGGTGATGATGAGCTACACAGTAAAATAAAGTGGTGAATTTCATACAATAACGAAAAGACTAGATTCTTTCAATGTCAGTAGGTCACATATAAGCACGTTTTGATGAAGATTAATCTGAACTAACATAAGTACAAATAAGGCTTCCTGCAGAAGTTCCTTGAAGTTCCATAATCTGGTCCTGCGGCGCCTTTGTGGCAGAGCTCTGCTGCAGCTTTCTAATTGAGGAAAGCCCAATCTATACCTAGCTGAGAGATGTGGCATACCTATGACCTGAGATATTCAGCGGAGCGACTGTAAGCGAAGCCTTGAGAAACTGAGCAGAGAAACAGACAACGTATACTCCGGAGTAAAGTTTCTTTCGCCAGGGTGGGCAGATCAAGATTACATTAACGGCTTTGAATGTTTCAAGGTCTAAGTGAGTTAAATCAGTTATTTCATTTCATATGAGAGAGAGAGAGAGAGAGAGAGAGAGAGAGAGAGAGTGGGTTAGTATTATCACAAGAGTACGGACTTTTGATTGGAGGCGGTTCTATGGCTGGTAGTGACACCAAGCCCTCAAAGCTCCAGAACCTTAGAAGATGGTTCAGTTCATTACTGTTGAAATTTGACCTAGAACCTTGAAAGCTTTGGATTTGTTTTTCTAAATGTAAATATAGCGGAGCTAGCCGAATAGAATACAGTGTGATCTTCCAATCCCCGTATCGCGTCTATTTATCGACAATGTCAACACTAGATGTGAACAGAGAAGATCGCTAATGCAATTAAAACAAACAAATGTGCATCTTTGTCATCTTGTGCTTTTTTCTCTTTTGTTTTTCGTATCTTTTCAGTGTATACGAGTCCCCGCAAGAAGCTATGGATCGACGACAGCTCCTATGCACGGATCCTTTAAAGCCCGCACCGACTTAGAAGAAAGACGTTTGACAAAGGAAGCAGAATGAATAATATGCCAATAACGCAAAGCAAAACAGTAAAAAGCGCACCTGTTCAGGTTATACAAAAAAAAAGAAAGGCCACGAAATTGTATCAAACTGACATCTACGCTGACTGATGATGTGGATGAGCGGTACCTCAATTAGAACTCCCAATCCTCCTCAACAGACTTGATTGCCCATTCGAACTTCTCACGCAGTGCTTTTGAGAAGAATTTCTCGATGGGGACATTGAACTTCTTGCTGAAGACAACAGTAAGACGAGGATCGATGTAATTCTGGAAAGTCACGGTCAGCTTTTGTACAGTTGTGTTTTGAGTAGAAAACTTACGATCTTTGAGGTTCCAAGAGCAACCTCCTTGTTGTCTTCCTTGTCCTGGGCCTGCAGGGACATCGTCTCAACGCGCTGATCGAGTTTCACAATGGCGGCTTCGATTTTCTCCACGGTTGGGCCTTTGCCTTCAACTTCAACCTTGCCAGTCTTGTTTTCCTTGGCGAACTTCTTCTCCATCTCCTTGACGGGCTCAAGGCGTTCATGAAGCTCTGGAACCTTCATCTCTTTCTCACCGTCGGCAACCCGTTTTTCGTTGTCCTTCTCAAACTTCTTCTTGATCTTCTGGGTCTGCTCCTCCAGTAGATAGGCCTGGTGATCTTTAATCCATTCCATGGTAAGATCCTCGTCGATCTCAAAGAAGGATGCGCCCTTCTTCTTTTTCAAACTGGGATCCAAGTCAAGCATCTGCTGCTTCAATCGCCACTTCTGATAGCGAAGTCCTTTGATCTGTGGGACGAAACAAGGTCAGCTTTTGTGTACCTCAAAGCAAATGCGATGGAACCTACCCGTTCGCCCATCTTCTCCATCTGATTGGCATGGCCAGCAGTGACCGTTCGCTTATGATTACACAAAATGGCCACCTTGCGGTTGGCATCATTGTAGGCCTTGATCTTTTCTGGAATCGTACCGGTGGCCTTCATTTCCTTAAGCACCTCGCTCATAGTGAAGGAGGCGTTGTAAGTACGGAAGACCTTGGCAGTAAGACCGTTCATGTAGTTCTGCAGGTGTTTGTTGAGAGCAGAAGTCTGTGCGCTGTTAGCAAAGTGGTTTTTATGACAAGGGGAATGCTTCATACAGTCAATCGGTCGAAAACCTCGTCGCCATTCTTCTTGGGTGCCTTCTTGAAGATCTTCAGGTTCTTGAAGACCTGAGGGTCAACCTGAACTTCGTCGTAGAACCGGATACTATCTTTACCCAAGAAATCAAAGACAACGGTGTTCGGAGGCTTCAGACTAATGTTCTCGTATTTTAGCGAGCAACAACCGACCGTCTCGGCTTCGTCCTCGCCTTTCTCGTTTCCAGCACGCAGAGCGAACTGATCAATCAGGTAGACGGCCGTAGCCTTCTGGCGCTCCACCATCAGGTCGTGTTTCAAGGCCTTCTGGTAATCCTTACGGATCTTCTCAATATACTTCTTGAGCTCACGAGCCTTTTCAAACTTCTTGTAATCGCTCTGACCCTTGACATCGGAATTGGCGGCTAGCATCACATACTTATAATTGCCGTTAATGTTCTCTTGCCACATAGCAAGCCATGTTCCTTCTTGGTCATGCTTCACCTCCTTCCACTTGTGGCCAGGCGGAGGCGGCGGTACGGTGGCATCCTCGCCAATGTTGATGGTGATTTGTTCTGGCTGTACGCGAGTCTTAACGCGACCAGTCTTAGGATGCTCGCCTCGCCCACGGAAAAGCGAAGGGGGTTCAACGCGGAAGTTGCCGACTTTCTGTTTGCGACCATCCCACATGCAGTACTGGTAAGGTGCTTCTTGCTCATCTTTCTCGGCCTTGAGCGCCTTCTTCTCAGCAGGTGTGGCCTTCTTTTTCTCCTCGCGTTGAGCATCGTAGTATTCAAAGATGGGCTTGAAATCGCATTTGGTGAAATCCTTGATGTCTACCTTCTTGCCTTGGGGATCCTTGGCACCACCGGTCTTCTTGAGAATTTCCTTGAAATCCGTGAAGAAGTTTTTCTGGAAAACAGGGTTTTCGACATTGTGAGTCGAGTTCAGCATGCCACCAAAAAACCCAGCGACTTCTTCAGCGTCCGGGTGTAGTGTCACCGGGACTCCGTCGTACTTGAGCTTGACGTGCTTTGGCAAGGGCTCATACGGTGGCGGGAAAACGACACCGTTGTGCTCCAAGGTTGTCCATTTCTTAGTACCGTCGCCCTTAGTAGGGTCCTCCCACCACTTGTATTCTTCCTCTTCCTCACCCTTCATCTCAGCATCCTCGCTTTCTGCCTTAGCCTGAGTCCCTTTCTTCGGGGTGGCAGATTCAGCCTTCACCTTCTTGACGGCAGACTTGTCATCCGTGAGCTCCTTCTTGACACCGTTGGTCTGCTTCTTGGCTGCAGCAGCAGGCTTGGTTTCCTTTTTCGGAGCCGGCTTGCGGGAAGTGCGAGCCTCCTTGGTGGCTTTTTGTTCAATCTTCTTTTTCTGTGCAGAAAGTTTCCTCTCAATCGGGACATCGGAGTCGGACTCCTCCCCGATGGCGGTTTCTGAAGCTTTGGGAAGTTTCCGTCCGTTCAAAGCCAAAGGAACGTCGTCATCGGACTCGGGGTCCTCGTGTTTCACTGATGTTCGTCGGCGTTTGCTCTGTCGAGTGGTCAGTCGCTGAAACCAAATGCGAAAAAAAAGTCGCAATCCACACGTGCTCATCGGAGCAGGTTATGGCGTACCAGGGGCTCGTCCTCTTCCTCACTGCTTTCCGGTTCGACATATGACTTTTTATTGTCAATGCTAGTACGAGACTTGCGCTTCCCCGCGCTGTGCGCCGCATCCGCATCCTTCATCTCGACGTCCTTGTCCTGCACTGCACCGAACCGAACCGAGATACCGGGCGCAATATCACCGTTACCGTTTGTATTTGGGGTGGCCGAGGCGGAGTTTGCTAGGACAATCCCAAGTTAGGTAAGCGCGAGGTAAAGACGACAAAGAGTGACACAAGCACAATGCGAAAGCGATGGGAATAGAAAGATGGGATTGGAGGGTGGATGGAGAAGTGAAGGCGAGAAATTCCGAGCAAAGTACATAGCCCTCAACAGAGAAAATAAGAGCCGAGGGCGTAGTACATCGAACCGAATTACCCGGTAGCTGACTTACCCTTTGCGCGCCCATTTGCGCGAGCCAGAGGCATATCGTCCTCCGAAGAGCTCATCGTGGTTTGAAGTACTGGAAGTGGAAAATGGAGGCGAGTATGGAAGAAACGAGGGATGATCAAAGGCAAATGTCCTCGTGCGCCGAGTCGGACAAAACGAGCCGCTTGATAGAACGATGAAGTCAAAGCAATTCTGACCAATGAACTGAAGGCTAACAAATGCTAAGAGGAACGATGCATCAATGATGCGAGAAATAGAGTAAGGTTTGGATAGGGATGAATGGACGGGTGAGAAGATTGGGGGGGAAACAAGCAGCACCCAAGTTCACGAGTAAAGGTAAGTTTGGGGGAATGGAGGGAATGGAATGGAAAACGAGATTCGTTACCTCATGGACTGCCTAAGGCCGGGAATGGCTGTGTCGTGCCCCGTAATCCAGGCATTAAGGCATCAAAGTGCGCCGGAAGCCGGAATGGTACGCCGTAGATTCTTCCCCATTACGGTTTAGCGCGCATGGGACGGCCAGGAGTTCAACTTCGCACTTCCCGACCATCGCAACTCCCAGCAACCAGTGAGGTCTTCTGGCATACCCTGCTCCTTTCTGCATCTCCTCTCCCGTTTCGAACTTCTCCGTTCGTAAACCCCCCTAATCCCACCCTCGCAATGTTCTCCCGTGCCGCCCGCCCGGTCCTCAGGGCTGGCAGTGCTGCTGTCACCCGGTAAGTCTTCTTCCGATGCCCGCTCAGGTGTTTCGGTCCTTTCACCCGCCGAATTCAACATCACCACCACGAATGCCAGTCCTGCTCCCATGAGAAACCAAGCTTAATCGCCTCGATAATCAATCAATTCGTCGTCCATTGCTGACTTCCACCCAAGCACTGCCCCGCCCAATGCCGCCAACTTCGCGACTCTTCGTGAGATTGAGGGCCGCCTCAAGTCCATCAAGAACATCCAGAAGATCACCAACACCATGAAGGTCGTTGCCTCCACCCGTCTTACTCGCGCCCAGAGAGCTATGGACGAGTCTCGCGTCTACGGTGAGACCTCCAACACTGTTTTCGAGAAGGCCGAGACCAAGCCGCTGGAGGACAAGAAGACTCTGTACGTCGTTGCTAGCTCCGACAAGGGTCTTTGCGGTGGTATCCACTCCAGTTTGAGCAAGGCTGCTCGTCGTTTGTTGGCTTCCGACCCTGAGGCCGACCTCGTCATTCTTGGTGAGAAGGGCAAGGCCCAGTTGTCGCGTTTCGCTTCCGAGAAGATCCTCCTCTCCTTCTCGAACGTCTGCAAGGACATCCCCACTTTCGCCGATGCCCAGGCTGTCGCCGACCAGATCTCCCTGCTGCCTACCGACTACAGCAGCGTCAAGGTCATCTTCAACAAGTTCGTCAACGCTCAGACCTACGAGGCTACCGTCATTGAGGCCTACTCTGAGGAGGCTATCACCCAGTCCGGTACGATCTTACCCGCCCATTAGAAGGCTTACAACTCCGGCCATACTGACAATACCTCTAGCCAACATCTCCGCTTTCGAGATTGACGACGAGGCTCTGACTAGTCTCCGCGAGTACGCTCTTGCCAACAACATCTTCTGGGCCATGGCTGAGGGCCACGCTTGTGAGATCTCTGTATGATTATCACCATCCCATCTTGCAACGCATTTGGAATCTTTTTACTAACGTAGTTCTCAGGCTCGTCGCAACGCTATGGAGAACGCCTCCAAGAACGCTGGTGAGATGATCAACAAGTATGTGTTTCCGTCATACCCATGTTTTCGGTTATTTGATTTTAACAATTTCAACAGGTTCCAGATTCTGTACAACCGTCAGCGTCAAGCTACCATTACTGGTGAGCTGGTTGAGATTATCACCGGTGCCACCGCCTCCGCCGACATGTAAGAGCCTTCTCACGGGCTTTCACGGGATGAAGTCTCCCTCGGCGTAGACTCTGTTGATATTTAGATCGACCCTCCGTTTTTTGTAAAATCAGTGTCAATCCATTCCAATTTCCTATGTGGTTCCGGTATAACCGGCTTCACTTACTATGTATCGTTGCTTTAATTCTCGTAGTCCATCCTTGTCGAAGGTGGCCACCATAGAAAATTGCCAACTTCACCACTTATCTGTCTTCTCTACCTGCAATCCTATTTTTGGTGACGACAACTTCTCGGCACTGTGAAGCTGTCTCTTCGCTTGGATCAGTTTTGCTTCGCTACCCCAATATCACAGCCAGCAACCGAGGCAGTCTATATACTTCTAACATTTTGCCGTTCCAGGGCTTCTTTCCAAGGTAGATTCAACTTCCTACATCAATGTATCCATATCTTCTTACATTCATCAGCTCCTCAATGAATCCAAAAGTTATACTATCTCCACATCCATCTCAAAGTCCTCGCTGACGACAGAAGCCCACGGTTTCCTCCTTATCTTTTTCTACATTCTACTTATTAACTTTTTTTTTTCGACTTTCAACACTCATCAAGTCTTCGACAGCTTAACTTCTTAAGCCACCTCAGTGATTTGTTATCGCAGTCATCGGCCAGAGGCCAGGATTCAGATCTTACCTTATTCGCAAGGCCTAAAATCACTTCCTGCTTCTATTCACTTTCGACTTCTTGCACTCATTAACTCCTCGACAGCCAAGCTAAATCACCTACTTCGACACCTGGATATCTCACCCAACAACTCAAGCTCGGAACTTGTTTCTGGTCTTCTCCGTGTCATATACTTTCAACTTCCGACGTCAATTTGCTCTTCTCTTCCTACATCCATCAGCTGTTCGAGGTGATAAGAAGTTGAACTCACCAACTTCTTGACAAATCGACTATTTGCTGCGGAAACGTCGTCCTATTCTGCTCAGCACTTTGATTACAGACAATTTCGCGTCAAGTAGCCATGATGATGTCCAAGAAAGACCCGATAGACCACTACGGAGCTCTCGAGCTCCCGCATAACTGCACTCAAAAGGAAATCAGTGCTTCCTTTAAAAGACTGGCCCTTCTGCATCATCCTGACAAGATAGTCGGTGATAAGGCCATCTCAGATCATTTCTGCCAGGTACGATATTCGTTTCGGTATATTCATGGATCTGAACTTCCATGATTCGCTTCCATGATACCCCTCTAACGTATTCGCATATACAGATACAGGAAGCAAGAGAAGTTCTTCAAGACCCCGAACGCCGCCTCCTCTATGACCAGACCTTAAGTCTGCGGTCAACCTTCATCTCTCGGGGCTACCGCAAACGATACAAGCCATCTGATAACCCGCGAAGTGAAAATTTCGAGCAAGAAAGTTGTATGCCTTGCGATTCTAAATCTCCACCGGAAGAGTACATATATACCTGGGGATCGTCTGTTCACATGAATCTGAACTCCGAGTGGGCACAGGCAGAAATTGCTCGACACACAAAGGAAATGGACGAGTGGGAGATGAGATTTGCGGGCACTGGCCCTGAGGTCCAGAAGGCAAACTATGGGCATGACAGACAGTTCAAGGAAGGCCAAGCATCACCAGAAGGGGATGCAATAGTCAACGAAGATAGTTGTGAGGATGGCCTCCCAGGACCGAGCTCGGAGAAACGGACTCCAGAAGCTAATGAAGATGGGAGTGAGCATGGTCATATTGATCCCGAAGTACAAAAGTCAATTGAGAAGCTTTATGCATACGGCATGAAAGGTGGAGTCCCTTCAGATGATGAAGGGTGTCTGACTGAAGGAGCATCTGAAGATGCATCGAATGCTTGGCTGGGAAATGATCACAATGGAAATTGTCTTTGGAAGTTGAAATACAACGACTACTTCAATGATGCTGAAAGCAAGGCAGGTTCGGATTTTTTCTCGGCGACTGGCCATGCAAGCCCCCTCATTGATCTAAGTGATGATGATCAGGGGTATGAAGCAATTCTCAATTCATCTAACTACAACAAAGCCAAGCCCCTGTATGATTTCAAGCCTGCCACTCTCAAGGAGGGGCTCAACAAGGCTACCGAGGTGCCTGGTATCATTGCAGCCAATGAGCGAGATAATGCGGACTCAGCAAACGGCAGCATTGGGTGCTTCATAGATCTGAGTGGCGATGAGCAGGACTATGAAGCCAACCACAACTTATTCAAGGGGAACAAAGTCGAGCCCCCCAACAATTCCAAAAAGAGTCCCCACGAGGCCACCAAACCGCTTGCTACTGATTCAATTCACAAGCAGGTGGGAACAGCTTCAACAACTGGCAGCATTGGCTGCTTGGTAGATTCCAGTGATGGTGAGCAAGACTTTGAAGCTTTCTCCAACTCTTCTAAGAGAGAAGCCGGTGTCGCGGGCTGATTGAAGCCCTCCCTCGTTGGACTATATACTGAGATACTGAGATTCATGGTTTCTTACAATCTATTCATATACCTCTCATCGGTTGTGGCTTCATTTCTGGTTTTTATAATTCATGTTAGTCCGGGGTGAGTGAAAAATGATATCACATTTTGCCCTCATCGATCAAATCTATAGATGACCAGTTCACGATTACAATTCTCACCTATGAGATATCTCTCGCAACCACTGATCTTCCCTCGGCCTGTAAAATCATGATTCTCCTTTGTCATCCTAGAATCCATGGTCTGAATCGACAAGTTTATGGTCTGATCCTTATGTTCATTATCTCTGCCATCTGCATCCCACTGAACTGGATCAAAATGCAAGCAGAAGTTGAGCCCAGCATTCGAATCCGTCACCTGTGCAATAATGCCGTACCAACTATCAACAAACAAAGCCATAGTGCTCACTGGTGGTGTTTGTAGGCTGCAGTTACCACGGTAGGGTGGAAGGAGAAGGTTACTTTCTTGTCGCCAGTGGGGACCATGGCCTTGTAATGGAATGCTGGTGGTTATGGCCCGAGGCAAGCCAAGGGGGTCAGGGGCTGTAAGCCACGTGTTGAGGTTCTCTGTTATTATGATCGAATGACCGTCATCGGTAACCTCGAGTCGCTGGATACTTGGGCAACCACGTTGGCGCACGCCGAAGAATTCGAGGTCCCGGAAGCCGAACCGAGCCACGATAGATGGAGACTGGTCGACGTCTGGGCCTGTCTGGCGGCCAGTGGGATCTAATGATGGTAGATATGAAGATGGCTTGGAAATATCCCACACAAACAACGATTCGATGGGAGCGTCTTCGTCAGCGGTATATAAGCTGCGGTTGGGTTGCCAGATGTATATCACATAATAAGTGTCACTATGCGCGGAGAAGAATCGGTCCCGCTCACTGAGCGGATGTCCAAGAAACATGATCTTCCATTGGTTTCGTGGAACGATGCTCCATCCATCATCTGGTTTGCGCTTCAGGTCGAACGACGAAGCAAAATGGCGATGCACACCATCGCTATCATTGAGCCAGTGGAAAGCTTTTGGTTCTGCCCATTCGACAACCAGTAGTCGCTTCTGCAATCGCACCCTACGGACAACCTTGCCGCGAACAATGAAAGGGACCATAAAGTGCCGGTCATTGCTCAGGTCCATCAACACCAGACATTGGTGATGGGCACTAGGGTAGACTAGCAGCCCATCTTCGTGAGTCCATAACGCCTCGGAGAACTGGCGATCCACCGTCTGCCGAACATGGCTTGCGTGCGACTCCCACGGCTGCACCTGGTACCATTCCCGGTCTCCTGCACCTCCGAAGTCGTCACACAGGCGGTACTTTTGTACAGAGCGGGGCTTCCCGTGTTCCAGATGGTGATATCGCGCAGTGACTTGATCAAAGAGACGGCAAGCCTCGCGATCCTTGGAGTCTATGAGTCTAGCGCGTACTGTTTTGGCTTCTTCTGTCCAAGGGAAGTGTCTTTTCAAGAGTGGGACCAGGATAGCTGGGTTGTCGAACGCTTCGTTCCATGATTTAGAGACACGGCGACAACGGATGAGATCCCCGGGGGCCAAGTAGGCTAGAATTAACCAGAAAATGTCCCGAGGCAAAAAGGCCAGGTCATCATTATTCATACGAGTGCAGGGCTGGGTCATCACTGTGCTGCGGCGGAAAGGAATAGAAAGCTGGAAGCTTCTTATTGGAGAAGCTCTTCCCTCCGCATGCCAAGAGCTTCAGGACACCTTGCGTAATTGTCTCAATCAATCTGGCTTCTTTCTCCCTACTTATCTGGTGAAGCTCTACTGAGCGCCTTGCTGTTTGATTCAACATTCTACCATCACTATGTTGCCTCCGAGCTCCTTCCTGCTTTTTGCCTCGTTGCTGGCAGCTGTGCCCGCCAACGCCGATGGCATCTACACCAAAAAGTCGCCGGTGCTACAGCTGAACCCCAAGACTTACGGATCGCTGATTGCGAACTCAAATCACACTTCGGTGAGATGACAGTCTCTTACAACATGTTTAAATCATGTTCTCGGTTGAATGCGCTAACATTCTTCTAGATCGTCGAGTAAGCCATCCCCGCACCGTCATCAACCTTCTCCAAGACCCTCACGCTGACCTTCCAACGCTCCACAGATTCTATGCTCCCTGGTGCGGTCACTGCCAGAACCTCAAACCCGCCTACGAAAAGGCCGCTCAAAATCTAAATGGCCTGGCCAAGGTCGCAGCAATCAACTGCGATGAAGACGAGAACAAGCCGTTCTGTTCACAAATGGGCGTCCAAGGCTTCCCGACCCTCAAGATCGTGACACCCTCGAAGAAACCTGGAAAGCCGCGCGTGGAGGATTACCAGGGCGCGCGTACCGCGAAGGGCATCGTCGACGCGGTCGTCGATCGCATCCCCAACCACGTCAAGCGCGCGACGGACAAAGACGTGGACAGCTGGCTGGAACAAAATGAGGAGCGCCCCAAGGCCATCCTCTTCACAGAGAAGGGCACGACCAGCTCGCTTATTCGCGCGCTGGCAATTGACTTCTTGGGTGCAATTGACATCGCCCAGATCCGCAACAAGGAAACCAGCTCCGTGGAGAAGTTCGGCGTAGAGCAGTTCCCAACATTGGTCGTGGTTCCTGGCGGTGACGCGGAGCCTACGGTGTATGAAGGCGAGCTGAAGAAGCAGCCTATTCTGGAGTTCCTGAGTCAGTTCGCCGAGCCCAACCCAGACGCGACTGGAAAGGCTGCCCCCACCGACTCTAAGCCGAAGTCTAAGCCCAAGGCTAAGCCGACCTCTATCGCGGAGGAGGCGGAGGAGGAGGAGCCCACCGTCACTCCCGAATCCAAGCCTGCCGAGGTACCTGTCGCACCTCCAGCACCTATCCTCGCCACCTCTGAGTCCCTCGCATCTGCCTGTCTAGACCCCAAGTCCAATACCTGTGTGCTCGCCCTCCTTCCCGAGACTGGCGCGGACGCAGCGCTTCCCTCCACTGCCAACGACGCACTGTCCAGCTTGGCCGAGGTCGCCCACAAGCACTCTCTCCGCGGCGTGAAGATGTTCCCCGTGTACGCCGTCCCCGAAACGAACACCGCCTCCAAGACCCTGCGCTCCGCATTGGGTCTCGATGGTAGCCAGGATGTGGAAATCATCGCTATCAACGCTCGTCGCGGCTGGTGGCGTCGGTACAGCGCTGAAGGGGAGTTCGGCATCACTGCCGTCGAGTCTTGGGTTGATGCCATCCGTCTTGGTGAGGGTGCTAAGGAGAAGCTGCCCGAGGGTATTGTTGGCGCAACTGAGCCCGAGCCCGAGGCTGAAAAGGCTGAAGAAGTCGAGCATGACGAGCTGTAAGGTCCAGAGACTTGAATAATCGGGATCAACATTTGTTTTTATCCCGACAAGTTATTGCATCTTACAGCCGTGTATTTCATATCTTGAATTGAATTTGGTCGTCATCCTTGAAAAGTTTGATTGTATTCGTCTTGGATTAGTGTGTAGTACAACTATTCGCATCTTTCTACTGCTACTAGATTTGTATAGATGGCTTGGTTCCCTCTGATGCTGATCAGGGCTGATCCTTGCCTACCCCACAGTTCCGATTTGCCCTAATCGCCTTTTCAGTAGCTCATAGACATCGTCAATTTGCTTGTTCATTCCATTATGATTGGAACTCCAAATCGTGGGGAAATGGGTCCGAGTGCCAATTACAGTGGTAGATATCAAATTGTTTGTCTTCACATTGCGCTGTATACGGAACAAGGTTGCCCAGTCCAGACAAGAATAGCAGCGGTGTAGGGCGCAAATAAACATTTGCTCTCGCCATGCCCAAGATCTGTGACTCAAAGTGGACCGCTTCATGCAGTGCAACCCGAGGTCATTTGAATTAAGACTGCAGAGATTTGATGCCCCAAGACCAGAGTGCAATTTCACCACTTGACCTCGCTGGTTTCAATTCTTTCTTCAAGGCAGCCTTGGACGTGCAAAATGAAGTGCCATTCCATGGCCGAATGTTGGGACCTTGGCGAAGAACCGAGATTCTCACATACCAAGGTCATATTCCACGATGGCGACGATTATTTTTTGGCCCGACTGCCCGATCGCTACAGCAAGCTAGAAGAAATCGATGTGCCCAAGGATGGCCTCACCAGAATCCCAAAAGAGCACATCTGGCCTTTGTATGAAGAGGGTCTCACAATTTGCTCTAATCCAAACAGGCCAGAGATCTATGTCAAGAAACCTCAACTGACCGACTACTCCGATTCACATGCGCCCAGCATAGACCTACTCAAAGAAGCGAGAATCTGCGAGCTTCTCATGAAAAATCCCCATGGAAACATTGCCCGTTACTATGGATGCGTGGTCGAATATGGCCGAATCACCGGGCTTTGTTTTGAAAAATGCGCGGAACTGCTCGCAGACCGTGAAGCAGCCGGTCGTCTTGTCGATATCGACAGCTGTTACCAACAGATTGAGGCGGGTCTTAATCATCTTCATTCCCTCAGTCTCGTTCACAACGACATTCGTGACTGTAACGTCATGTTTAAAACCCAGGACGGCGAAGAGGTAGTCATTATCGACTTCGATGCGTGTGGTCTACAGGGACTTCCAATTGAGGGGAAATCTGGACCAACGCCCGAAGGTGTTCATACCATGGAGTTTGAGAATGATGGTTATGCTTTGAAGGTTCTTCGAAAAAGACTTCAAATCGCCAGGAGCCAGAAAGACCGGTGTGCATGTGAAGGTTGCATACCCCCGGAGAAGTTGTTGGATCTCCCCCTCGGCCCCTCACGGGGCGTAGGCAACGCCAGGCACCAACTTGGAACCGCTCTCCGAAGTCGCACGTTTATCAGATTCACTTCAAAGTGCCCCATCAGCTTAACACCGTCGCAAGAAATCATAAATAGAGAAATTTCCTCAAAAAATGAAGGGTATCGTGGGGCCAAATGCTTCACTCAGTATAGATTAACCGAGGTTTGCCTAATAGATGGGTTTGTTATGTACACGAGCAACCAATCACACTCCTCGAGTCCTTATTGGCCGTCGATCTCACTGATATCATGGTTCATGCAAGTGGTCAAGCTGGATTCAGTGCAAACGACGCCAGGAATGCCCAAGTGATAAGGCGCTACTGGGCGCCGGGCAATAGACTGTAGAGCGACCCATTAGGTTGACAATTATCCACATAGCCCTTACATATCTGCATGGCATTGATCAGGATGATAGAGAATCGCAGCACGATTGCCAATGGAATTGTCCGGGTTGGTTCGTAGAATTCTATTTTCAGCCGCATATGGGGCAAAAGAGATCCAACAACAATCATCGGACCGGACTCCCGATAAGGAAGGACCTAACATCTTGCAATGTATGCCTAGCGAAACTATGTTATCGACTCCACTTAAAGGACACATTTGCGGGTTTACATTCAGGTGGCCTCACCTGGGAAGGTCGGGTGCATCCAGATGCTCCGATGACTCAACGTTGCATGGAAGCAAGGGTATAACACGATGTAATAAGCACTAGCATGCAGGTGGTGGGGAAGCCACAGATGTCCTACCCGGAAGATTCCTCAGGCTCGGAATACAGATATTCCAAATCCCCAAACGACACTGCATGGAGAATATGCACCGCATTGGATTAGGAATTGCATAAAAGCCACGGACATTCGAAGTATGAGATATCCAGGACGCTACATGACAAACCAGAACCACGTCAACGCTGAGTCCTTTCGCCTTGTAGTTCAAGTATCGGCGATATGCTATAAATCCTATTTCGGCCTCCTATGCTTAAATTAGGGGCAAGACTAGCACCAAGATGCCACATGGGCAGAATTATGGCGTATGTGGAGGTCTTCAGTGCCGTATTAGAAAACAGATCGGGACATCTGGAAGTCGGCGCAGCATTTGAGCTCGGAAACTGCCCAGGTGCCTAGGTACCTTCCAGGTACCTGTCAACGTAAATCAGCCTTGACACGGTTTGCCTTGATGGAAGTACGTATATAGTGCTTGTATTTCACACAGAGCTCTCATCATGTCGAGGTTCATTTACAGTATCCATCCGAGTCCGAGTACCCTCCAAGGTTTCTACGAATTTCACATAGTTGAACTGAAAAAGGATGGGTTTAGATTTGATACCAGTGTCCATAGCCTCGGCCTGTGTCTCAATCAATACCCGGGAACTCATTATCCTAGCTGCTACAGCCTTCTTCCTACTCGCCCTTTCCTGTCCACCTTTATTGAGGAATGGGAGATTGTTCCGAAGCTACAACCATGACAAAGAGCCTCCGAATATCAAACTGTCAGAAGCAAACACGGTTAGATCATTTTACAGGAAGCGTGTCGACTTTCTAAGAGACGGCTTTAAACAGACAGGATCATGGGCGTTTCAGTTTAACTTGCTCAGGAATCGGGTTATAGCCGTTTCTGGGGAAGAAGGGCGAAAAATACTTTTGCGAGAGTCAGGACTTGATCTCTATGAAGGATTCCAGATTGTTCTCAAGTCTGTAAGTCATTTGATTATAGTTGCATATCCGCAATCGTCTTGGAACACTAATTCTAATCCCTAAATTGTGTCAGATTCCTAAGGGCTTCGATCATCAGCAAGTCAATTCATTTTATAAGCACCTCTTGTATCTCCAGAAATCCGATAGCCTGAGCTTTAGTGGGTCTACAGCCTTCGCCAGGAAAGTGAATATCTTTTGTTCTAATGCATGTATAGTGATACCCTACCTTCTCTCTGATTGTCAGCGCAAGATAGACACTTGGGGTGGTCAAGGTCTATTGAATCCCAATTTGGCCATCTATGATGTGGGTCATTACTTCTTGGTCTCTCTATGAATCCGTTTGTATTCAAACAGTCAAAAAGCTAAATCCACCTCTTTACTAGATTACGTTTGTCATGGTTATGCGGGCCCTCACTTCGTTCGATATCACCGACGACTTGGCCCTTCTGTCTCGCCTACAGGGGTGGTTCGATGTTCTTGATTCCTCTACCGAGCCATTCTCGGTTCTTTTTCCATGGATTTATGGTCCTGCTTCGATCCGAAGACTGTGGGCTGCAACAAACCTCTACTTAACATTCAAAAGATTTATTCGCAAGAGAATGAACGGTGGAACTACAAGACCGGATGCGCTTCAGAAGCTCATAGACAGCAACCACACTGAAGAATATATGACCAGGGTAAGACTATCTGCTCTTTAATGGCTTGGATCTTGAATTTATTTATGCTGATCTTCTTCTCTCTAGTTCATGATGGCTCTTCCTTTGGCAGGGGCTCGTTCCACGGGAACAATTGGTATGTGCCGAGTATCTTCCTCCAATCATGATTATACCGCTTAACTCTCTTTGCAGGGAAATGGCTCATCATGTTTCTCTCATCTGACCCAACATGGGCTTTGGCTGTTCGCCAAGAAGTCGAAGGCCTTCTTTCAACCTACAATATCTCTCTACCACACAATCCGTCCCACAAAGACTTCACCAACGCACTATCCCAAATTCTTCTCACAGCCTGGGAAACCAAAATGCCTTCTCTTGACCTCTGCATCCGTGAGACAATGCGAATTGCCCAACCTCACACAGCCCTTCGCAAAAACATAGGTCCGGACCTTGTTGCTGGGGACTACACGATTCCTTCCGGAGCGTTTGTTGTTTATTCATTCTTGGATACAACTATGAATCCTTCGCACTATGCCGACCCAACTCGCTGGGACCCCTCTCGGCTACTTCACAACGACGTACCATCTATAGGGTGGGGGATGGGCAATCATCTTTGCAAAGGGCAGAGACTTGCCTTGTTGACGATGAAGCTTTTGACTTCTTCTTTGCTTCTAAGGTTCGACTTGTCCATGGTTGATGAGCAACTTGAAAGGATGCAGGTACCACCCGTGCCGAATTATAACGACCAGCTTACTTGTCAGCCCAAGGATATTTGCAGCATCAAATTTACTGAAAGAATATCATGATCGAAAATACGTGGATTACCGCAGAAGATGCGAGGACGATTTTCATTTTATGTACACCTGAAAAGGATTGGTGATTTAAGCGATCAATTTGTGGATTAGACTTGTTATTAACTAGAGCTGTCATTCCATACACGAACCGAAGCTTTTCGCTTCATTGAAGAGTGTTAGAGATTCACATATACCGGCTACTCAAGTGGTTCCTCAATTTCCAGGGGGTGGTTGGATAGTAAATAGCTTGGCACTGTGATACTCTTGATGTATCTATACTGTAGCAATGGAAATCCTTTAAAATTCAAGAATAGTGTAACTATGGATCTCTCCTGAGGCCATGCGGGAGTTTCTATAACAAAGTCTACAATTATACAACACGGTACACTAGGTTCAACTCATTAACAGCAAAATTCCATGGCTTCATGATATGTTTACTTACAAGACCCAGGTTGATCATATTGGTACAAATGAGTATATATAGGGGTCAAGCATTGCACATGAATTTTAAAAAGAAGAGCAACCTTGGGAGAAGCCGCAGAAACACCGTATAAACCTTGGAAATGCAAGATAACGCCACCAAACAATCAGAGCCTTAGCTCTATTTTTTGCGGCCCTCGGTGCCCTTCTTGATCATCTTCTGTCTCTTTGCATCAACTTCCTTGTCGAAGATCTCACGAGCAGTCTCGCCCTTCTTTCGCTTCGACGGCTTAGACTTCACGCTGACAGTAGCAGCACCGCCATTGCGGATTTGCTTTTCAGCATCTTCCCAAGCTGCGGAGCCGCTATCAATGGCGTATCTGGAGGCTAGAAATCAGTTATTGTTCATTCGGACCTCGCAAGGAAGGAAATGAACACGGATATTGACTTACTTGTCCAGAGGGAGAGAATCAATCAGCGCACGCTGCTTCTCGCGCATTTCATCGTCAATCTGTTGGCCACCCTCCTTGAGCTCCTCGTCTAGGCCAGTATCCAGCGGTTTGAAGCGGTCCTCGATAATATCATCATCATGGGCACCACCTGCGGGCTCTAAAGACTTTTGCTCTGCGGGCATGGACTCGGCAACGGCACCCTCGACGATGCTACGGAAGTGCCTGGAAATCTTGCGCATTGCCTTGAGGAAGAGGGCAAGAATTTGAGAGGCGGGAATGGGGAGCTCCTTCTCGAGATCATCCACAGTCTTGCGCTGCAAACCAATACCGAGCAGGATCTCCATCTGATGACCTCCGAGTTTAACCTTGTCACCCAGACGACCGGAGAAGTAGTATTCAGCAATCCGGGGAATCATATCCATAATGACGTGGTAGTCCAGGAGGTTGTTTGCGTAGCTATCCAAGCGCTTCAAGTCGAAGGGCGAAAAATCAGCATCAAGATCGGCCTTCTTCAAGGGACGCGGAGCGGTTGCGGTATCGAGCTTAGCACCGGCGTTGGCAGATTCACGAATAATCAGAGAAAGGATAACGGGGAATTGGCGGAACTGGTAAGAGAGCAGAGCAAGGAATCGGCGGTGGAAGTCACGGGAGAAAGATCCCAACCAAGCGGCATCGTTGGTACCGGTAGCCAGAGTGCGAAGCATCACGCATGAGTGCTCTCCAGTGAGCTCATTAGGAGTTTGACGCAGGTAGACTGGGTGGAAGGAAGACTTCATCCAAAACCTTTGAAGAGAGTGTGTAAGGCCATAGCTGACACCAATGTAGTCGAGGGCATCAGGGCGACGCTCTGTCAACCTAGTGAAAAGAGGGGGCATGGTGTGGATGTTGCGAACGCGCACATCGTCATCCAGAAGGTTCGCGTTGGCGAGCTCTTCGTCCGTGACACGGACCATCTCTTCCTGAGGAGCAATCATACCCTCATCCAGGCTAGTGAACTTGCCCTCGAAGAAATCGACCAGGAGCTGTATGGCGAGCTTACCGAGTCCCCTGCCTGTACAATCGGGGTGTGTGGCAACACGAACAATTCGGGCTCCAGAGAGAGTGGCAAAATCTTCATCCTGGAACTGCTGGCTAACCAACCAAGGGATCAGATCACCACCGGCTCGCTGGCCACGGCTAAGACTATTGAGGACACTCTGTCTGCTGATACGGCCCTCAAGAGCAACCTGAATAACACAAAGAGGTTCGGGCACCTTTGTAGATTTCTCGTCAATTGGAGGGACAAGCACATAGAGCTGATGTGCAGGTGCGTCACTCATGAGCTGAAGATCGTTGGGAGTATTCTTATAGTGACTGGAGACATAAAGTTTAATCATCTTCTGCAAGAACTCCTCCGAAACAGGGTTAAATGAGAACAGGGTATCTCGGTTAACCTGTAGCAGTTGATACTTGTCCAGAGATAAGGAGGCCTTTGTTCCCATGATTTCTCTCATCGACTCCTTCTCCGCTTCGTCAACGTCAGTCGCACCCAGGCACAGGACCTGGCTCAACCACTGCTCGACAGGATCTTTCTTAGCATATCGAATGGGCTCTTGGAGCTTAATCTCCTTGAGCTTTCGGCCACCGAAATTCATGCCCGAGTTCTTTGAAGCCTTTCCAGTGCTTCGGTCTGCCACGTCGGTGCCGTCGGCACCGTCGCTCTTGCCACCATTTCGGGATTGCTCACGAAGCTGTTGAATCAATTTCAGAGAGAGCGAACGACCGGTTCCTTCGTAACCGTTGATGGTGGAGGCCATGAAGATTAGGTAAGGTCCCATCAACTTGCGAACCAGAGGCAGGGGAATGGCAGCAGCCTCATCAATAACCAAGAGCTCAGCCTGTCCGAGGACATGTGCATCCTGCGGCTGAATGTACTGGATGGTCTGGCGGTGCTTGTTGTGAATGTGAATGTTGACCTTGACGATGGCCTTGTTGAAATCAGGGTTGGTCGATTGAAGAATGGTGTAGTCGAGATGATCAGTATATCCAAGCGTATCGAAACCCTTGAATACGAACTCAAACAGTGTCTTCAAGTTCTCGGGGCTCGGTGAGGTGATGAAGACGTTGCTATATCCGTGGTAAATGGCTGTTGCGATGGCAAGACCAAGGGCAGCCGACTTTCCTCGTCCACGACCGGCAGTTAAGGCAACTGTGGTCTTCAGTGTCTTCTCAGTAATTGCGTCGGTGAAGCCCAAGAGCGCCTGCGCTTGATCTCCCGTCTTAGCAACCTTCACAAGCGAGCAAAGAGGCTCTGTACCCTCCAAGCTCTCCTTAATTTCCGACAGGCTCGGCGTATTCTTCTCCGATTCCTTTCCCTTTAATTCTTTCTTTGTGCTAGAGCTCGACTCGTCGGAGGATCCGGGGGAGGAAGCGGCTTAACATTTTTGCCGCCGGAGATAGGCAGCACGTTCAACTCGTCATCCACAACCAAGCAGGAAGCACAACTTCCTAGAGACAAGATGAAACGCTCATTGAAGCGAGCAACAACATCGTCGTGCGCCTCTGTTCGGTACCGGGAGTGAATATCCATGGACATTGTGTACAGCTGCTTCAAACTGCTCATGCTCTTGAGCAGCAGCAACACCATGCCACCACCCTCGACCGTCTCAACTGTGCGCGCCAAAAGGTTCGGGGTCATGGCTTCGAAATCCTGCAGAATACACATGCCATAGGTGTTACCCAGGATCTTCTCTGTTTCCTTGTAGTAGACATAGCGGATTTGATTGAGGGTGATGAACAGCTCGAAGGGATCCTCCTGGTTGGCTTCCCGAATACCGTACTTGACTTCCTTCTTAATCTTTGCCTCACGCTTCTTGCGGTGACTGGTAAAGCCTAGAAGATCCTTCTTGTAGGCCCACAGCACAGATTTGTTCTGCTTCACATCGACACTGGACATGATATAGTGGAGATTCACGATCACATCTTTGGCACGGTCACCGACCACTACGAAAAAGCTGCGCTTCTTCTCCTGGACACAATTTCGGATCAGGGTGGGGATTCGCGAATCAATTGCCTTGCGCGGCATGGTGAAGGTGCGGAGCTGGCCGCGAGGAAACGAGGTTTTTAGCTTGTTGTTGAACTCTCTGTGGAGGAAAGATGAGCAATTTGACGTGTTAATAATAGGAGTGAATTTCTCTAGTCCCTTGATGAATGGCCCGATGTAAAAGGGCGTTGATCAGAGACAAAAAGAACCCTCCAAGTCGCTAACATTCCCGATTCAGCCCGCAACGAGAAAAAAAAATCATATTGCTAGCCCATACCGCCTACCATATTTTTCTGTCCATTTTCACCGCCCAGCAGCAGAACTTCCACAGGTCACATGACCTAGACAGGCGGTGACATGTCACATGACAAGGCCCTGTCGATTCCTTCCTAAAGTGGAACCAAGAAGGGAGAGCCCTGTTCCGCTTCGAGAAGCCAAATGACTCCACTTGGCCGAGTATGATGAGCGCTTATGGCGTTACGTTGTGATGTCTCATTTGCTTTGTTTCAAGGTATTTGTGGGTGAAGTATAGAATTCACCACGATGGGGCTAATTGACAGCCAAGGAAAATTGCAAGGGCTATGACGATGGGCAGTGCCCAGCACTAAGTGGAGTGCGCGGGAGCCAAGTCCTGCTTCTGGGCGCCGATCGCCCGGCATATCTTGTTGTGTCTTGGAGGCATGCCTGAACTGCAATCAAGGGCGCGAGAGGCCCAAGGCGGATGTTGCTCAGATTATATGCTGTCTCATTGGTCGGGCAGGGCAGAAATGCACATCGTACACGAAGGGGTCCATGGTTGCGTGCTCAACCAAATATCCAACCACCCACTGTTGACGCAACTTGATCGCTAGTGAGCTCCATTCTGACTGGCCGCGAGTCTCTTACTGGCCACGAGCCCGGCGCTTCCTGCCCCAGCCTGATTCAGGCTGTGGCTGGACTGTCAATCCCCTGATGTCCCCACCCACCGGAGCTCCACCGGAGATTCAGGGCCCGGGATCCTGGGGCTTCTTGGTCGGTCCCTCCCTCCTGTGTCCCTGTTTCTGCGCGCGCAAAGCTGTTTCCCCTGCGACCCGAACTACATTTTCGAAACGGCACGATGGGCTGTAATACTGGACGAGTATAATTTAACGTTTTGGAAGCACGATGCTCCAGCTCTCAGCTGATACCGGGCTCAAGGTTTCGGTGGGGTAAGTAACTTGCCATCAACGCCATCCCATACCGATTCATTTGGAAAGGGGAACCAAAATCTAACAGCGGCATTCTATCTAGGGTCTTCTTTCTGTGCGCATTTTTTCTGCACGCGACTTATAATACGACCTTTGCCTTTGGTAAGTTGCCTTTCCAAGCGGGGTCTTCGCGCGCTGACTTCAACCTTAAGATCGCCCGGTCAATACGGTTATCTTGACCTGCTTCCTTACAGGAGCAGTTTTCCTGGTTTTTGGTCGCTTCGTTCCGTTGACATCGCGACCCTCGTCGCCTATCTCCAAACGATCTAGAGTTCCACTCGCCGATCAATTTGAACTTGCTTCGCCATCCTCGTCGCGCTCCTCACTATCGCGTTCTTCAATCTCTTCACCAATATTGGCATTTGATGAACCAGCGCCTCCAGTTCGATCCGGGTATTGGTACAAGCTTGGTCTTCTGTTAAGCATCTGCTGTCTACGAGTTGAATTGTTCCGACGAATCAGTCTCAACAGCGAGTGTGTGCCCGCCGGGTTTTCGGTAAGGTGACATCGCCCTTGCCATGACAGGATTCATTAAGGCTGATAGCCTGACCTAATAGTATTTTATCCCATTCATTGTTTCCCTCTATGACTATTGGCGCTATCGACGATTGCAGCCGACGGACGACTATGTCTCTTCCCACCGATTTCAGAGCGTACCTATCCAGGTGATCGAGTCGGTTTATCGACGATGCTTCTATTATATGACAAAGAGCGTTCTTAGAGGTATTATTGCCGCTATCTTGGTTTCTATTGGTGGGTATTCGGCTTCGTCCTTTTTGGCTGGGAGTCAATCCACCTATATCTGCCCAATCATTCTTGATACTGCATTTTGGATGCGAATTGTCAAATTAATCAGCCTGGTCTTTGACTCGCTTATTTTAATTGGAATTGCTGAGCTATTTGAATACGGTGCCGAAAGAAGTGAAACGCGAAGGCAGAAACGGGCGCTCATGTCTTTGGGAGCTGGCCTTCTCGTAAGTGGCATGCCGCTGGACGCTGGGAACGACTTGCTGACAAGAAGGTTTTATCAGGTTATTGCATTTGTTTGGTCAATAATCGGGATTTTTGTCGAACAGAGCCGCCCCGAGCATAGGGGCCAGCCATTCTTGGACGCAAAGTACACACGAAGTGCCTTTGGTCTAGCCCTACTGGTTCTGTTCTTCATTTTATCAGCTTGGCAGATGGTGAGTAATAATCGTGTCGATTCCAGTGACATTGATGGGTACTGACAGCTACAGGTGCCAACGTACGGTGTGTTGGGAATATCTATTCTAACCGGCTTCATGTTTATCTACTTCTCCGCCGTATCAACCTTGCTGTTTCGACAGTTGCCCTTCCCCTTTATCTCCATGGATCATGCCGTCCTTCCCTTCGCAACATCTACGGCAGGTGCTGTGCTCTTCCTCTTGGCACGCATTGTTTCGCAGGAAGAATCGAAGTCATTGTATCGTGCCAATATTACCTTGCAGGTTACATTCATTATCCTTTGCAGCATCGGCCTCATATTCGCTTCGACCAAGCACCATTTCGCACATACTCACCCCATCGACCTATTGGTTCACAAGGCAACAATTCAATTTGATCGTTTTTCTGAGCAAGCTGCCTCAAGCAGATCGCTGGAAGAGGCTGTTTTGGAATATCGCAACCGGTATCACCAGCATCCACCTCCGTAAGTATTGGATCCCCTAATGTTTGGCTATGCAGTGCTTACCTAATTTTTTTTTCAGTGGTTTCGACAAGTGGTACGAGTATGCCACGCATCGATCATCGGTGATCATCGACGATTTTGATGAGCTTCACAAAAATCTTCTTCCTTTTCGATCTGTCCCGCCCCAGGAACTACGCGACGCCACCCAAAAGTTAGCAACGAATCCTTTCAACGACCTGGGGGCCATAAGTATTCGTGATGGCAAGCCAAGGGTCCAGGAAGGAATCAAACCAACGCATGCGTGGATGGTTCAAGGCGCTGCTCAAATGATCGAAAAATTCTCTGAACATCTACCAGACATGGATCTTGTTTTCAACTTGAATGATGAGCCCCGCGTCGCAGTTCCGTGGGAAAAGATATGGCCATATAAGCGCACGGCAAAGGAAATGGAAAATGATTTCAATCCTGAATCAGATGTGATAAGCACTTGGTCTGGGAGCCGAAAGAATCGCTGGGGACCCATTGAGCCAGCTGACCAAACAAATGAAACCGTGTTTACCGATGGCGCTTGGCGTGGTGTTTTTGATCCATATGTGAGCGCTATTTGTCCAGCTTCATCCAAAGCACGCACACGTCGAGTCTGGAATCGGCACGACATCTGTTTAGACTGCACGGATCCTCATAGTATGGGTCAGTTCCCAAAACATTTTGATGTTTCAACGGATATCTGTCACCAGCCTGACCTGGCGTTCCTTCATGGGCTATTGATCTCCCCTGCATCTTTTAAGGTGTCTCAGGAGTTGGTGCCGATTTTCAGTCAAAGCGCACTTAAGGGATTCAACGATATTCTCTTCCCCAGTCCCTGGAACTATATTGACAAAGTGAAGTATGAGCCAACTCATGAGCACCCTGATCCGGAGTACAATGACAAGGAAAACTCCCTGTACTGGATTGGTGGCACGTCCGAAGGCATGAGTCGCTTTGGAGAATGGAAGGGAATGCCACGACAGCGGTTCGCACATCTGATTAACAACAACACCGATCACAAGGTGTCTGTGCTTCTGGAAACGGGTCCAAGGTCTTACAAATACGAAATCATGAATGGAAACGAACCATCAGAAAAGCTTGGTCTTCGCGCTGATGTCCATATCGCCGATCAAATCACCCGCTGCGGGGACTGTGATGAGCAACAAGGAGAACTGGGACTGAGTGAAAAAGTCGACTTTCAGGAACACTGGTCCCATCGATTCCTCTTTGACCTTGATGGTGCCGGGTTCAGCGGTCGATTCTTGCCCTTCCTACAGAGTCGTAGCCTACCATTCAAAACAGGCCTTTTCCGTCAATGGTTCGACTCCCGGATGATCTCGTGGTTCCATTTTGTACCTATCGACATCCGTCTCCACGGCTTCTGGAGTACGATGGCATACTTTGCCGGCGTGTCAGGCCCTCTCACTGATGACCATGACCCCAATGTCAGTTCAATGAGAATGAAGGCCCATGACGAGGATGGTCAGTGGATTGCCGAACAAGGACGAAAGTGGGCCGGAATTGCCCTCCGCAAAGAAGACATGGAGATTTACTTCTTCCGCCTTCTACTCGAATGGGGTCGTCTGACCGATGACCAACGAGAAGAACTCGGATTTAAGCCATGATTTAGGTGCTACCTGCCTATTTTATAATGTTTTGTACAATAAATCGATGATCTATGAATTTCCTTAAAGTTGTTCGATGCGAAAGACCCAATCAAACCCAAAGTTTCAAGCTGAAGGCGGCAAATTCGGCATTACCTCCTTATATTCTCCCAATCATCTCGTAAACACTTCAATCTATTGAAGAGTGATCTGAACTCTCATTTTCTCGTATTGGTTTCATTCAAAAGCTATACCAAGCACAATACTGTATAAAAATGTAGCAGACTACCTATCAATAGATGTTAGATGGCCATATTTGCACAGGTAAAGGCAGGCGTCACGCTCCCCGAGTAATCCGTAATGATGGCCTCGACAGCAGCATAAAGACCAGGTCCCAGCAGGAACAGTCCAACACACAAGATGAAGGCATTGATCAGAGTCATTATCGTTTTTCCCAGGCCAGCAAAAAGCCTTCCCCGGTTCAGCTGCCAATAAGCGACAGCGAAAAAGATAAATCCGAAGAATGAATCAAATGCCGCGCCTAGTAGGGAGAGGAAGTCACCCATGCTAGGCACAACCTCGGAGAAGATAAATGCGATAATCCAGATGACAACCATGACGAGGATCCATACCCCCCAGCCGATGACGGTATTGCTGTGCGCATGTCTGGAGGCTCCCATTAAGCGGAGGTAGATAAATTTTGCCGTTACATTAGCATAGATCACGCCAATGATGAGTGTCGGAACGATCACGAAGCCAAAAGACGCCTTCTTGTACGAATCAACGCCCAGACTGCCAAAGGCTGGAGCCGTGGCGTATTGACCGAGATACCGGAATCCAATGGCGGGAGGGACAATAAACAGGATTGCTGATATCACCCCGAGCACAGCCAGGGATTTAGGGAAATCCTGGGGCCGTTCCATTTCAGCGATGAAGGACGGGAAGAGAATCTGTGGAACCCAGAGGAAGGTGATGTTCAACACAGCATTCATGCAGTTGACGAAAGTGGTACCCGGGAGAGGGAACGCATATGTTTTCACGGGTCCATCCGTCGGGTAGTCGCCGAAGTATCCGTATAGGGGAGCCGTTTCAATGCCGGCAAAAACAAGGAAGAGGAGAATTGCGATTCCCATGCAGGCAGCTGCAGCATTGACTCAGCCAAAGGAATCAACAAGGTGTAATAGGTCTGGACAAGACTCACAGGAGAACATAGACATGAAGCTGACGTGGTGCAAAGTCCGCGGGGTAGACATGATGACACCCATGATGGTCGTAATAACAGAAAAGACTGCAGTGCACAATGAATGATCGGACAAGGTATTGAGGACCTTAGCACCAGTAAGGACATGGAATCCAATCAGGAGAATGTTGTTCGCCAGCAGCATGAATGCAGAGAAGACGTAGGCGGCTTTGCTCTGCCCGAATACGTAGTATCCGAAGTCACCTGCCCAAAGTCAATGGATAAGGATATGTCTTATACGTGGGGTGAGAGCGTTTTGCCATACAGATGTCCTTAATCTGAGGGTTCTTCATGATATACTTGTGCATTGTGATCGAGGTAATCCAGAACAAAATACCGGCGAGTACCATTGTGATGATACCAGGGACCCAACCCAGCACACTAAGAGACCACGATTGCGCCATGATGGCCAAGCACACTTGGTCTCCTGCTAGCAGAACGGCCGTTTTCTGCCAAGACATGGTGCGCAGCTTGATATCATGTTGATGATCTGCTATCGCTGTCAGTCTCATTGCAGGCCATCTGGATGCTTCTCAAGAATGAGGCAGTGCGGCGCGCACCTTCAGCAACTAGTGCGTTGATTGTGTCAACCGAGCTATTCACCTCTGTCCCCAGTGTATAGCCACCCTGCTTTTTCTCGTCGATTTCATCCACCCTGGTCGACATTATGAGGCGCCGTGGGAAAAGCGAGCAGAGAGTCCCAGTAATGAGCGAGCTGCTATTGAATGAGTGGGAAAATAGGAAGTCAAGGGAAAGAGTGAGATGAACCCTGCAGGTCGAAAAGTCACGTCCGAAAAAGAGCGAGGTCCGAGTCCTTTTAATGTTTTTAACATTTGATTTGACTTGGAGATTTTTCAACTGTCACCATGCACGTTGTTATGGCGCCATAATTAAAATAATCGCGATTGGACTACGACACTAGTGCCCTTCCTTATCGGTCCGTGGGTCCAGGCCTGTCACCGAGGCTGGAGGATAACCTGCCTGTTGGATGTTCTCATTGGTCCAAGTGCATGTCAACACAAGCAGGATTTCATCCGTGCGCCGCTAAACTCTAGGACCAAGGAACTAACGCAAGTGAGATCGTGGAATTGCTGCCGACGAGGTGAGCCAGTTTGGAATATTTGATTGGTCGCTCGGCACCCAAAATATAATCTAATCTGACCTAAATCCAAGTCCTTGTGGCTTCTTGTTTCTAGGTATGAGAAGGGAGAACGAGGTACAAAGTCAGTGGGTACGTGGTATACCCCACAAAAGATCCAGGGATGACAGCTTGCTCCGTGGATGCCCCTTGCATGTGGATTGAGGACAGAGCATCCAAATGTCACGCTTTGTCCCGGGACTTAAGTGATATAAGGACCCAGATGTATAAAGCCATTCTTTCTGGGAGATTAGTAGGCGATGAGCTATAAACAAGACTACTAGAATCTGAGGCTTTTCAATGGGGGGTGTTACGGTAATTTACGTAGCTGACCGTCACTGGCGCCACTGACTGATATATTACATGAAACTCTAATACATCTTCATATCTGGAGCTGCATCGACTACCATGGTCTACACCAGCAAGTGATGATAGTCGACGTCAGATATCGTACCACTTTGAACTTCAAATGGTTTCTGTGGCCATTTTCCGCTGCTGGCATCTCCAATATTGATAAAAATCCGTCAAAATTGGCCACCGGAAGCTGAGATAAGAAGCGTAGTACCATGGGGTAATGGCGGCACTATGGCCTTCAAACGTCTGTAGGATGCAGTCCATCTATCCTCCACTATCGATTTTGAGAATTACTCCCGCTGATGCTTATGCTTCTTCCAATATAGTCCTTGTGATGCTCCTAGCTGGGCTAAATGGTAGCCCAAGCGTATGCTTGAAGTGGGTGATACTCGATGACTACTCTATGATACAGGGAAAAGCAGTATACATCTCGAATCCTTTCAAGAAGCTGCGAGCTCCCTTGTTGTCTAAATTGATAATAATATCAAAATAGGTATCTAGTTGTATAGATAAGTACAGACCTCTAGTCTCCTGCTTTGATATCGAAGCGATGCCCTCGATAAGTTTCCGAGTAGGCTAGATGCTTCGAGCCATTGAAGGCTGTTGACACGGAAGAAGACTTTAACTAAGTCACCACCCTGGAGGACCTTTTTTGTGTTTTTGATAGGAGAGCATGAGTCTAATCTATTCAGAAGCCACAAGAGTACTGCATACTAGCTAGCGGGTCTGGATCTAGCTGGCAAACCTAGTCAATCGAATATCCAGGGGAAACCAAGTCATACATATCGTATCTAAGAGCCCTTAATGTTGCCTATAAAGAAATTTAAAGTATAACATGATGGAAACTGTCTTTTCCGTGGTAGAATTGTCATCGACTACTCGTCGATGTTGAAAGTCCCTAGCTAACTGAAGGACTAGCAAAAGTAGCATTCTTTGAGCGCTAAGACAGATCCAAAAATGCCTATGATGTCTACTATATTTGGGTCGTCCACGGTTGCCTCAGATAGGTCGATACAAGATGTTAATTCTTCCAATGTCATGGGGCGGTAAACAGTCATTATAAGACTGGGAATAGACTTGCAAGGCTCGGCGTCTTCGGATTGCAAAGTTGCTAATCGCTTATCAGAGCCTGACAAGACCAGAAGGGAATTCTTTCAACTTCTTCCAAATGTCTTTGTTTAGGACGTAAGCGAGCATCTTGCAAACCGTCTCACCCAGAGTAACGTACCATGTACATTTTAAACCAAATGTTGGGAAACAGCATCATGAACATTATGGTCATAGTCCTTTTTTTTCTGACAAATCCTGCACTTTGGAGTCGATGAAGGTGGCGAGATAGATATAGACGCCTCATTCGATTCCAGCTCAATACTTGTTTTTTGAGCCACGACATTAAGGCCCTCTTCTATAATTGGGCAATTACGGCTTAAATACATAGATCACGTAGGCATATTTGGTCCGCTGAGACATTTTCTGAAACTGCAACAGGCTTTTAGTTCACATTTTTCTGTAGTATGACTACGGATTACCTGAGACGTTGTTTAGGCCATGATTATCCCACACTTAAATCCCAGAGTTTGAGCCGCCAAAACCTAACACAGGTGCCATACCGACAGTGTGCTAAGTTTGTGCAGTGAGTATTGTCAGGCATAGGGAATAAAAATACTTACGCCCAACCCCTCAGAGCACAAGTACGGTAATTTCAAGGCGGGGCAGTGAGGGACGCTGGGAATTAATGATTCAAGCGAATACACGAGTACAGTGATAAGAACTTTTATAATTGAATGCAATATAATAGTGCAAAGGCTAAACGAGTGGTAAGGGTATATTCCAAAAAATGCAAACATAAATCACATCAACGTGAACATGCCAGATCTCATCAAACATCAAAAACTGAACGCTCTTAGGCGCCATGCAAAACCGATTCCAGCGGAGAAGAAAATATAAAACAAGGAGATCGCAGATCTCAATCCCTTAAATACAGATCAGATACAGTCCATCGATCTAGATGGTCATTCATATCCTCGATTCTATTCAAATCAATTGAACCAAATCGAATATCCCAAGGCTTCAGAAGGGAACATCTAGAAGCCGGATCCGTGCTTGTATCCATCACGGCGGTGCTTCCAGGCCGGACGGGGAGCAGGGCGGATGTGGTGGGCTGTGCGGCGGGAGTTGGCGTGAGCAGCAGCGTGGGCATGGGGAACTTCATCAGCATGGGGAACTTCATCGCGCTTGGAAGAGCTAGAGCTATCCTGGTAGACCTTGAGGGAGTTGATGCTCCAGTGGGTACCCTCAAAGGCGGAGGGGTTGTTCTGGACGTAAGAGTCGCAGGTGCTAGCGTAGGAGGAGCACGAGCCGCTGGACCAGACATCGCCGGCCCAGTCGCCGCAGAAGGTGATGTCGAAGACCTGAATATTATAATGTTAGTATTGTTTCGTATGTTTTCTTTTTGTGGTAGGGTAATTACGTACGATCTGGAGGTCCTTAAAGTGCGAGCTGATGTCGCAGTCTCCGGAGAATCTGGCGGCGGGGGTACCCCAGCCCGAAGGATCGGGACTACCGCTGTTGATGTCGGAGGGGATGCTTGCATTGGCAAAGTACCAGACGTTGATAGCGTCGCCGGTCCACTCAGTTGCGTACACACCACCATCAGCCTTGTTGAAACCGTCGCCATAGGACGAGTCGTCCGTGTTGACGATAGCGCAGCCGGAGTTGGCGGTCTGGCCCGAAGCCTCAACGTAGCAGTTGCTAGTGTCAAGGGTACCGGTGAAGCCCGAGTTGGAGATTGAGCAACCGTCGCTGGTATGCAGGGTCATCTGGTTGGTAGTATCCTGATTGACGCCCTCGATGATGTCGATTTCGCCATTGTTGGGCCAGTTGGAGCCGAGCATCCAGAAAGCGGGCCAGGTGCCGCAGGTGCTAGCGGGCATGTGTTCCAGATCCAAGATCACCAGACCCTCAGTGTAGGTGTTCTTGCTGGTCAGGCGGACGCTGTTGCGACCATTACCGCTGGCGACATTGGTGTGGTCTACACCGATGTAGACAGAGCTACCGGAGGCACCGATCAGACCGTCATTAGAGGCGGTGGAGTTATCGACGTAGTTCACGTAGCCGTTGGTGGGGTCGGTATCCTGACGTAAATTAGCGCCCGTCCCAATGCATGTGTGGCGGTTAAACATACCGTGTAAAACTCGAACTTGTCGAAAAACGACGAGTCGGTGCCATAGTCATCCAGCAGAGTGTATCCTGCGGTGCTAAGCTGGGCGAAAAGACCCAAGGCCGGAAGGAGTGTAGAAGCGTGCATGGTTGCCGTGATTTCTATAAGAATACCGATATAAGGATTGAAGTTGGTCTGTCAAAGACTGTCGAGATATGGTCTGATAATTTCCGTAGGAAGTCAATCGAATCAAATCCGATAGAAAGGAATGAAGTGCAGGGAATGACAATGTTCTAGCCTGTAGAAGGATTGTATTTTGGCCTGCAAAAGGAATGAAGAGAAAGTCACGGCGATTTAACGCGCAGGAAAGAAAGACTGGGGATGAAAGAGAAAAGAGACACAAAAGCGAGACATAATGCATGATTTATATCCCTGGGGGCTTGACAAAAAAAAGTGATCCACGGGGTGGCGGGCCTGCATCCACCCGACCCGATCTTGCGACTTCCTGACAGCGCCCATGTGAGAGATTCGAAACGGGGGATCAGGGGGGAACGGCGGGTCCTCGAAACTGAGGATGAGACCTTATCCACAGTGTAGACTGGGAGGAATTGATAACCGCAGGACCAAGAAACCGGGTGGAGACACGGAACCAACCCGATCAAGGGTTCGATGTTCCAGACTCAACTTTCAGCTTTGTTTGGTTCTTTCACTCAAATCCACGATTTGAAGAAAGAAAAGGTCTGGATCGTCCACGCGGCGACAGCTCATGCACTTTTGACGGAGTATGTGACCGCAGAATCCAGGGTCATCAAAGATTTACAGAGACTATACTTCATCACGGGGTACTGTTTGGTTTGAGATGGTACTTTGTTTGCCGCACCAAGTGTTTTGTGATTGGTGCTCTTTCTTTTTTTTAATGGTTCTTTCCTTTCACCGAATGGCAGTCTCCGAATGGTGGGGAGGTCGATCCGTCTGTACAGTACTGAGAAGAGGTTGGAGACAGCCCCTACGGTTTCAGAACGGCAAGCCGAATCGATCAACCACGAATCAGCTCTCGAGTACAGACCGCAGACGAGGAAACTTTTGCTGGGTGTTTCGGAACCGCAAGACGATCAGGGGAGAGAGCGGTGACTCGTCAGGTTGACGACTCCACGGATGTGCAGGAAGTGGTACCGACGAACCTCACTGGCTGGATGGACTTGGTTTGGCGATTACGTCGATCCAATCAGTGTCATCCACTGGTTGGGCCGTGGCGAATGATCAACCAATGGGCGCGTACTACGCGCCCATTCAGTTTTAAGCTTTTCCCTGGGGGTTCCACTTCATCCAAAGGGACTCGTCACTTGTCTTTTGACTCGAAAAAATCCATTCGGTTCGCTCGGGTGTGCGTAAGAAGGATGAGGAATCAGTTTCTAGAAGGAAGTTTCTTTTTTTTTCATTGCCCTCTTCCATGGTTGGTTTCAGGGGTTTCGAATTTGATGGCAGAAATACCCGGTAGTTTTCCATGTTCGCAGGATTTACCGTGCTTACGGGATACGTATACTTCCTAAGAAAACAGTCACCTAATCCAGTCCTGACCAGATTCTTCATTTCTCTCGGTCATCTTCCAGCCGTGCTCGATGGATCACGGACATCCTCTGCAACATTCCTTGTTGGGTCACTCTTATGGCCGATCGGCTGAGTCCACACTAAATCGATCTAGAATCCTTCAATATGACCCCACAGTCGTGTCACAGATAAAAAGCCACCCCTCGGGGTGCGTTTACCCTAAGCCATGCGTTCCGTACCTGCAGGAAAGCCACGCTGCACGGGGAACTATCATGGGGCCCAAAAAGGAGTATTGAACAGTTCGAGTTAATAGGTAGGAGTAGAAAGACAAAAAATACCTTGAAGGGTTTTACCGGGCGCATGTGTGAGTATCATGCGAGATAAAAGGAGGGGTAGGAGTTGAGGGTAGACTAGCATTGGATGCTACCATAGACGGAGACGGGAATGCCATCACCAACGAGATGGTAGATATCCAAATTGCAGGATGTCAGTGATCGGAAATGAAAGGGGATTGAACTATATGACACGTCCTATGGTGATTTGACTTCACAAGTCGAAACATAAAGAAATGATGGGGGAAAATAATAATAAAAAAGGAACGCAAAGACTAGCGTCAACTATGTACAAGCCAGGCAGAACAAATCGCTAGACCAGTCGGCACGGTCGTGTCGAAATGCAGGGCCGGAGCGACCGTGGATCGGAATAGCGTCTAGAACGCACTGTCGGTGATAAAGGTGTCGACAGGAGAACACGACAATCGGCTCAGGGGGGCCATCGACCCCTGTGTCTGGGTCATGCTCATGCCCATGGTCGGCAGGGTTGGGGGCATGGTGAATAATCACCGCCTGACCCGCTCCCACTGCAGCAGCCTTCCCTTTACCCCGCTCCGTGGCCGGGTCATAACTCTCCTCAACACGTTTAGCGGTGCGACGCTGTTGCTCGTCTGTCTGTTTGGTCTGCCAGGAGGTCCAGTGTGATGCGCCAACACTGGGGCCCCAGACCCGACGACGACAGATCTCACACACTTGTCCGCGGGGGCGCCACCCTTGTTGCCGGAGGCGGGTGACTTCGTCCACATGCACGAATAAGTCGCGATCCAACATACCATTTGCAAGCGTCAAAAGGGACTTCTCATATGAGTAGGCCGAGAAGACGGATGCAAGCACTGCGCGCAACTCAAGCAGGGAAGGTGACCAGCGAGCCGCCTGCGTAAGAAATGCGCGGAGGATCCGCAGGAAGGACATGTCCGTACGTTCACTACTCGACCCACCACCACTTTTCACAGTGCTGGCCAGCAAGGAGGTAAACACCTGCTGAACCAGAGTGCGGAAGGAAATGGTCAACGGGCCGATGTTCCCGCCCATGGGGCTAGGGGCAAATTGGGATTGCTCGGACTCCTCGATATGGTGCTCCCTCATCACGGTGAAGACATTGCTTGTGATCCGAACCACGGCCTCGATGAGATCGAGCCAGAGAACCTCGTCAAATGCCAGGGGTTGTTCAAGCGGAGGCACACCACGCTGACCATTGGTGCTTGGTCTAGACTGCAAAGCAGTCTTGGTTTGGCCTTGGCAGAGCCATGTTCCAACACCAGAGTACTTTTTCAGCGATTCCAGAAGATCATCTATGGCCTCGGTCGCACTGGATGAGTCTGGAGCTTCTCCCATGCTCTGGATGATTCCAACTAAACCAGCCTCAAGTGTACTCAGATGAGCAACAAGACGGTTCAAGGCCGGCCGTAGCTGGCCTTGTCGTGCAAGTAGAATCACCGCAGCATCAATCGCCCCGCTCTCCTCAATGGCCGGAAGCAACTGATCAAGGTGAAAATCGCCGACGCGAAGTCCGTCAACAAAGTCCGCGATATGAGAGGGGTTGTATTTGCAGAGAAGCTGCACGTAGCGTTCAATCATCCAATTGTCAACGGACGGCGGAGCTCGACTTTCTCCGCTTTGGACAGTGGGCTCCACGAGCACCAGCAGATATTGATACTGGCTGTGTGGATTCTGCTCTAGTGCCTGTAAAAACGTAGAATGTGCTTCAGGGGCCAGGTTTTGCATTGTCTCGGCTGCCCGTTTGACATCGATATCGGCGATCTCAGTGGCGTGCTTTTTCACCACTTCCACAACATCTTTTCGTTGCTTCTTACCAAGGGTAGAACCCGAACGTAGGCAGTCGTGTAAGGACGTAAAAATAGCTTCTTTGTCATTGGGATCATCAAGATACGTCAATATCCATTCCGGATATTGTTTCTCTGAGCGGTAGGTGGATTTGAGGATGCGGAAAAACCGAGCTTCCTTGAACAAAGGCACCATGCTCTGAACGTCAGGTGGATGATAGAAAGATAGCAAGTACTCCGCACTCAGCTCACAGTCCTCAGCCATGTCCGGCTCGGGATACTGGCACAGCCGGACGAGAACCTGATAAAGAGTCGTGCCCGAAAGAAGAATGTACTGGGGGTATTTCGGAAGATTGCGCGCAACAAACATGTCCAAGTAAATGGTATCAGAAGGAGAAAATAACGATGCATCCATAACTTGAAGCAAAATGGTAATCAGATATTGTCGGTTGATCGACACGCCAGAGGTGAGAGCCTCTTCGGATTCGGGCTCATTCAGGAAACTGTCTTCAAATGCTTCGTTAAACATGCTCATGAAGCTGGATGCGTCATACTTGAGCATAGCCCTGAGTGGTGAGAACGAGTCAGTACCATCAGAATCATTGTGTGGCACTGTGCCAGACAGTTGGCCTGAGAAAAGATATTGGTACAAGGAGGTTTTTGCACGGAAGGCTTCGGTTTCCTCCATCTCGTCCCCTGTTGGGTAGATGCGGCTTGTCAAGGCAAATGATAGATAGGGGAATATCTTCATTGCATTTGTATGTTTAGTCACCTCGTTTGTGTGGTCCCCGTTGACAATAGGTTCCGGCTGAGATGGGATCATACGTAGAAGCTCCTCCAGAGGGCCGACGTAGTCTTGTAAACAGCGATTCCAAACGTATATATACGCATCATACAGATTGTGTTGCTTGCATAACGTTGTGACTTGATCAATGTCCATGGTAGTGGTGTCAAGAAGGCAAATAATCTCCTCTAGGTGGCCAGGTGGGTGGGTGACCACAAAGTGGTTGATCAGAGCTTTTACCGCAGTCGGAGGCAGTGAACGAGTCGTCCCGTCGGTGATGCGTGGTTCAAGAACGTCCAGGAAAATCCCTGCGGAATCATTTTCCTCGAACCACGTGAATATTTCTTCCCACAGAAACTCATAATCCGCCATGTAGATACAGGCCGCAATGGACACCTCGGCCAATTCCTCCAGTTGCTGGTTGTCCACTCTCCCGTTATCTGCCTCGGCATTGCGACCGAACGCATACTTGAGAGAAGCAGAAATCATCTCCAGTAGCTTCTCCTGGACGATCAGCTGTCTTAGGGAATCTTCTTCAGGAAGACCGACTGTTAGCTTCTCTGCGGCACCCGTGTAGAAAGAAGTGGCCAATCGAATGGCACCAATGAAATCACCCGCTTCCATAAGTGCAAGAAGTCGATCAGCCCAATTCGAAAGACTACCAACTAAGACCTCATTATATCCAAGTAGAAACAGACGACCTTTATAAGCACGGAAGCTCATATAGAATGCATCTGCCACTACACCATGCATCGAAGTGTCTTCTTCATCCAGCTGCTCGACTAAAGTGTGAAGCCGGGCTGAAAAAAGATCAGCATGGTAGACATGTCGACTCACAAGGTCGATCGAGTCTGTTACATGCATGGAATAGTCTTCAAGAATGAGGAGTCGCTGGGTTATGGTGAAGACTGCAAGGACTGAGCGACTCAACCATTGCACGGCGACGATAGGCTCATCCGCCTTCCATCTGCTGCGTGCTCTGAAAACCAGGTTTGGTGGCTTGTCCCTGTCCACAGGTTCGTCCGTTTCCGCCTCGGTCACTTCCAGCACAGTCAACACATTTGACCAGCAATAAACGAGCTTGGTATTAGAGGTCTGGCTGTCTTTTCCTTTCAGTCGAATTGCAGGGAACCAAGCAAGAGCACCAGTCATAGCACTATGGGCCGGGACTTCCTTTGGCCTCGGCGCTTTGTGCTGGGTCTGTGCAACAGGTGTAGTAGACACAATGACCAATAGATAAGGTGTCAACATGGCAACTAGACCTAATGAGTCGGACGGTTGCTCTACATTGCCCAGCGGCAGAGGAGAAAATGCCAAGACTGAACTGGGCTTCCGCGGCCGCACTTCTTCTAAAGTAGTAGGAGGGTATCGGCCAAGAATTCGAGTTGTTTTCACTGTTCTCGCAACAGCGCCCATCCCCCGCGTTGCCAGATGAGAGAATGCCATTCCACTCGTATCTGCGGACACAATCGCAGTACGCCGTGTACCCAGGAATCCAATATGAATGACAGCCGAGCCCGCAATATGGCCATCCGAGGTTCGAGTTTCCACTTGGTTTGCGGGAATCGGAGGGATATGGAGAAAAGGTCGTGCTGAGCGGGATATCTCCCATGTATAGATATCGCCAGACCCATGGCCACCTGCGACGGTAGAATGATCTGCGGACAACGCTAGAGCAGTGATTGGACCACATTCCACAGCTTTTGTCCCTGTTCCGATAATAGTTTTCAGACTTTGCTGATAATCAAACACAAGAATTATACCTTTGGAGGTCCCGACCACAATGCTGGTGGACACCGCCAAACAGGTTGGTCGCCCAAAATTGCGCCTCCCAATCTCCGAGAACGCCTGTCCGGTGATCTTTCGCAGCTTTGTCCATCGCACCACATCCCACGGGCTTGGGGGTGATTCTGGTTCCGAGTCCGGGGTTGGTGATACCTGGCTCGTGAGCGATGACTGCCGGGAATGAATATGGGCTAGAAATGGCGAGCCGGATCGCGATACACTGAGAGGCGACGACGATAAACGGGATTGGAAGCGGAGATCGAACGGACGATGGACTGGACTCGGACTGACTCGTGGGGAGCCTCGGGGTAATAATGCGCTGCTGCCCTGCGACGAGATTACGGAATCCTGCGATCAATCAGAAGGCTGTTTCATCAATGCGCGCTCATCTCACCACTCACATGTAACGATGGAGAGTCATCTGGGGTCGAAGCCGTCTCATCCAGTAATTCAGGGATCCCATTGAATTCGGTGCTTTTATTTGGTGGAGTTTGCGGTAAACTATCCCTGACCGCTTGAACGGTCTTCTCTGATGCATGATCTTGCGCATGGTCTTCTATTGTGTCTATTGTGTCCAATTCGTCGAGTGGCTCCTGGGAAGGTCCGGGATTGTGGAGAGCGTCATGGTCGGGAAGTTGGGAATTGTCATCGTCCGGGCCTAGATCAAGCTCATCCTCTCGTTCCCAGCCCTCACTGGCCTCTGCCATCGAGCTCATGAGCGTCCTCGAATGATCATTGCTGGCGGGTCAGGAGGGGGCGTGTGCGGACCAGCGAGGTGCTCCGAGTTGGCAGATCCAGATCTAGCCGGGGGAGTTTCGATCGGCTCGTATTCGATATGGGTACAAGAGCGATCGGATCAAGCAGGCGAGGTTCTTGAGTTGAAGTTGAGCTCGATATACATGTGGAGACAGCGCGAGTTCCTGAGCTCCGTTGCCTGGTTCGGGCCGTTTGGGGGCTGGAGAGCCTCCAGCCACTGTGGCAACATCATACCAGTAGTTACAATGCATGCTCTACTCTCTTTCCCCTTGGTGTTTTCTGTGAGTCAAAATGAAAGTTTTTTTATTTGGAGTTCATCCAGCATTTTTCATCTGTCATTTTGTATGTAGTTTCATTGAGTCCCCGCCTTCGTCACTATATCGCCGTTGCTCACTGCATGTTATTGTTCCAACATCCGAGATCGCCCAGCATCCATGGATCTCTCTTCAACCATACACAAACCATAGTCCGTACAGTTGACGTACTCGACAGCCCTTTCTCCCGACAGTCTTGACAGCTAAAAATGAAATAAAAAATCTCCGAAGCCTTCGAATCTCCAAATTCGGCGGATCAACACGGCGAGTCCGAAGTACAGTGCCCCTCCCGCCCGCCAGATCCTCCTGGGTACAATGAAGCCAGTCATTGGCGGGAACTAGCAAGCCCGAATGCGACAACGGAGCAGCCGTGCCATAAGCACTATCGCAGCCGACATGGATATATTGGAATTCGGCTCCGGCTTGGCTCTAGCTTATTTCTGCAGAGCAAAAATGTCCCTGGTTCCTGGTGATCCTGCACCGTGCTAGTGCGGGGCTGTGGTTACATCGAGTCACAAGGATGTCATCTCGCGCCCTATCAATGTGGGCGATACAGACATGAGGTCCGTCATATGCATCGGTCTTGTGTTTTCTTTTCTGGAAAATGATCGTCGGTGTGTGGAATGTAGCGGTCCTGAGGGGCATATTCGTCACTGTCATGGCTGGTAGTCACCCTTATATAATGGTCTGGAGGGCCCCGTGGATATGGTGGATGAATGATCAAGACAAACTCTGGGATTGAAAACATTCTCCTGTCTCTCAAAGAGCATAAGATCCGGCCGGCAGTTCATCCTGTTTGCTCAATTTTGGCCTTAAAGCCCATATTTTGTGCCTGATTGTACCTTCCGTCGAGATCGCAAAACAATCACTATGGGTCCCATCAGCCGCGGCCTGGCACGAGCTCTGCTCGGCGCTTTGATGCTAGAGCCAGTTCTTGGAATGCCAAATTTGTCCCAGATATTTGGACGAGACACCGCATCGACAACCACCACAGCGGCCGACGCAGCAACCACCTGTAACGGCCGTACGGAGTACTGCACGCGCTCCTACTCAAACATTACATTCATAGGCTCGCATGACTCTGCCTTCGTCGGATCTCTTCCGCAACAGAACCAGAATATTGATATCACCGCACAGCTAGACATGGGCATCCGGTATTTGCAGGCGCAAACACACAAATCACTGCTCGACGACAAGGTCATCGAACTCTGCCACACGTCTTGTCTGCTCGAGGACGCAGGGACGCTTAAAGCATACCTGACCACTATCAAGGGCTGGCTAGATGACAACCCCAATGAAGTGGTGACAGTTCTTTTGACGAACGGTGACTCGTTGGATATTTCTCTCTTTGGCAGCACATTCGTCAGTGCCGGAATCGATAGCTACGCGTTCGTTCCCTCGTCTGAGCCCTTGGCTTACGCCGATTGGCCTACGCTAGGTGATTTGATTGACAGTGGAAAGAGACTCGTCGTGTTCCTGGGTTAGTTGCTTCCTTTCTTTTCTTCGTCTCGAACCGAGTAGCAAAAATTTAACACTTATCCAGATTACGGCGCCGATACCAGTACAGTAGACTACATTCTCAACGAATTTGCCTACTATTTTGAAACACCCTACGATGTCACAGACGCGACCTTCTCAAGCTGCAGTATCGATCGACCTGCCGGTGCCTCCGCCTCGGGGCGCATGTACCTCGTCAACCACTACCTAGATCTGGATATCTTTGGCATTGATATTCCGGACCGCGACGCAGCGGCCACTACAAATGCCGCGACTGGAGAAGGCAGTCTTGGTGCACAGGCGACAGAGTGTGAGGCGCTGTATGGCCACGCGCCGAATGTGATGTTGGCGGACTTTGTAGATAAAGGGGAAGTTATTGAGGCGCAGAATGAGTTGAATGGCTTTAGCTCGTAAAGTATATATAGTACACATATTTAGGTAGATCATATAGCATCCTTCGGTCTGGTGGGATGAGTAGATAGTAATGATTACAATGAGAATGATTCTAAATTTGTGAGTTGATACGGTTGCATATAGGTGCCACAGTTCATTTGAAACATGTCTCGAAATAATTTGACCTATCTGCTGTATCACTCAGTAACTTCGCATATGATATTGATGATAGAGCAGCTATACGGTCTGCAAGCCGGTGGTCTTTCAAGTCTCAACTCTACCTCGGTATTCACCTGGGCATGTAGTACCTATCTAAGTACTCGCTACCTAGGTCCTGCTTTCTGAGGTCAAGTATCTATTGTGTTGCTCATTTGAACACCTTGGTTCAGTATGACTTTGAACCTACTTTTCAGGTATCTTTTCTCAAAATTAGCCGTGGCAGCAATGTGTTGTAGGCGGCTATACAATTCAAACCAAACCCTAGTGCATATGCCCAGTAGTCATCATGTGTCTATTTCAAATAAACATCATGCTAGGTTTGTCATAGCAAAGCTCATGCTTCTACTTCCACCAGTGTCTCCCGTTCTAAATCAGACCGCATTGTCAGCAAGAATTCCAAGGCACGTGTGACGAACACATACCCCAAATCTTATTTGCAGAGGCTACAATAATCTCAGCCTTCGCCAACAACTTTGCGGCATATCTCTCTGCTTCCGTCGGGTAGAGCTGGTTCTTCTGCGTCTTGCGGGCGTTTACCTGTTCAAAGGCTTCCTGTCGGCATTTTAAAACAACAGAGAAGAGGAGGGGAGGGAGCATACCATCATAAGCACAGGCACCAGATCCTTCGGATCAGCCTCGGCCAAGGCGCGCAGGTTTCGAAATCCATTTTCCCTGAGTAATCGTGCAGTCCAGCTCTGAACAAAAGTCACCTGCGTCATCTCAAGTAGGTCAGCTCGAGCACCCGCTTCAAGTCTATCGCGCATGTGATCCAGCACAGCGGCCAGCATTCCCCAGTTCATTCGCTGGCAAAATTTGACGATGCCAGCCGCGAAGCCGTGGCATTGCTGTGCCAGCGTTTGGACCGTGCCCCGAGGGATACGGTAACGCTGGGCAATAGTTGCTAAGGGGACTTCGTTGCTTAGGTCGCGGAGCTGAAAAGCTGTATATGCGCGTCGGTAGATACGCGCTTTCTGGATTTCTTCCGGGGTTACTTCTTTCAGTGATGCGCCGGATTTTACCCTTTCAACGTAAGTTTGGAGTTCATTTCATGGATAGCGGCAACGAGACTTACATGGTATTGACAAAGCCCGGTTGAACACCGACGAATTGCAATGCGCGAATACCACTCTCGTCCAGTTGGTCGATTTTATCACGAAATATTTGCCAGTCAATTGGCGTGCTCATGGCTGCCTGCAGAGGGGTGAACATGTAGAAAATGTGCATGTCGCCATCCATCACAAAAGCCTGTAGAGCTTTCTTGAGCTCCTCGTGTACAAATAAGCCATCTTCGGGGGAAAATGCTGAGGCTACGACGGCTTGACCAAAAGGTGTTGCTCCATATGCCTCATCTTCTTTCAAAACCAAAAGCTCTTCATCGACCAACTCTTTTAGAGCTGAGACCATGATGCTATAAGCAATTTTCTTATCCAGGGTGCGGTACAGAAGTGTACATCGTACGTATTCCTTGATCGCCTCGCATCCGGATACTAGACCTGTTGCGATGGCCTCTAGCAGCGCTCGCTTCAAGCCTCGTTTTTCGGGGACAAGGGAACTTTCAATGGCAGGCATATCGGCATCCAATAGGTCACATACGGCTTCCAGATCAGCCTTGACACATATCAAGTATGTCTCGCCGGTATCATCTTTCCCTTTGCGCCCAGCCCGTCCACACATTTGCCGCAACATCGCAGAGCCGACCAACTCTCGGCCCATCCGGGCTCCATTGATGATGACCCGTCGGGCAGGAAGGTTCACACCGGCAGCAAGGCTACATGTGGCGATGAGGACCTTGAGCACGCCTGAATCATACGCCGCTGCAATCAGCTCCCGTTCTTCGGTTGTCATTCCAGCGTGATGAAATCCTGTTCCTTTAATAACTGTTTTCCCGAGTACAGGGTCTAGACCACATGTGAGGCTTCTGAGATCGGCAAGCAAATCAAGTCGCTTGTTCAGCTCTTCCTTATCTGCTGCATGAGGCATAGCTTCACCGATCATCGCGGCATTAATCTGGCATGCATTGCGACTTCCACAGAATACCAAAGCTCCGTAGCCCGCTGAAGCAGTTTCCACGGCCAGTGCTACCATAGCGTTGGTTGCGGCATTGCCAAGCTCTTTGTAAGACGAGGGCTCAATAATTCTATGCGGTGGGATTATTTCGGGCAGTGACGTTGAAGCCAATTTGGTGGCTGTCTGAAACAATTGCCTGGACGTTGCAGCTGGATAAATCGCATTTTCATAAACCAGGTATTCATCAATGGGGACCGGTCGGTATGTTGAGATGAAAAACCTAGCGTTCATCCATTCGGCCAGCATCTCGGTATTCGAAAGCGTGGCACTCATTCCCACAATTTGGATATCTTGTTGTAATAGGAGCAACTTGGTGACCATAAGCTCCAACAGATATCCACGGTGTTCATCATCGAGCATGTGCAACTCATCGAGCACGACCACGCCTAGGTTCCCAATGCTGCACTCCTCAATCGCAGTGTTGATTAACGAATTTGCCTAATCACCCTGCATTAGATAACTTCTATCAGGCTTCCAAATTTGAGCTTCCTACCTTCTCGATAGTACAGATCGCAATGTCAGTATCAGCCCAAGTATTAGTCGTCCGACTACCACCAAAGAATCCAGTTACGCGGATTTGTTTCTGAGGTCTCTTCCATTGCTTGCCAGGGAAGCTCGAATCATCTTCGCCCTCATCATCCGGGACATTCTTGTTCACGTCCTGAACAATCCGACGCATCCACTTTAGCTTCTCCTGAACCAAAGCCACATATGGCAAGACTAAAATAGCTTTGCGCTCGGGATTCTCAATGATACGCTTCAATAATAAGACATCTGCTACCATGGACTTTCCGCCCCCAGTGGGGGCTGTGTAAACCAAATGTCGCTTACCAGAGAGTAAGCCCCGAGCTAACAAACATGATGCCTGCCAAGCATAAATGCTAGTGACACCCAGAGCAGCAAAATTCGCTGTGAGCGCTGCAGGAAGCCCATACTTTGGGTTGGATAGCGAAAGCAAAGGGTTCTGAGTTGACCTCGGTGCCGCTATAGAGGCCTTCTGTAGCTCATTTTCTTGACTTGTTATGCCTGCGCCCGGACCTGTGTGGATCTTGCTGGCGGTAAATCTATTTGGAGGGGCCTCCAAAGAGGCTCGAGCGGACTCCAACGGAGTGGATTCGATGTCCAAATCGCCATGTGGTTGGTACCGAGGTATCGGAAGAGCTCTCACCTCAGACTCTGCATTGGTGGTCTCCAACTCGGTGGAAGGCCTTTTATGACCTGCCAGTTGCGCTACATGGTATTGTTGTCGGCGCGCAACGTCCATCGAGGTCTCGAACCCGTGAGACTTCATCGACATGGCTTCGACGTCATTGATGCTGAGGCCCAAGAGCCAGTCATGGATGGCTTGAAAAAATGATCTGTTGTCAGATTATGTTTTTCTTTCACCTTTGTTGTCTCTACGCGACCACCGCGTTTGGGTCGCACTTGACACCTGAGGCCTCCTATACCGCCATCGGTATTACGTAATCAATATTGAGCTGGTTCCTGATCGGATGTAAGGATCGAGTTATTTCTATGCGCGGAATCTGTGCAAAGGGACATGGCGCTGGGAAATCCTTGCCCAAATAAAACCCAACTACGGCCCATATGTAAGTACATGGTGCACAGACTGGAAAGCCGGCATGACCAACTTGGGAGTCATATTCAGCGAAGTGAAGTGTGATGGGTCGCCTGACGATCTCTCTAAAAAGCGGTGCCTAGGTAAAATGGGCGAACACATGGACAAAGTTTAACAGTGCAAGTTTCAACCTTAAGCAACCATCTTGAGAAATTTGCCAGGCTGTTGCCTACATTCATAATCTGGACAAATTGTGGTGGGCTGCGCGTGCCTGGATCCCGGTCGGGTGGAGGCCCCAGACCCAGATGCGTCCTGAAGAGTGCGTAATAGAGATAATAGAGTGCCCAGCCCTGGTGGCGAGTCCAACTTTTTTCTCCGATACGAAGCATTTGACGTCTACTCCTTTTTTTTTCACAAGGCGTACGGTTCAGTATCGTAGGACAGAAATCGCCATGTGTACTAGGTAGCTATCCAGGACTTGTACATGTTAAGTACCGAGACCGTTTGGGAACCAAATACTAGTCTCCACTAAACCATGAAATACGACTTCCTATAGGAGGGTAGTTAATATGCAGATCGGCAGACTGGAATTTGGTTGATTGTGCCAGGTGCTTTTCAGGAATGTGAGATATCCGGGGCTTACTTACTGTAGACCCTAAGGCCATGGGGAGACCAGGATATATACATTTAGGTAGATGATCATTCGTGGCCCTCTCTATTGTTGACTCCAAGAATTTATATCTATCTAGGACTCAGAATGCCTATACCTATGTGGTTTTTATTTAGATGGATCTGCTCGGAGCCATGTGCGCCATTCATGTACGTTGGAAACCAAGGACGTGAAACTGGTCGTGTGTTAGAGTTGGTACTCAAAGGAATATATATATCTCTTGTTCCGATAGCGGTCACAGGACGATTGAGACTCCACGCCCCGGGAACATAATATTAACAAGATTTCGAACGCATGATTATGAATCCCAGTAGCTTACTTGGTTCAAGTATAAAAACCAGTATATAAATGTAGGTATGTAGCCAGGTAACTCAAATGAAGTTCTGATATAGGTTGGTTCAAGGGTTGGGCAGTGCGGCACGTTCTGAGCTTAGACCTATGCAAGGTGGCGACGCGCAACAGCCGCCGGGAGCAAATCATCCTCGGCCAACTGCGGGCAGCTCTCGGCGCCTTGGATCGTCATTGGACCGACTGGGCGGTAGAAGTTTAAATTACCTAGGGAGATTGAGCCCAGCTTTTCACCACTTGTTTTTTTTTTTTTTTTTTTTTTAATTTCATTCTCATTTTCAATTTCATGTTTTCTGTTTTCGTGTTTCGTGGGGTTCGGGTCTAACAAACTTTCCCTTGCGTCGATTCATAGATATGCTTTTTTTTGGACGCAAAAAGAATCCTCGCGACTCATCTGCCGCGGCATGCAATACTTATTAAATAGTCTCTTTTTCGCCCCCCGGATTTTGTCCTATCATGCACGCTCCGGAACCGCATCATTTCCAGGACTATCATATTTAAAGCATATAAAACTCCGATGCTCTTGAATATCCGTATGACAGATGGGCTTCTGAACGATATGATCAGTATTTAAAAAGCCCTCGCTTACGGAGAGAGACAGGTGTAACAAAGAACGGTGAAAACGCCCCGTTTCTGGCCAACTCATACAGGGAAAAAGGTGAGGAAGTGTACCCAAAGTACCGTTCCGGTACAGTAATATTTCCGCAGGGATCGTGGATGGAGCTGTGGAGTCCGGCTACTAGTGCCCTTTTGCTCAACCACGCTACGTTTACCACAACCTGACGCTTTCCGATATCATGAACACTGGCCACCCCGTCTGATCCGAACCAGTCTTAATTGGAAATTCTGAGGTTCCACCCCAATGTGAATCGGTATGGGGAAGTAACGGGTAGAACTTGCAAGTACCCTCGCACAACATGATTTCCAATGTAGGAATCGACACAAGATCGGAGAGGCCCTGGCGGTCACTGTTTGAAGAGCCGTGCATTGTTAGCTAGTTCTTTTTTTCCCCTTCTCTCCCCATACGGTGGGTGACATGGGCTATTATTTCCCACTATCATCTTCCATTCCCCCTTCCCCCCATCTACCTACCTTCCCATACGCGCCTTTGGTGCTGTACGTGACAACATTCCTAATCGGCATTACAAGAGTTTCATCACTCTGGACCGTTGCCGGCCCGTTTTTTTTTTTTTTTTTCATGGGTTTGCTGGTCTCAATTTTTTTTTCTCTTCTCCCTCTCCGTCTTAAATTCCCATGATGGTTATTATGCTTCCCCCCTTAGAATAGTCATTGAAATCGAAGCAGCAATAGAAATGTAGAATCCTCGTGTATAACTTATTCAGGTCGATCAGCAGGGTTCTCGTTTAACTGGACCAATGATCATGAACGTTTTAATTTATTTGCCCATCATGTTGGGAAGCAATCGGATCGAGGAGCATTTTCCCTTGGTTCCAATGTCCTGAGGATCCGTCATATTAACATATCGGGACTAGGGGCCAGCACGCTCGGGATCCTCGACGCTTTTTTCCTTTTCACATCATCAGTTCCTTTCTTCTTCCCTTCTCCAATACGTACTCTATAATATCCACTTGGGAACTTCCTACTTCGTGGTCTTTTCTTTTTACTTTCCCGGGTGGCTGCGCGCTTGTTTTGTTTCGCCCGGTTGCGCTTCTATTTCCCCTTCGCCCATTTCGCGCTTCCAGATCTTTCGCCTCTCGTCATTCTTCTTTCCTTCTTCCCCCTCCCTTCCTCCAAGATTGGATTCAGTATCCTTTCTCTTCTTTCTATATTCCACGACGTACTTTGAGGACCGTGGTATGTATCTTTGATTTTCTTGATTTTCATTCCATTCTCGTGTTCGACGGGTTTTATAGCGACTAGTGTCACTCTTCCCCCCCCCCATAAAATCCCCTATCACTGGATTTGGGCCTTTACTGGGTGGACCACCTTGATATCTGCTGGTCCGCCCTTCTTCTTTTCCACCCCTGCAGTGAATCAGCATCAGATCTGACACACTTTCTTTTTCTTCCTTCCTCCCATCTTTTTCCCCATTCCACCCCAAATCTTGTCCTCGTGTTCCATCGTGTCCACCACCCCTTTCGGGATTGTTCCATATCATTTGTCCACTTTCCCATTTTCCCACTTTACCCGTTCCTGTGAGATTTTCGCCCCCCGCGGGCCCTAGTGTTTCCACACTACCAACCCACATCCACGTACATGCATCGCGCCACTTTTCATCCTTGAGGCTTTCCCCCCAAACTGACACCACCCAGCATCTGAACCTATTTTCACGTGTATCGGGCCTTCAACTATATTCTCCAGGGCTCTTGTCTCCCATCATTTGTTGCATGCCTTCCTTGGATGACTAAGGGTCGTTCTCGATGACCACCAGCAACTCTCCGGAGGAAGTGGCCGATCCGGCCAGCGCCTCCGCCGCGGCCCCTTATGGCACGCGATCGAGAGGCCGCAACGCCCCTCGGCCCAACTACGCGGAAGACCGGGACATTGAAATGGACTATGAACCGGCACTTCCCAAAAACGCCAAGCGAACTAGTGGCGTGGGCCTGAATAACATCACCAACGGCTCCAAATCAGATAGTGAAAAGGCCTCGCCCACTCAATCACGCAAGACTCTGACCAATGGCACCGTGGTTAATGGCAATGCAAATGCCAATGCCAATGCCAATGCAATTTCCAAGGAGTCAATTCCAGGGACTTCTTCATTTTCTTCACGACCAGAAGAGAATGGATCTGCATTGAGGAAGCGGAAGCAACCCGCAAGCACTCCTAATTCAGGCTCCACTGGCAATCCCGCGAAAAAGATCTTCACGACCGCCCCGGGGGATCCTGACGGCGGTTATTTTACCAATATGGTCAGCTTTGAGGCAACCACCCCGTATCTCAAAGATGGTCAATTAAAAGCAGATGATGGCACTACATTTGCTGTCAATGGTCAGTTTCCCCTCTCTTTTGCGTTGTAATGCATTGAATTGTTTTCTCAACTATGAGATGGGGCCGAATTATTAACATCATCTAGATCATGTTTATTTAATTTGTGAGCCTCCGGGCGAGCCTTATTACTTGGCTCGAATCATGGAATTCTTACCATCCAAGACCAAAGGTGACGGTGTCATTGAAGCGTTGAGAGTCAACTGGTACTACCGTCCACGAGACATTCAACGACACAGCCCAGACACACGATTTGTCTTCGCGTCCATGCATTCAGATACCTGTCCGCTTTCTTCCCTGCGCGGGAAATGTGAAATCCGCCACGTTTCAGAAATTGACGATATGAATGCTTACAAGAAGACTCGTGACTCCTTCTGGTACGACAAGATGTTTGACCGATACATTCACCGTTTGTACGACGTAATCCCGACAAAAGATGTGATCAACGTGCCTGCAAATGTGAAGAAAGTTCTTGATGATCGCTGGAAGTTCATTTTGGTCGAAATGGGCAAAGGAAAGGAACTGACAGGCGCTGTCAAGACTTGCAAGCGATGCCGTCAATTTGCGGCAAATTCCGAGTCAGTGGATTGTGCCGTCTGTGACTCGACTTATCACATGCACTGTGTTCGACCTGCCCTGACCAAAAAACCAGCTCGAGGATTCGCCTGGGCTTGTGCCGCTTGCAGCCGTGCCCAAGAGCGCAAGCTAGAAGCACGGAACACCCCGCACATGGGTGAGGCTCGACCAGATGGCGAAGATGAGATTATTGAGGAGGAAGAGGAGGAGCATCATGCAAATGGAGTGGTGAGCGGGACTGGCGCTAGCACCCCAGGCGCAGCCGAGGACTCCATGCCGAAGCCCGAAACCGCAGAACAAATGGCACAGGCGAAGATGTGGCCTTATCGCTATCTGGGTATTCATTGCCGAGTGGAGGACGCCCTGGACTACGATGATCGGATTTACCCCCGTGCAAGTTCTCGCCTTGGACCGCGACACCAAGCGATTGTTAATCCTTGGCCCGGACGCACTGTGGAATATGTGAAACCTCCACTGTTGAAAAAGAAAGCTGTCAAGGTAGCGGGTGGACGGAATGTCATGAAACTTACAAAGGAATCTCAGGCCGCGCTGGATGCTGCGAAGATCGAGCGCGCCACCCGACCGAAATGGGTTCAAGATGAGCCCCCAGGCTATATTATACGCGGTGAAGATGAACCCGTTACCGTCAACGGGAAGCAAGTGCGCACCGCCGAGCCTTTATTCATAATGCCGACAGCAGAACAAATTCCCTCCCGTGGCGAAGACAATGCACCTGGCGCTCACTTCAGCGACGCGGAGCGGGAGAAATTTATCGATGATTATATGCGTCAAGCGAAGGAGCTGGCTCCTGAAATTGGGGTTGAGAAGTATTGCACTAACTTCTTGGATAAGGCTCTGGGGCTTCTGTACTCTGAGAGCTTCAACGTTGAGGCAGCGCTCGCCAAGCTAAAGAAGGTCAACAAATATAAGGATCTCAATGAGCCTCATTTCAAACCGGAGGAGTTGAAGGCATTTGAAGAAGGTGTCCGGAGATATGGATCTGAGTGGCGCAACATTGCAAAACACGTCAAAACGGTCCACATTTACCACATTGTTCGGTTCTATTATATGTGGAAGAAGACTCCTCGTGGAAAACAGATCTGGGGTAGCTACGAAGGAAGACGCGGTAAAAAGGAGGTCCGAAGACAGAGCGTTATCTCATCGAAACTGGTTGACGATGTCGCCGATGATCACGATGATTCTGCATTCGACAACGACAAAGCAGTGGCTCAGAAGAAGGGATTCCAGTGCAAGTTTTGCTCTACTCGTCACTCTCGACAATGGCGACGCGCCCCTCTTGTGCCACCTGGGACTGTAGTTCCTTCCGATCCCTCGGCGAAGAAGGACAAAGGGCCTATGCTGACTGTCGCTCTTTGTCTTCGATGTGCTCTCTTGTGGCGAAAGTACAGCATTCAGTATGAGGATGTCGATGAACTCGGCAAGAGAATTGCGACCAGTGGAAACAAGTCATGGAGACGACGGATCGACGAGGAATTGCTCGCTCAGCTGATTTTAGCTACTGAGACTCCATTCACCATCAACAGTACTACGGCTGCTACCGCGACCTCAATGGGAATCGCCGTAGATAGCAATCCGCAACTACAGCACGAGAACAAATTGGACCCATCCAAGAAAAAGCCAATTCGTCCGGATATCCCAAGTACCGCGACCTCTACAGCAACATCATCAGTGGAGCCAATGCCGCCAAAGAAGAAGCTCGGGACCGAGAAGGTGCCAGAGGGTCCTCCGGTTGTCCCTGATCCACCCAGAGCGAAGACTCTCCCTTGTGCCGTTTGCAACATGGTTGAACCCTCTGGAGAGGAGCACCTTTCTTGCCGTGATTGCCGCCTGACGGTTCATCGCAACTGTTATGGAGTGCAGGGTTCTCGGGCCGGTAGCAAGTGGCTTTGCGATATGTGTTCTAACGACCGCAGTCCTTCGATCTCAACCACCTACGAATGCGTGCTCTGTCCCGTGTCCTGGACCGAGCATGAACTCATGGAGACCACCAAGAACACCAGCCGTAAGAAGTCAGACCGCGACAAGGAGAAGGAAAGACTGGAGAAGGAAATGGTTGTGGAAGCTATCAAGCTCTATCGCCAGCGACAGGAGGCCGTCGGCAAGCCTACCGGACCTCGGGAACCTTTAAAGCGTACCGCTGGCAACAACTGGGCTCACGTTCTGTGTTCTCTGTGGACCCCAGAGGTCAAGTTTGGAGATGCGAAGGAGCTGGAGCCTGCAGAGGGATTCGGCTCTATTCCCAAGGATCGGTGGCGACAGGTGTGCAAGATCTGCAAGACCTCCAAGGGCGCCTGCGTTGGCTGTCACTTTGCCGGATGTAATGCTCATTTCCATGTTGGTTGTGCTTTCCAAGCACAGTACCGATTCGGTCTTGATGTTATGCCTGTCAAGGGATCACGGAAAGACAATGTCCAAACCATTAAACTTGGTGGTGAGGTTGGTGCAGCTACGCCGGTTTTCTACTGTCCTAACCACACCGTTCCCCCTACGCTCCATGACCTTGGCGAATTGGCTGGACAGGATGGTCTCAATGCCCTCCAACTTTTTGCTCAAACATACAAGCAGGCCGACCTTACACTTACCGGCACGTCTAGAAAGGCAGCATACGTACAGCAATCAGTTGCAGCCCCACAGCCTTATGCAATCAACACTGCATATCGCCGAGCTTCCACCAGCAATGGACAGCCACCGACACCCAAGGATGCCCAGAAGCCGCCTAGTGAGCCCGGTCCTGATGAGATGGATATTGACACGGAGGAACGTTCTGCACCGCGACCAATTTCTGGGATTACGGGTGCAGCAACTACCCGGAAATGTGTTCGTTGTGCAAGCGATTTCAGTCCCAGGTGGTGGCCGATCGCAAGGAACAATAGAGGACCATTGTCGAATGGAGCAACCGCGAGCTTCCCAATGTTTGTAAATGGTTCTCCGTTTGCACATATCAATGGAGACGCTGAGCCGACCTATGAATGTCACAAATGCCATTTGAAGAACCCGCCGGCCACAGAACCTGTGCCAGAACCCCGACCCTCACCTTATCCCCCTGTCCAGGCTCCAGCACCAGTTCCGGCACCACCGCCAGCTCCTGCTCCAGCTCAACCTCAAGCTCAACCTCCACGTCCCATGATTCCGAGCATGGGTGCCCCTCACCAATTTGTGCAGCACAACCATCCTCCACCTCCCCCAACTGCTGTTCTCGGGCGGCCTCTTCCCCCAGCTCACTCCCACTCGCATGGTGCTCATCCAGGATACCCACCGCGCTACGAGCAACGGCCACCTCCAAATGATCCTAGCTTACGCAATGGCATGTCGCCTCGTGCTTATCCTGCTGCGCCTCAGCCTCCACCTCCACACCACATGGGCAACTACCCCCCAGCTCATCCTTCAAATCATCACCCTCCAGCTCCGTCTCCGTCGCACTACCCTCCTGGACCCCCGGGCCCGCCAACTCAAGCCTACACAACTCACCAGAGTCCATATGGCCCGATGCCAGCGCGTTCGCCTCACCTGTCACAACCTCCTCCACGCTCATATGCAGCATCTGCATCCCCACCCATCGTGCAGGCGACGATAAACCGGTCTCCGCAAACCTCTTTGAGTGCCCTGAATGGCGGTCCACCGCCCCGCATGTACTCTGTCGACCGTAGCATGGGCGCACCGTCTCACTCGCCGCCGGTTGCTCAAGCTCGTCTTGATCCGCGAGGACCTACGCCACCTATTCGGCCTGAGAACACTCCCCCATCGCACATGGCGCCCACGAGCGCAAGTCGCCACTCAGGTGTGAACGGGACAAGTGCAGGATCAGGCGCAAGTGCAAGTCCTTCACTGAAGAACCTCCTTTCTTGATAAAGGACTTGGTCATGTTCCTCTTAATGATTGGGTTGAGGTCCCATAATTGTATGATAGCTATGTCTTTCTTTTCTCCCTGTTCCATTGCATATGCGCGGTCTCGAGGAATGAAAACGATTCCGAGGTAATCCCTCTTCACTGCATGCCCCGATTACAGGCCTCCCAATATGTGGGTTGGTTGCCGCATCTAGGCTGTTTGCTTTTCATTTTTCATTTTTTTTCCTTTTCTATTTTTTTACTTGTCTCATGACTTTGTCCTTTGTCCTCTTTCTTTTATTTTCTTTTCCTACTCATTTTCTTATTCTTCTATTTATTTGTGGAATCTCGGCGTCTCGATTACAGAAAAGCTTCGGAGTCGAATGGTTGCGCTCTATGGAAGGAATCGTATCGATGGATTGCATGGAGTAGGCTGGACTTTGACGATTTACATTCCCCCTTTGTTCACGGTTAGAAGAATTGATTGCATTGCTATACTATGATACTGCTGTGGGGATTGCGTAGATGCTAGTAGAGACATTGTAGGAGACGGTTTGTACATAGGAAGCTATGTTAAAGTTCGACTAATAGATATCCAGGATTGGTTGGAAAGACTCGATGCCGGTTAACCGCATTAACTGCATAGAAACAGTGGATCCCCCCAAGCTGACAAATGCAAGCTTAATCCACCGCATTTGCAAGCAATCAATTCTTGCTTGAAAAAAGCTCCACACTCTTGAGCGGGGACAAGTGTTCCAATTATAAGAAAGCCGCATCATCCCTTGCTTCCAAGTCGAAAGCAACTTCTGCTCCTTACATCCGCATCATACCATATTTTCTTTCCCACAAGATGTCGACGATGCGCGCGATCGGTACGTGCCCCACTTCAACCCCTCCTCATCTACATCATACACATCATGCGAGACACGAATTCGAATTGAATGGAATCCCATTTGATTCAGAGTCTAGAAGATCAGGCCATGTCTCCATTGCACACCGAGCTCAAATTTGGCCGTTCTGCCGTGATCTACAGACCTATGCTGATCCTTGTATAGGTGTGAAAGGCGGCAAAGGCCCCGCCACCTCCCTCTTCGTAGATGAGATCGCCAAGCCTGTCCCTGAGCCCGGGCAGGCGCTCGTCAAAATTAAGGCTTTCGGTCTGAACCGGATGGACTTGTTGCAGCGGGAGGGACTGTATCCTCTTCCACCGCAGGCGCCTTCTACTCTTGGTGTTGAGTTTTCGGGCGTTGTGGAGGAGCTTGGGGGTGATGGAGCTTGTGATTTTAAGGCGGGAGATGAGGTCTTCGGACTTGCATATGGCGGTATGTGAATCTTTCCAGGGTTCCAAAGGGGATTCCCTATTTATTTCACTGCTGGGGACATGGTTGTTGATTATGGTAGGTGCTTACGCGGAATACATTGTTGTGTCGACGAAGATGCTGGTTCATAAGCCGGCTCACCTGTCGTGGGAAGTCGCAGCTGGTATTCCAGAGGTATGTTTTGACGCGTATTCCCACGATTATAGCTGGGCACCCTGCTAATGCCTGCACTAGACCTGGATTACTGCTTCGCAGGCTCTCTTCCTGATTGGTGACTTCCAGACTGGCCAATCTGTACTGTGGCACGCCGGAGCTTCGTCTGTCTCCATCTCGGGCATTCAGCTCGCTAAGGCTGAGGGCGCCAAAGCAATTTACGCCACAGCGGGATCACAGGAGAAGTGCGACTTCCTGGAGAAGGAGCTGGGAGTGACCAAAGCGTTTAACTACAAGACCCAGGATTGGGCCGCCGAGATCCTTAAGGCTACCGGCGGTGCAGGAGTTAACCTGACCGTAGACTTTATCGGAGCCACTTACTTCCAGGGTAACTTGGATGTGGCCGCGCGAGATGGTCGAGTGGTGCTGCTGGGTCTGATGGGTGGAGGCAAATTGCCCGACGGTGTGAACATTGCGCCTTTGTTGTTCAAGCGAATTCGAGTTGAGGGAAGTACCCTGCGTAGCCGGGAAGTGGAATATCAGCAGAGGCTGAGGGATACCCTAGTGTCGCATGCGATGCCCCGATTTGAGGATGGCACGTTCAAGGTATTTGTGGAAAAGGTGCTGCCTTTTGAGCGAATTGTGGAAGCCCACCAATTGCTGGAGAGCAACACCACCAAGGGCAAAATCATCTGTACGATTTGAGCAAAGCCAAATTTCCTAGGGTTCCAAAGTTCATAAGAACGGGGAAGTTAGTTATAGGAGATACAGAGAAGGAAATGAACAAGCATCAGGGTTTTGCCACCCAAAATGATCCATGCATCATAATCATCATAAACGGTAGCCTTCCCCGCTTTGAAGAGGCGAAAGGCTAAAAAGAAAAAAATGAAACCCTAGGGATCAAAGAAACTAAGACTAGATCGGTAAAGGGGAAGTCAATGAGATCAGCAGTGAGTTTGGAACTTTGGAACTTTGGAACCGATCGGATCGCAGAAATGGCCTGCAATCTCTCTCTTTCAGCGCCCGACGGACTCCCCGGAGCCTCGACGGGATCCTGCAGGGATCTCGCCAATGAGGAGACGTAGAAACCGCGGGATAGGGCTTACCTAAGGGACGGTGGGCCTTCTAGAAAAAAAAAATCACCGCAAATAAAGACGAGGCGTCATGTGGGATCCACCGGTGATCGAGGCTTTAGGGGAAAGCGAGGGAAAGTACAGAGGGCATGAGGGATGGAATAGTATCCAATACTGTAGATGTACCCTGTACAGTAGACGAGAGAGTGATAGAAGCAGAAATGATAGAAGCAGGGATACCGTGATATAGGTTGCACCAGAAGAAGGGATCATCCCGTGCCGCCCCCTCTTCTGTGTGGTCGCTCGCCCAGACCCGGTTTCTTCTGGAAGGAAAGAAGCCCTCTCCATTCATCATTCCCCATTTTTCCCTTTCCCTTTCCTGATCCACTTACGCATCATGTCGTCTTAATCTCCCTTTCCTACAACTCACCTCCTTTCACCACTCACGTGCCGTTCTCTGTGGCGTCAATTTTCTCTTCGCAGCACACCCCCGGCCCTGAACAACCGCGCGCAATCTGACGTTGGGGGTTGTCTCGGAACGTGCAGTCCGCCAACGCGACTCGGGATTGCTGCAGGACACAACTGCATTGTTCGGTTTCTAGAGCCCTTCTAGTCATCTTCTAGTCGTTCTTTCTGTCAACAGGAGGGTTTTCTTTTCCTTGGGTCGCTCCTTTTACCGATACGACTTCATCGAATTCCTCGATCTCTCTCTCGCCGCTCGTTCTCTTCCCTTCTCGTCCACCCCTCCCCTCCCCCTTCCTATATTACCGTCCCTGCGACTCGACGACCCTGACTCGTGATCCCCTCACATCGATTTCATTTACCTGTTCATTTCTTTGATCCTCTCCCAACTTTTCACCCTTTCCTACTCGCTCTTCCCCCGTTCGGTGAGCCTTATGCAAAACAGACTAGGACGGGTCTCTTCACTTTTCTTTTCTCTGATTTCTTGGTTGCGCTCGTGTGACGCCGGTGACATTCCCGAATCTCTGTAATATGATGGTGGACCGTGTGGAATGCTCGGGCGTCTATATTGACGACCGGGTTCGGTCGGAGCGTTGGGTGCGCCGGAATTCCATCGCAACGTCGACCGTCTCCGAAGCGTCGTCTTTTACCATGCCCGAAGAGCCTGAGGCTCTACAGGCCGATGTAGAACAATTACTAGATGTCTGCAAGAAGAGTTTGTTCCCCGCCCTGTCAGATGTGTGTCGAGTTGCTTGGCGGAAATCCGGCTAACATCTATTAAGTCTACCTTTGCCAGAGCGGAGCTTCCTTTGCGACAAAACTGGCTGAACTCAGCGACCGTTCAGGCAGCGATTGCACCCCTATATTTGCCTTCTTTGGTATCGATTTTGGTGGCGACGAATTAAATGTCGCCCGGCGAAAGGCTAGTCGGGCCTCCTGGATGGATAATGGGCCGCCGTCGCCCGGTTCAATTCAACGCACATTTACCTTTTCCTCCCACAATGACGAAGCCGCGGGCCTAGGGCTACTCTCTGGTGTTTCGAACGACATCCAAGTACAGGACGGTCCCAACTTGGTCATTCCAGTCGCCATCCTGCGGGATTCGAGCGCAGAGCCGGAGGCTCCCGCGGATTTAACGAGCGACCCGCAACCTCGGAATCCGGTGACATTGGAACATAAGCAGATCGCTCGATGCCTCGATGCAGGCGCTATCGACGTCCTGACCACCCCCTCGATCGGTCCCGCATTCAAGGATTGGTAGTGCATGCGTATCGCACCCGTCGCTCGGCGCAGAAGGAAATGTCGCGGTTTTTGGCTCGGAAGAAGTTACGCAAGTTGTCTTGGGTGGGTGTACATGACGAAGAACCGTATTCATACCTACGAGAGGCAATGGTGGCAAAGCTGATGAAGGGCATCTGTAATCCTGAGGAGATTGTCGATGAATTCCAAGAACGGGATCTCGATATCAAGCCAGAACGAGAAGCCTTCATCAAAGAGCAGGTAGGCCAGTGGAACTTCTCCGCCCACGAATTCTCCGAGGATGAACTGGTCTACGCGGCATGCCAAATGCTTCAACATGCCTTTAATCTCCCCGGACTGGAACAGTGGTACTTGACATCAGGTGAACTCCAGACATTCCTACTTGCGTGCCGTGCAGCCTACAACTCCTTTGTCCTTTACCACAACTTCCGCCACGCCATTGACGTGCTGCAATCGGTATTTACTTTCCTGCTTCAAATCGGGGCTTTGCCTCCGTACGGGCGATCTGGCCTGTCTGTTGAAGAGAAATCTCCGATTGCCACTTTACTCTCTCCTTTTGATTCTCTTACTCTACTTATATCCGCTATTGGACATGATGTTGGCCACCCAGGCGTCAACAACTTTTTCCTTGTCAAACTCAACGCTCCTTTGGCACAATTATACAACGACAACTCCGTTCTCGAAGCATTCCACTGCGCAGCTTTTTCCCAGATCCTTCGCCGCCACTGGCCTGCTGCTTTCAAGGACAAGCAACTCCGAAAGCTGCTGATCAGCTCCATTCTGGCCACGGATATGGGCGTGCATCAAAAGTTCATGGAGCGGATGGGCTCTCTGCAGGAGAAATACTCCGAGAGCGACAAGTCTGTCGACCTCTGGAAACCACAGGATGTCGAGATGTATAAAACTCTTATTTGTGGCCTCTTGATCAAGTGTGCTGACATCAGTAACGTCGCTCGACCCTGGGGCGTTGCCGAGAAATGGACTCAGATTCTACAAGAGGAATTCGCCAACCAAGGCGAGATGGAAAAGGAAGTAGGCATGGAGACTGCGCTCTTTGGCGGGCCACCGGAGCTGGGCAACATTTATAAGCTTGCAACGGGTCAGATTGGCTTCATGTCTATCTTTGCGCTTCCGCTTTTCGAGGGTGTCTCCGATCTTATGCCGCAGCTGCAGTTCACTGCTGATTATATCCGCGACAATCAAAGCCAGTGGCAGCAACATGCAAACGATGAGCTGCGGCGGCGGGGTCTGTCGGTAGAGGGCCCGGTTTCAGAGGCCGTCTCCCCCCGCTCTACAAGCCCTGTCCGACCAACCAACTCTAATGACACTGTGAGGGCTCTTGCAGATTCAGAGGATAGTTCCGGTGATCTCCCATTGGAATCATCTCCCCCGTCGGGATCTTCAGAAGAGACGGTGATCCAGGACGGTGCTTACAACGAGAACAACATTGAACCTGTTGTATCCCCAGATACTCCAGGTCCGCAAATCGAGATCACCGGAACTCCGATTGGCCTTGATGAGATGTCGTCCCGAAAGTCCTCCAACGCCATGCCGGATTTCTCATACTTTTCTCGGCCTACCCCGGGGGCTCAATCGGCCCGGGCTCCGCTTGCAGACTCAGGTAACGCCCGGGAAGACCCGGCCGTTTTAGCTGCCGTGTATTACGCCAATACGGCATCTAATCATGGCAGTGTCTCGTTGCCCACCGAGCGTGACAATACAGCTGATTCTGCTGCTGAACGACCGAGCAGCTCCCGCCAGGGCCCGCAGGGCTCCCAGCACCACGCACACCACAGCTCTTCCGTTCGCACTTCTGGGCCATCTAGCTCCAACCGCAACAGCTGTACACGTACCCAAAGCATCAGCGCTTACAGCAACAATATGACGCCTATCTCTCCCGCCACCAACGCCACCAGCTTTTTAGCCGTGGACAGCGGCGACGAGGGTAAACACCGTATTTCGGATGATAGTGCTCCTCAGAGCGAAGCTGGTGGTCCAGATGATAGCAGCACCAGGCCGAGTACCTCATATGCTTCGCACTCAGGAGACCATGAAAGTAGCAGTTACAGCCCCGCCCATAGCTCTGGCATCACCCGATCAGAGGATGGCAAGGACTATAACGGTGCTCTCAACGGTATTACAAGCCACCCCCAGTCTACATCGACCGGCGAGAGTATCAAGAATGAGCATTCTCAGGGAAACGGCGGCGATCCGAATGGACATGGAATGCGCCGGCTTCCGAAGAAACGCAGTCGACTACGTCTTGCATTCTGGAAGCGCCGCAATCATCATCAGCAGGAGGTCCATGGCGAGAGCTGATTCCTGTTCTCGTCGTTCTTTCTGGTTGTTTCCCTGCTGTATTATGCGATCATGGTCTCATGAACGGTGCATTTTGTAATGAGCGCAGATTTTCACGATTCGACCCTGGAGTCTTCCATTATATGCTGTGATGGTATATCTCAACACATATATTGGACTCTTTTGGTCTTCCTTTCCCTTCTATCTCCTACGATCCAAATGATATCTATGATGGAATTGTTGGCACGACCACGTCGGGCCCCTTCCCGACACAGGATGGCGAATTCGATGGGCTTGTCTCACCTGCACAGCCATAGACAAGCCCAGTGGATGTTTATACCGCGCATTTTTTTTTTTTTAGAAAAAAAAAATGAAAGTTGGTCTTCCAAAATATGGATCCGGCGCTGGCGGCTTTTTTGTCTTTGGTCCTTTTTGCTTTCATTTTTGCTTCTACTTGGTACTTTGTACTTTGCATCGGGTCCCTGCAACCCGCTTCTCTATGTGATGATCATGGACATGCTCGACGTTTTATTTTGTTTTGTTTATTTTCCCCTTTTATGGAGGCTACAACTGGATTTTGGGTGGTCATTTTAGAACTTGGATCCGGGGCTGGTGGCGTTGATTGTTCTGAGGACCTTTTTACGCTTATGGGGTCTGAGATAGTAACCTGTATTCTTTCTATCCTTTCCCAATACATGTCTATACTGTACTGAATATTTTCATGCTTGTAGACGAACTATCTAGAGGTCTTGTATCAACCCTTGAGTGCTCAAAATATAAGAGGGCTCAAGGTTGCGTATCTTTTCAAGTAGCCCTGGAGTGCATCACACACAGTCCTCACATTTCTCTTTCTTCTCTTCTGCCTGCTCTTCCTTCTTTCCCTCTTCCTTCGCCTCTTTCTTCTCCGCCTGCTGCTTCAGGGCCCGGTCTGTATGCCCAAGATCTCTTTCGGGGGCAATAACATTCCTTACAAGAGACTTGAGAGCCTTGACCTCTGCAAAGAAAAATCTGTTAGCACAGAAGCCCTGGAGCTGAGAAGCACATAGGTATACGCATGAAACAGAATAAGTATACATATAATATACAATAACATACCGGGAAAACCTCCATCCCTCTTTCGATCCCAAAGAATAATCTCTTGCGTCTTCACTTCTCCCCCATCCACCACTGCCTCTTTATCAGCATGCCAGATCGTGACGGTGAAGACTCCGCCTGTCATAGGAACGAGGGCAACTTCGCCAAGATCTGTGCCGAAGGTTGAGAGGAGTTCTTGGGCAAACTATCATGTCGTTAGTTCTCGGCTATATTTATAATAGCGTCTAAAGCATATCAAGCGTATGTATCGTGCTACACATCAATATATAGAAATACACCTGGGCAAGCTCAACCACCATAAAAACACACAAAACTCAATCTTAACAGTACAACGTGATCAAACTCAAATGGAGCAAGAGACGAAAACGGAAGGGGATAGGAGAACATACATAAGCAGCCCGCAACATCCACCGGCACTGTGTACAGAACTTGATGGAGATACGGGGAACATGCACTTGTTCCAAGGCAGTAAGTCCAGCATCCGGAGCAGGATTCGTCTGCTTAGCAGCTCCTGTAGCCGCTGACTTCTCGACTGTGGCCGTTGGTTCAGTCATGGTGATGATATCAAAGTTGAGTATTCGAGTGGGGTATGCTTGGCAGGTTGAAAAGGAAGAGGGACTGGGGATACCAAATCCCTGATGAAAAAAATAACTTTGAATGGATCCTAATCAAAGTTCTTGACGCCTGCTGCTTGAAGACTGGTATACTTGATGATATCAAGCGATGAATTCGGTGGTGGGATGATGTCAGCGGGATTGCCTGATTCGGCGGGTCTGCGCTGCATCTCGGGTCCTGACAGTAGCAGGGTTGTAGAGTTGATGCTATGCATGGTAGTCGACATACATGATTACATGAGGCTCAAGTGAATTTGGGGTCTAAAATACGTCAAGAACTATTTTTAGGGTATACTATATGGATTTTGAATACACAGGCCTGTGCCATGTGCTGGCATACAGTGGTAATTAGAACGGTATTGTATTGGTCATTGGATGCAAATCGAATCTATGATACACGAATGGCAACCGGCTCTTGTCCTAGCAGACGAAAATAATTTTGAGGAACCCAGAAACATAGGAAATTGGCTTCAAAACAGAGGCGATAAAGGGGAATGGTGCGGTAGAAGAGACGAAAAGTAGAAGTAGAAGTAGAAGTAGATGGTGAAAAGGTCCAGAAGAAGGAAAATAAAAGAGACAGGGTTACACAGTGCGCATCGTCACGCGTCACTGCGGCCAGAGTAAAAGTAGAGCCAAGAAGCAACCTTGGAACAGATTTGCCCGTAGAAAGTCGGTGCAGTCGAAGTGGTCGTGCAAGGCCAGCAGACGATTTCTTCAGGAAGGGCCACGGGTCGCTGATCCACACCCGGTGAGTGAGCGATCGCGGCCTTGGGTGATTCCAATGGATGTGTTGAGTTGGGGGAAGGCGATCATCAGGGGGGCGGTAGATCCGGGGATTAAGAGGTTGGGGGAAAAAGGGACAAAAACAGAGAAATCGTGTCGTGGCGATGGGAGGATATCGTCATAAGACCATTACATAACGGTGCAGCAGCCGTTTCCTTGCTGCTGAGGAGCGTAAGGATCTTCGCGCTTGTCGACCTGGAGGAAAAGGTCAGCCATTTGCGCGTGTGCGCCCGGGAAGAAAGAGCACGGTCGCATACCTGACCCCATACGGAGGGCACCATGAAGTCGCGAGTATTGTTGCAGTAAGAGATAAGGCTGAAAGAAACAAAGAGATTTAGCGTTAGAGGGGGGAAGGGGATATTGGTGGTTTGATGCGACAAAGGGGGCATCACTCACGAGAGCGCCGCCTCGGAGACCTTGACCCGGGGACGGTCCAGATCCTCCTTCAGACGAGCATTCAGCTCAGTCAATCGACGGTACTTCAAGTCGGCAACACTCTGCTTCTTGTTCTTGACATCACCCCCAGATCGCAGTTCGTAGGCGGGCATTGTGGCGTGGGTATGTATGGTGGACGAGGTTCGCGAAGGAGAGAGAAAGGGGGGTTTTTCGGGTCAGAGGGGGTTTGAACTTAGAAACCGGTAAACTGGGTACGGGGGGCCAAGTGTCCACACAAGGTCCAGTTGGTAATTTCGAATCTAAGCGCTTTCGCCCTGAAACAAAGAAAAAAGAAAGGAAAAGAGAGAATGAGTAGGTGCAGGACCAAAGGAAGGGATTGAAGGGTCGTTGGATCCGTGTTAGAGGGATTTTCCCCGTTATTTTCGCTTTGATTTGTTACTGGGGCGGTCCGTGGGTGGCTTATTCATCGCGCTCCGTACAGGTACTTTGCGACCACACTATTACATGGGTATCTTCAATAGTTCTACAGGTACCGATACTTTCGGAACTAAATCTGACCCATCCAGCTGGGAGTCCTAATGGCAATGAAGAGTCAGACGGCCCCGGCATTGTGCATTTGATGGGGATTGATGAGAAATGTAAAGACATCTGGTGAAATCAATAGTTGTAGAATATCATGGTTCCCTGGCTTTCCAATCCCCCAGACCCCATGAATGCAATACACAAGCTCTAATTTTTGAGCTGTTTACTACAGCTCTGTAACTATTGAACTTACAGGTACCTAAGGTGTCAAGGTGTCGACCCCATTGATTGGGATGGTTTCACGTGACTGCCCCATCGCTTAGTCCCAAGTGGGAACAGTCACCCGCGAATTTTCGGTTTACGCACAACAGGCCCTTCTTCCCCTCTAGGTCTATCGGGACTTCGCGTGGCAGCCTTTTAATTCGGTTCTTGGACCCCTGCCCGTGTGTGAGACGCCGGACGATTTTGACGATTTTCATTTCCGCCAAAAAACACCTAAAAACCAGGAAAACCCTCAAAGGGGTGGATTATCCATCATGCCGCCACCACCGCATATCAAGCCTGAGAATGTCCTCAAGGTTGGTGATCATGATCGACCCGATAAGATATGAAGGTTCTCAATTTGATACTTACTTTGCTTCTTAACTTAAATAGAGGGCCCAGGAACTCATCGCCGTCGGTCAGGCCCCCGCTGCCCTGACCGTCCTGCACGAACATGTCACCTCCAAGCGTACCCGCAGCAGCCCCATTGCTTCCCTGGAGCCGGTTATGCTCCTCTTCGTCGAGCTGTCTGTCGACCTGCGCAAGGGAAAGGCGGCCAAGGATGGCCTGTACCAGTACAAGAACATCGCCCAGAACACCAACGTTGGCACCATCGAGGTCGTCCTGAAGCGCTTCATCGAGCTCGCTGAGCAGAAGGTCACCGAGGCCCAGGCCAAGGCCGACGAGATCCAGTCCTCCCTCGAGTCCGCCGCCCCCTCCTCTAATGTCGACGATCTGGAGGCTATCGAGACCCCCGAGACCATTCTGCTGGCCACCGTCTCCGGCGAGCAGTCCCGGGACCGCACCGACCGCGCCGTCGTCACTCCCTGGCTCAAGTTCCTGTGGGAGACCTACCGTACTGTCCTCGAGATCCTGAAGAACAACGCCCGTCTCGAGATTATGTATCAGTCGACCGCTCTGCAGGCCTTCCAGTTCTGCCTCAAGTACGCCCGCAAGACCGAGTTCCGTCGTCTGTGTGAGCTTCTGCGCAACCACGTCCAGAATGCCGCCAAGTACTCCTCCCAGATGCACGCCATCAACCTCAGCGATGCCGACACCCTGCAGCGTCACTTGGACACCCGCTTCCAGCAGCTTAACGTTGCCGTCGAGCTCGAGCTGTGGCAGGAGGCTTTCCGCAGCATTGAGGATATTCACACCCTGCTTAACCTGAGCAAGCGCCCAGCTAAGAACGTCATGATGGCCAACTACTACGAGAAGTTGGCTCGCATTTTCCTCGTCAGCGAGAACTACCTCTTCCACGCTGCCGCCTGGAACCGTTACTACAACTTGCTCCGTCTCTCGACCGTGGCCTTGGCTACCGGCCAGAGCACCAAGAAGGAGAACCCCTCCGTCACCGAGCCCGAGGTCACCAAGGCCGCTTCTTTCGTGCTCCTTTCTGCTCTGTCCATTCCTGTCATCAGCACTACCCGCTCCCGCGGTGCCCTGGTCGACGTGGATGAGGCTCGCAAGAACAAGAACACTCGCCTCACCAACTTGCTTGGTATGGCCCAGCCTCCCACTCGTTCCGTGCTGTTCCGTGATGCCCTGAACAAGGGTCTCCTCAAGCGTGTCCGCCCCGAGATTCGTGACCTGTACAACATCCTTGAAGTCGACTTCCACCCTCTCTCCATCTGCAAGAAGATCACTCCTATCCTGAAGCAGATTGGTGCCGATCCTGAGATGGAGAAGTACGTCGTGCCTCTCCAGCAGGTCATTCTTACCCGCCTGTTCCAGCAGCTGTCCCAGGTCTACGAGTCCGTGGAGCTCAAGTTCGTCTACGAGCTCGCCCAGTTCCCCGACCCCTTCCAGATCACCCCCGCCATGATCGAGAAGTTCATCATGAATGGTTGCAAGAAGGGTGATCTTGCCATCCGCGTGGACCACATCTCTGGTGTCCTTACCTTCGACTCCGACGTCTTTTCTTCTTCCAAGGCCATGCACGCTGGCAGTGGCGCCGGCTCTGCCGAGTCCGATGTCGCCTCCGTTCAACGTCTCCAGCACACTCCCGCCGAGATTGCCCGCTTCCAGCTTTCCCGCCTGGCCAAGACCCTGCACACCACTTGCATGTACGTTGATCCCTCCTACAACGAGGCTCGTCTGCAGGCCAAGCAGGCCGCTCAGGCCCGCGCCTTGGCTGGTACTGCTAAGGAGCACGAGGAGACCCTGGCTCGTCGTGTTATCATCGACAAGAAGAAGGAGGCTGCCACCGACGCCCTTAACCGCAAGCAGCGTGAGGAGGAGACTCGCAAGCGTATCCGCACTCAGCAGCTGCAAGATGCCGAGAAGAAGCGTTTGGCCGATGAGCAGCTTGAGCGTGAGCGCAAGCGTATCAAGGATGAGCAGGACCGCATCCGCCAAGAGGAGCTGAAGAAGCAGCTCGAGGAGCTCAAGACCGGCGTCAAGGGCATCGATATCAGCGAATTCGATATGGATGAGCTGGATGGAAACCGTCTGCGTGCCATCAAGCTCGCTCAGTTGGAGAAGGAGAAGAACGAGTTGAACGACCGTGTTCGCACTACCGCCAAGCGTATCGACCACTTGGAGCGTGCCTTCCGTCGCGAGGAGATGAAGCACATTCCTGCCGACTACGAGGCCCAGAAGAAGCACGATTTGGAGCTTTACGAGGCCCAGAAGGCCGAGACCCTCAAGGAGGCCAAGCAGAAGCACGCCGAGGCTGTTGCCCTCAAGCACCGTCTGGGTCGCCTGGTTCCCGCTTTCAGCAACTTCCGCAAGGAGGTTTCGGAGAAGCGCCACGAGGAGTTCGAGAAGCGTCGCAAGGCCGCCGAGCGCGAGTTCGAGGCCAAGAAGAAGCAGCGTATCAAGGAGGTCCAGGACCGCCGCCGTCGCGAGAAGCAGGAGCGCGAGGAGGAGGAGGCCCGCCGCAAGGAGGAGGAAGAGCGTGCTCAGCGCGAGGAGCAGGAGCGTGCTGCCCGCGACGAGGAGCGTCGTCGTGCCCTTGCAGAGGAGAAGATTCGTCGCGACGAGGAGCGTGGCAAGCTCGACGAGATTGCTGCTCGCCAAAAGCAACGCGAGGAGGAGGCCGAGGCCCGCCTAGCTGCTCGCCGGACTGGTGGTTCTTCCTACGAATCCGCTGAGCGCACTGCCCCCCGTCTCAACCTTGCTCGTCCTAGTGGTGGATCTGGTTGGAGAGACCGTTTGGCTGCCCGTGGGGACTCTGCGGATGCCCCCGCTCCTGCCCCCTCCCGGGAGGAGCCCCCCGCCCGCAAGGGTGGATATGTCCCCCCTCACCTCCGTGCCGGAGCCTCCGCTGGCTCTGGATCCGCCCCTCCCCCCCCGTGAGCCCCGTGATGCCCCCTCCGAGCGCTGGACGCCCCGTCACGCGCGTGAGCCCTCTGCTCAGGGTTCTGCTCCCCCGGCTGCCAAGCCTGAGGAGGCCAAGCCCAGCGGTGGCCGTTGGGTGCCCAAGTGGAAGCAGCAGCAATAAGCGGCTTCACAGGTGGATGACTCTACTTTCTTCTTTTCACCTACAACTTTAGGGAGGGCATCAAAAAGTGGCATCGGATGTTTTTTTTCATTTCTATATCCGGCGCATGTTTTTTCACGAACCCCCTTCTCGCAATGACCCCTGTATCATCGGCCATTATGTGGCTCTGTTCGGGCCCCTTGGTCTTCTCGATTGTTTTTCCGCGTTCCCCAGTTTAATTTCCTTTATCCCTTCGGATCATCTTGTCATCCGTGATGCCAATATCATGCTCTGCTCCATGCTTTTGGTCCCGAATTGGTCGGGATCCAGTGAATAGGATTGAAATCATCTCTAGACTTTGACATCTTACGTACACATCCACCTTACTCCGTAAAATTCTCTTAAACACTGATGCTTTATGCTGGCGGGGATTATAGCGGCGATTACGCGCAAACATTCGGACTTAGCGGCTTTAATCCCGTTAGGGCTAGTCTTTATGTAGAACAATTTATTTATGCAGCCCTTCACAAATGGAGCCTTGCAATGGAACCGCGAAGATACACATCATTCGCTTTCTTACAAAGTGAACAAGGCACCCAATAGATAAGGCACTGTCGGACATAAACGCCATTACAACGGAGGTAAAGCTTGCCGGATTCCCTGGCAGTTTTTATGCCTTTTCCAACTATATAACCTCTCTACTTCACGCAAAACACTTAATCCCAGTAATTCAACCGCACTATCCTACATATTCCAATAAATTCGATTCGAATACCAATTCCAAAGATGCCCTCAAATCACGGCGCCTGGCAACTAAGATGCCACACCCCCCTCGAAATCAAAAGGACCCCTTACCAGGAAGCCCTCACACCCACCCAAGCCCTGATAAAAGTTCACGCATGGGCCATAAACCCAGCGGACCACATCCTCCAAGACACCGTGATGGCCTTTGTCAGCTATCCTGTTATCCTAGGCGAGGACATCGCCGGCACGATAGTAGCACTAGGGAACGCAACCAAATTCGCAGTCAACGACCGCGTAATCGGATTCGCGCAGGGTGCAACGAAGGGACCGGCTATGGGTGGATTCCAGGAGTACGTCGTCGTGGAATCGGACTTGATGTGCCGGATTCCAGATTCGATGTTGTTTGAGCAGGGTGTTGTTTTGCCATTAGGGTTCTCGACAGCTGCTTATGCCCTTGTGAGCAAGGAGTATTTCGGGCTGGCAATTCCGGCGTCTGGCAATTCTTCCTCTGGAGTTATAGATCAGGATAAGGGGGAAGGGAAGAAGTCTGTGCTCATTTGGGGTGGAAGTTCTTCTGTTGGAAGTAATGCTATTCAATTAGCGGTTGCGAGTGGTCTGACCGTTCTGACTACTGCATCGCCGAGGAACTTTGAAGGCTTGAAAAAGCTTGGTGTGGATATGGTCTTTGATTATACTGCCCCGGATGTTGTGTCAGAAATTGTCCGTGAGCTGGATGCGCGCTCGGATTGTGTGGGGATATTCCAAGCAGCTGGATTTGGGGCATCTTTGGGTCCTGTTTTGGAGGTTGCGAGGCTGATGAAGTCTGATGTGTTTGTTGTGACCACGATGCCATTGCAAGAGGGTGTGGTTCCGGATGGTGTGCGTGCGAAGATGCTTTTTGGGGATAACCAGAATGTTATTCTAGAGTTATGGCGGGAGTTCTTACCTAAGGCATTAGAGGCAGGAAAATATCATGCTTTGCCGGAGCCTTTGATTATGGAAACGAGGGGGCTGAAGGGGATTCAAGAGGGTTATGATGTGTTGAAGAAGGGGGTGTCTGCAAAGAAGGTGGTTGTTCTTGCAGAACCGAGTTAGATGAGCTTACCCTGCCATTATCTTGTCTTTCCTCTCGGTTCTCGGTTCTCAGTTCTCAGGCTGAGTCCTCATAAGGACTATATCTGGCCTTAAGGAAATCGATCATTGATTTAAAATGATTAAGTTTCAAGGTTTAAAGCATAAAATAACCTTTGGTCTATCATTAGGAAGGCGGGGTTGTTCATGTGTACATCCGTCCTAATCCCAGGAAGTTCTTAATCCCTCAACTACTGCCATCCACCTTCTTCAAGAAAGTTGCAAGTGGGTACTCACAAATCACGATGGACTAAAACGCAATAGGAAAGAATACAGAGAACGATAGGAACAAGCAGTGGGTGACGGACAAAGATCGCGTGGGATGGAACGAGTATCTGTTTCAAGACTCAATTATGATAATTCAATACATTAAAGGATTGATATCAATTAGTGCTGAGCTATGTGCAGATCAATTGATTAACAATCAGGGATATAAACAAACCATCTAGGATTGGACAAGATGAGAAACATAAGAAAAGGATCAAGTGGATATCTGACAAGAAGAAGGATAAATCCAAAGCATAAGCTTCAAAACAATCTAGTGGCAGTCTGAAGAATATTCCAGGCCATTCTAAAAACAAAACGGTAAAGGTGCCATGTTAGGGTTATGCGGCAGCAACCTCAGCAGCTCCAAATAGCTTCTCACGCCATGCGCCGCAGACAGCTTCAAAGCCACTGACAACGTCTCGACACTCCTTCCCAGCTTCGCGATCTTGAAGTCGACGATCCCACTCGCCTACTTCAATCCACCGTGAACCCTCCTCTCGGCTTTCTTCCTCGCGCCGGATATCGGAAACGAGTTCCCGTGCGGACCGTAGTCGACGGGACGCGGTGGAAGTCAGCTGGCGGGATTCATAGAGGGTGTCGCTTAGACCGCGGAGGGAGTGGGTAATGTCTGAAGTTTGCGAAATGAGAGCTTGGAGAGACACAAGCGGGTTGAGGGCGGATGTTTGTGATGGAGTATTTGGTCTAGAGTTCCGATGGATTTGTTCGGGGAAAGGATAGGGGAGATTGGGCAAGAGGCCTTCGTCAATCAGAGGCATAAGTGAGTCAATGGCGTCGTCGGAGAGGAGAGGAAACGGTGAAAATAGAAGTGGGTGGATGAGGGATTGCAGAATACGGGTTTGGTGAGTGAGGTGAGATGTAATAGAGGAGTGGGCAGTGATCAACCTGGAAATAATTAGATTCTGTAACTTTGAAGCCACTGTCATTTAGGAGCCCATACCGCATGGCACTGTTCTCAATTCCACTCTGTCCACCTAGATCTCTGAGCGACTCTACTGTCCTTTGAATGACATGGTCGTTCTCGCTGCCATTGTTCTCGATACCCCGCCGCGCAAGGCTCTCAATATCTGCCATCTGGATTTCCAATGCGGGGGAGAGATCGGCCGCCTCCTCCAGATCTGAATCATTGCCATAGTCCGAGCCATCATACTGGGACTCTTGCCGCCGGTGCTGTCGAATCTGGGTGGCTCGTAGTTTGTTTCTGGCCGGGGAGTCTGTCGGTGATTGGGAGCGCATGTCGCGAACAGACTGTAGATATGCGTCTTCGCCGTCGCTCTGATCCGTTTGTTGGGACCCCGCCGTGTTTTCCTGCCCGGAAGCATATCCATACCCATCTTCCTCCTGTTCCCATGCGTCTGCTAATTCATCGGCAAGGTTCCCCAGCCCACCGCCGCCTGCGTCAGCAGAGAAATCTACCGACTCCCGATGGGACCCATTCATGCCGTTCATGTTTTGGCGCGATGTGACCGGGGAATGTGGTGCCGAGAGTCGGGGTGTTTGAGGCTCCGTGGGGCTTTCAGGGGCAAAGACGTTGACTCCTGGGGCCCCTGGAGATATTGGAGAGTCGTCCATGTTGGAGGGGTAGCGGTGAGCCAGTTTCAGGGGAGACGGAGGGAGGGGCATCGGAGGGACAGGAGCTCTGAGTCTCCAAGTAAAACGAAAGATATAAGATATATGTATTCTTTCGGGATAAAAAAGAATGAAGAGTCCCGGTCGTTAAAGAAAATAAGAATCAAAGAAAGAAGTAGACCAACAACACACAGTATTGGGGTCCCGGGGCGGTGATGGGCAGTTGTTGTTTCAATGCCAAAGGATGTCTCGGAATGCAAAGTCTATAGCGTCATGGCCCATGCAAAGTACATCAGCAAACCAGCACAAGAAGCAGAAAGCAAGGACCGACGTAGACCAGCTTAGTCCGCAAGTTTTGTAGCTGTAGGAGGCAGTGAAACACCAAAAAGTCCGTTCCTGTTGCTCATGTGGAGCCACCGCCTAGGCAGAAAAAAGACGTTCCAACTGAAATCAACCAACCCCACATTCTTTCCCCTCGATACTATGTTTGGTGGCTGATTCAAGATGAGCGCGATTACTCGCATGACTCCGCTGGACCTCTTGTCCTTGAACTTGACAAACCTCGACCCGTTGACAGAGAACTACGATCTCGGCTTTTACCTCAACTACCTTACAAAGTGGCCGTCGCTATTTAGCGCGGTGAAAGATCGCGATGCCGGCGTTGTTGGCTACAGTGAGTAATTGGAGTTTCAGTTGGAATTGGCACTTTGAAATTAACCAAATATCATAGTCATGGGCAAACTCGAGAAGCAACCCGATTCCATGCTACAGTCCGAGCACTACACTCCGTGGCACGGCCACATCACAGTGTTGACCGTTGCGCCAGCCTGGCGCCGACTAGGCTATGCGAGCCGGTTGACCGAGCAGTTGGAGAGTGGCTCCGACATCAACAATGCCTGGTTTGTGGACTTATATGTTCGCGCAGGTAATAAAGTGGCCATAGATATGTACAAAGGAATGGGGTAAGTATAGACTTGCGGCGAATAGTACGTCACGTGCTAATATGTTGCCCTACAGGTACTCGGTATTCCGACGAGTCCTTAATTACTACAGCGATGATCCAAGCGGCATGTCGGATACTGGAGAGGATGCCTTCGACATGCGTAAGCCATGCAGTCGGGACAAAAAATTGGAACATGTGCGCGACAATGGTCAAGATTTCCATGTCTACCCCGAAGATGTTTCATAAAACCGACAACGTTGAGCAACCCAAGTGTATGATGTGTTATCTTCCATACAAGGGTTACGCCAGTATTTGCAGCCCATAAAATACACCCGGAATCACATAATAGGAACAAACCGCCGGGGATTTCTTTGTCTTTAGCATTATCCATATATAAAGGAGTTTCTTGTGCATTACATGCAGGTGCACCCACATGACTGTATAGGACGAATTAAATCTGTCTTCATTCGTAATTCTATTATCTTTTGATTCTTATAATAATAATCTGCCTTTATAGCGTTGGGAATGAAGAGGCTAATTTTTTCCTCAGCCCAAATTAAAACGCCCTCTATATGCGAAACTTTTAACAATGATCTCATGTGATGGCCATTGAACTGGAGCATGAACGCCTGAAAACTTGCAACGCAATGCATACGTATCCCTTTGGTCACCATGAGATTAGAGTATGGAGTGACAGGGGCCAGTTGATAAGATCAAGTCTTGGCAATCAAGTGTGGGCCTGACCGCACCAATCTCAGGGTCGCCATAAGGACCGCAGAGGAAATAAGGCAGCAGGCTGTAAAGAGCTGCACGCCGAGGTAACCACCAGTGCTGCTAAGAATAGCGCCACCAATGGGAGTACCGATCAGTAGACCGATCGAGGTAACGGCAAAGACTTGACCAAGACGAGTGCCGAGATCACGCACATCAGGAGTCATATACGCCATGACAACCGGGGGCATCGACACAAATCCACCAGAGAAGAAACCATAAAAGACGGAAAGGATGATGATACCGGGAACCGTGTGTACGCGGATCCAAACAAAGGCCAGGATTGAAGTGATGGTCACCGCCGGGGTGAGCATGTTCAGTGGACCAGTATGGTCAGCAATGAAATTCGGTCCAATACGGCCAAAGGTTGAGGCTGCGTTCAGCATGGACAGTAGATAAAATCCTAGGTTTTCATCCACGATACCTGTGTCAATGGCGTAAGACTGGACGTAGAAGAGGAAGTTGTAGAATCCGAGGAAGCCCAGGAACATGGCGGCACAGAAGATGCAGTAACCCGGATCTTTGAAAGCGGAAAGCTGGTACAGCTTGCGCTTCTCTCTGGGTGGAATACGAATGCGCATGATGCTGAACGAGATGAAAATGGTTCCAAAAGTGAGAAAACCGATGGCCCGGGTGGCCCAAGCAAAGCCAACCTTCTTTTCCAACTGGTCGAACATGATGGGGTATACGACACCGCCAATACTGCTACCGCTGGCGGCCAGGCCGTTGGCGAAACCTCTCTTTTCTCGAAAATACTGCGGTAAGAGGGCCACCGATGGCACGAACAGACATCCTGCTGCAATACCAACGACAACACCTTGTGCAAGAATTAATTGCCAGTATTTGGTGGCAAGACTGGTCATCATGAGACCAAAGGGAAGCATGATATTGGCGCCACCGATTAATACTCGGAAATAGCCCGCATCGAACAGTGGGCCGGTGATGACTCCGACGAGCATCAGAAGGAACGACTGGAGAGAGCCAATCCAGGCAATGGTAGACGACGATGTTCCGGAAAGTATATTCGATTCATAGTATGTTTGATAAGCACCCCATGTGTTAATCACACCCCTGTGCGAAATATAGTGTTAGCGCATTTTTTACTGTACGTGGATTTCGGGCGCATTGCTTACCATGAATTAAAGAAGAGGAAGAAGGACCCAAGGACCTGGAGCCATGCGACAAGGCCCTGGTCGAATTTGAACTCATCTTTCGGAGTCTCAGTCGGTGACTCAGTCGCAGAGCCGTTTATATTTTCCTCGTCTGCGGCCACAGGAGCATCGGCGAGGACCTTTTGCTCTACTTCCAGATTAGTCGAACCCATCTTTGAAGTTCGCGCGCTCGCAGCGAACAGACTGAACAAAATCTCGAGTGGAAAAGGAAGCACTCGAGGGCCGAAAGCACGGGGCACGGTGGAGTACAGACAGACTGGGGTCAATTATCTCCATCCCGAAGGAAAAAAGAGAAAATTTTGGTTTGATTATAAACCACGACCAAAGGCCGAGCAAGCGGGGCCTTGGTAAAAGCTCTGGCGGAAGAGACCGAATCTTAAGCCGCAATTAGGGTACGGCGGGCCCACAGGCATCCACCAGCATCCACTGGACTCCTTGAAGGCGAGCCATGTGTATCAAACGTCTGAGTAGCGGTGGGATGTCGAGTAGAGGGCGGCCAATAAAGATTACAGGGAGCCGTGCCGATTACCCAGGCGAGGGGCCAAGAACGGCCCTGTGCGCTTATGTGCCTGGATAACTGCGAGTAAACAAGTTCCCCGGCTCTCCAATTAGGGGCGTAAAAGTGGGACTTCGGGGAGGATTTGATCCCGGAGATAAACTCACGTGGCGAAGTATAGTTACCCAAGTATGCAAGTACGTAAGTCCATGCTACATAATCGCTGCTCTCATGCATTTCATGACTCAATTTACATGTCGGGCATTACTGCAGAAACCGTCATTATTTTTTTTGGTCTGTCTAAATTCATGTACAGTTGGATCGTGTCCATGGATGTTTCCAAAGTTGTTCACGCCTAATTTTTTTTCTTTTGGAGCCGCGGTTTCAATATCCCAAACTCCGAACGCTATGCTGAAATCCACCCAAAAGCAGAAAGATGAAACCCCCCCAATATCCAGAAGGATGAATGATGACCTGCCTACAGGAGTTCCTCGCAAGTCCAATCCTCATACCTATATGATGTTAGTCTGCAATTCAATTGTCATTTATCCGAAGGTTCCCTTACCATCCGTCAGGCAAGTACCGCCGCACGATCAGAGGGATCTTCTTTTGGTTCAATTCCTTCATAGCGATCTGCAGGGGATCGGTTTCACCCTCAAGGTCAACGAGCACAGGGGCGTTCATACTACGCCAGTCGTCAGTCAATCGTCTCAATTAAATCATCAAATTCAGTTGCGCGTGCGCAATCCGTTCCCAAAGGTTACCCACCTAATCTGCAGAGCGCGGGTGCCCAGCACACGGGCGCGCTCGTATTTGGTGAGGTATGGGGTGGTGGTGCGCTGGTCATTGGGGACCTTCTTCTCGCGTGACTGTTCCATCACCTTGGCCGATTGTCCAGAGTTTGGATCACCGGAGACGACGACGTTTTCGCCGTTCACGGCCGGCTGGTACGATTCTCCTTCAACACCATCGTCACCCTCGAGACCCTCGTTGTCAAGAAAATCCTCGGGCTCAGCATCATCGAAGACCTCCTCATGGGGCTCGTAGTCGTAGCTGTATAAGAAATCGGATGTTAGAATAGCTTATCATCACGGTAGCAGTGTGGTCAGGATGCGCGAGCTCTAGATCTGCAAGGACCTTCAAGCTTTTCATGCGCCGACCTCATTATCGCCATTGGGGAGCTTACGCCTCGGGCTCGTGGTCGTCGCCGCCGTAGTCAGACATTATGTGTTCGCTGTAAATGAAGACCGAGGGAACCAAGGAGAGAGAAACCCAGAGCGCGGGACCGAAGTTGTTGAACTCGTGAATGCAAAAAAGCGGAAAATCTTCCACCACGCTAATCCGTCTTCGTCCTGACCGCCTTTTTGACTGCGGCAAAATATTTTTAATTCACGTCAGGGCAACTTTTTCTAACTTGCAACTTTCGCTTTTCTGGCGAATGCCATCTTCTCAGAGGACATTAAATCATGGCCTCAAAGCGAAAGGCCTCTGGCGATGTGGTGTCGTCATCAAAACGACACCACATGAGTGATTTGCCCAGCGATGGTGAGCCGTCACTATGCGGCCTTGCGAGCCCAATCTAAGCATACTGACTGATTTCTAAAGATCCGATTTACGAAGAAGCCCATTCTGATATGGAATACTCGGCTCCAGCAACTCCTAGTCTTGCCAGCGATGACATGAATGATACTCCAGCAACACCATTCTCCACCACATCCTCTCGATACCCATCTGAACTTAAGACCCATCGCTGCCCATTCGAGGGCTGTGATAAGGCTTTCAATCGCCCTGCTCGGCTCCAGGAACATATTCGGTCCCACAACAATGAACGAATCTTTGGGTGTACCTTTGACGACTGCGACAAGACCTTCCTACGAGCCTCTCATCTCAACCACCACATCAAGAGTGCCCATACCGGGACTCGGGACTATGTGTGTCCGCGACCCGGCTGCGACAAGAGTTTTGTGACAGGCTCTCGTCTTCGTCGCCATATTGCTGCACACGATGGAAGCGACAAATACCGCTGCACTGAATACCCACCCTGCGAGGAGACATTCCGAAAACATTCGACCCTACAAAAACACGTTCTGACGGTGCATTTGCACCAAAAACCCTTTCCTTGCACACATATTGATGAAACTACTGGCCAAAAATGCCAAATGGCGTTTGAAACTGCAGGCCACCTCCGATCGCACCAGAGCAGAGTTCATGCCGAGAAGAGATTCAGCTGCGCTGAGTGCGCGGAGAATCTGCAGGACCCGGAGAATGCTACCCTTTATTTCCCGACATATGCTGTCCTACAAGAACATATTCGGACTGTTCATCCCCCCAAATGTCCCCACTGCCCTATTGTCTGTTCAACCTCACGAGAGCTACGACGCCATCTTGAAGTCGCTCACGGAGATGCGAGCCTCGAGGACAGGAAGGTCTTTGACTGCGCATTTCCTGGGTGCAATCGCAGTTTCACCAAGAAGGGCAATTTGACTGTTCATGTTCGAACTGTGCACGAAGGAGAGAAGCGATTCGGCTGTGGCGAAACCGACCTGTCGGCCTCGAAGAAAGTCACCGGCTGGGACGGGATTGGCTGTGGGAAGAGATACGGAAGTAAACTGGCGCTTGAAGAACATATTCGCACGGCACATCTGGGCTTCCAAAATGCCAAAGCAGAGCGGCGCGAACGACTTGGTCTCGGCAAGAAAGCCTGTATCAACAATCAAATCTCCACCTTGGCAGCACTAACTGGCCAAGGCTATGTTGAGGAGTCCGGTCGACACATTGCTTGTATCTATGATTCCTGCGAACACCGATTTCACCGTGACTATGACTTGTGGGTGCATATGACTGCCAAGCATGGCTGTTCTGAAGACGAAGTTCAAGGCCTTTTCATGCAGCGTGCTTTGCTAGGAGACCAGTCTGGCCCTGGAGGGAACTCACTTGGAATTTATGGGCTCGAGTTTGATGATGCCAATATGGGCTTCTCACATGAGTCGACTGCTGGCCAGGAGACTGCTTTCCAGTCCCATAATACCTCGGCTCTACCTTCGCAGTCAGGTCCAGAATCTGATATTATGATGCAAGACGCATATCCTTCAGGTGTCAATCATGATGCCGATCCTATGATACCCAACCACAACGACATGGCATTGATCGACCCTGTTCTGGCTTACCATCTTATGGAGAGCTGAAGCAAATGCCTAAATTTTGATACTTACGCCGTTACGATATTTCCAGCGTGAATATACTATTTTTCTTGTCTTTGAAATTTTTTTCGAGCAATTTCTGCGTGTTCTGATCTACAGGTAGTGCAAAATGAATTCGTAGCTTTATCATTTTTTGCTTTCAAGTAATTGTTTTTCTTTTTTCATATCTGACACGAGAATCAAGACTATTGATAGGGAACACGTCTGCATTAACGGATGTTAGCACAAACTTCGAGTTAGTTGCGAAGACATGCCGTCAAATAGAAGGTCAACTTCTCCGTCACGTAACGTCTCACGAGCAATTTCGTTTTAAACAAGCTTTTTTCATTCATTCAAATCATGCCAACCCAATAGAACCGCAAGCTCGTCGTCGTTGAGAAGAGGATAAATCTTAGAACCTTGAGGCTCAAGGGACACAGCAAACTTGGAGACTGTGAGAGCAAGTCGAGAAGCTTATCATCCATGTCATTAATAAAATCAGAAAGTCCATTGCGATGTCTCAGGAAAGGCTTCTTCGGGTCCAGGTATATCCTCCCCCCCCCCCTCGCCCCGTAATCCCCATTCCAAATTTTCAGGTGGAGGTCCACGATTTAGAGTTGTTATCCCGAGCCAGGGACTGTTGACTTTGTCGTTGATAGAATAACGTTATTTGCCGTCGTGATGTTTAGCATCTTGGTATAAGTTCCGGTAGGGGGTATTTTGGTGGTAAATGCGAATGCATCTTGTCGCGGGCTGGGTAGGTGCTATCGTCGGGAAGACGCATACTAGCCAAGAACTTGCAAAACAGAATATGGGTTGCATTAGCAAGATCCACGCCGTAGACAGTGAATAGGCGGTCAATGTCGGTGAAAGGATGGACTGCAGGAAAGCCGCGAGCAAGAGCAAGTCACTCGGCTGCCTAGACAAACAGCTTTAGTAGATCTCAGTTCTCTGCATAAAACGCCGTGTCGTCGTTGAGATCACAGCCTCGTTCCTTGCACAACTGAGCTAGAGGATTGTTGATGTCTGGGGGAGATTCAAAGCCGTTGATCCCAGTAAGCTTTTAGGTGCAAGTACCCGTGAAGCAATATTCCTGGATATCATGGGCCGTGTGTTCATACATAGACCCCATCGGGAGATATTTATCTCAGATCATCGTGCCTTTGTATGTCGGCATTGATGCATGGCCGCGTTGATATCCCATCTCGGACTGGCCACAGGGGCAGGGTCATAGATTGTCCCTAACAAGATTGAACTCTAGCTCGAAACAAGCAAACGTCTTGATCGCCGTGATTGTCGTGATGGTCTTAGAAGACGGGATCTTCGTCAATGCTTCACATAACGAATAGTATCAATTCCGATGTAACCTTCGGGATAAGGTATGCCGACTCAGGCCATGCACGCTAGGTAGATTCATGATAGGTGATGGACTCGACACTAAGCATTTGCACAATCTAGTCCAATAAATCAAGGGAAAAAATCCAGCTTTACACTACTCCGTACGTACTCTTCAAATCTAACTCTGATCCAGGAGACAAAGCATCGTGGCCCACTTATTGGCATGACGACCCCGTGGTGGCTCGGCTAGATTGGATAGAAATAGTATTAAGCGGCCGTCATATCGGCCAAGCTAACTAGAACGGGTGAACGTGGCGCTATAAGTGAGTTGCGGGGATTGACCCTGAATGCCCAGGTTCACCCCCTGTTTGACCTGCTTAATCATGAACCCTTGATCTGTTGAACGGTGTCGATATATGCACCGCCACTGTTTGCCAGCACAACAGTGCATGATTGACGATTAGCCCAATATTGGAATATCAACCATGGCCATCGGTGGGCCGATTCTTTCCGAATGTCATTGGTCCTTGCCAAGCATCGCTTGCGACCAAAAGGAGTTAAAAAGGGTTCAGGTGCCCTGTGGCTGAGAACTGGGGGACGCCTAAATCTGCCGAGCAGGAGAGGGTTACGTATGCATTGAACCGCCACAGCCCAAGGCTCTGGGCATGGCTCTGGGCAAGGACATTGGCACAGAAACCGGATTATCCAAGGATTCAAAATTACAAATGCAATTTGAGTTGGGTAGGCAGATCATGCATATGAGATTAGTCCTTTGTTTTTCTCTGCTGTAGGTCCCATTCAAATTAATGGTGAGAGCGGTGTAGATCTAGGTACGCGGCCCGGCAGAAAAGTATCCCGCTGACACAGTCACGGGGTAAAAGTGGCAAGATGACCGGCGTACTCTGGTGGCATGAAAATAATCTAAGGTACAATATATTCGAACTTTGGACAAGTGAAACAGATATATGATTACATATAGTTCTGTGCTATTTTAGGTGAGACAAAGGACTCACTCTCCACCGCCGATCACACGTACCTAAGAGGGTCCGGGATGACGCAGGCGCCCAAGACGTTTGTACCGTTCTTATTGGACTTGCCATTTCTTTTTTTTTCACTATCAATTAGGTAGCACATAAGCAACACGTAACTTGTCCGGTTCGTCCCACATAGTGCTCTAGCCTCTTTTAGGCACTTAGATTTGACCATGGAATCCTCGTCATCCACCAATGGCGAGTGATGCTCTCCAACTCTCCAAGATGGGACCAGATGGCAAGACCCACGGTCTTAGCTGCTCGCCTCTTTCGAACTTTCCTGTCATTTTCCCTTTCGCTTTCTCCCTCTTACCGACATTCTACAGATCTTCCTCTTTCAAGTCAAGCTAAAATCAACTAGTCCTGGTGATTAGTTGACTCCACTTGGAGAACCCCGTCCGTAACGTCATCCACCCACTCGGCTTTTGTGCTCTTGCCAACCTTTCCGTTGTGTCCGGTCGTTACCAGAATTCTTGTATCTTTTTTCCTCTCCCTGGGTGTACCTGATTCTCTCTCCATGGCTTAACCTTACTCCGCCAATTCTCCAAGTCCTTGTGGTCTATTCCCTCGTTTCAAACAACTCCACAGTGGACCAGACCGTGCACTGCCCTACCGTGTTCTTTTGAGACCCTTTCCCCTAAGTGCCCCCTGGTCTCTTCAAAGACTCAAGAACTTTTCGAGAGAGACGTTCCACAGCTCCTCCACTGCTGCAGTGAGGTGTTTGATCGCTCGACGTCATGGGTGGTTCACGTGGTAAGTCGATCCGGGACGGCAGCAGGCAGAACCTAACGGAACATGTGGATTGACCTCTCCCTTGCATCTATTTTAGTTCGCTCATTTATATCAACATTCGGAGGTCCCAAAAACAATGCTTCCGGAAAGCTGAGTCGCAAATCTTCCAATAATGCCTCCCCTATTGAAACCCCACCTCGATGGGAGACACCATCACCCGATACCCCGTCACCACCCACGGAATTTGCCCCAGTAGGTGGTTCAACTCCAAGGAGTGGTGAAATTGGGTCGCGACCTGCATCCATGATCTTTTCAAACAACCCTCCTCTAATGGCGCAGGTGGATGGTACTCCACCGGAGCTATCGCCGATCTTTTCCTTCCTCAACATTCACACCAATAAAGTCTATCACGAAGGCTACTTCCTGAAACTGAATGACCAAGATAATCGTATGTGAAAGATGGTTGTGGTTTGGGTCAAATATGGACTAATAAGGTTCATGCAGATGGGCGGCCGTGTCTCGATCGGCAGTGGAAAGAATGTTACGCTCAACTTGTTGGGACAGTCCTTTCATTATGGGATGCCACTGCGCTGGACGGAGCTGGCGGGCAAGAGGTCCCAGCGACTTTTATCAACGTCGCAGACGCGTCGATCAAAATGGTACCTGCATTGGAACTTCCAATCTCCGTGGAATTGGCCGAGCGCTAACTCTTCATCATAGATTGAAACGTTACCGATCAGAAATGGAGCGGCAGCACCGCTGAACAATGTTCTTAGTATCTCGTCCGCAGGGAAAAATCGATATCTGCTGCATTTCCGCTCATTCCATTCCATGTGCGAGTGGACTGCAGCAGTCCGTCTTGCCATGTTCGAACACACCTCTTTATATGAAGCATACACCGGCTCTCTCATTGCGGCCAAAGGAAAGCATCTTAATAGTATCCAATCAATCCTAGCCCCGGCAAAATTCCGACAAGAAGACTGGGCGCGGGTACGGTTTGGCGCAGGGACTCCGTGGAGACGATGCTGGTTTGTGATCAACCCTCCAGACGAGAAGCAGGTCGCGAAAGCTCGAAAAGCCTTGAAGAAATCAGCATACGATCGTCTATCCATTCCCGTCACGGGAAATATTCAGTTCTTCGAAACTCGGAAGACCAAAAAGGCAATCCCGATTGCAACATTGACCCATGTATATTCGGCATATGCAATCTACCCACAATCGAAGGCTTTGATCGACCAATCCAGTCTGGTCAAATTAGAAGGCCGGATCACGATACACGAGCAGAATCAATCCACCACGGAGGGTTTTGTGTATGTCATGCCCGAGTTGCATGCGGCGATTTCTGGATTTGAAATGATGTTGCGATTCCTTTTCCCGACATTCGATACCTTCAACCTCTATGGCCGGCCGACTCGTCTCGTAGCAGACACCAATCATATTAAAAGCATCATGTTTGCTTTCCCTCAAGAGCGTCGATTTGGATATTTGGATCTCATGGATATCACCAGCCTTCTTCAGACTCCAGGGAGCCAAGGTTGGAGTGAAGCCGAGTGGAGGCGACAGCTGAAAGAAGCGACCCAGAAGAGAGCTTCAACGGGCCGAAGCAGGACTAATAGCGTCAACAGCGCTCGGCCACGGTACCGCTCAAGTATATCTGGAAACCACTTCACCCCAGCCGAGTCTCCACGTCGACCTTTCCCAGCAGAGAGCAAGTCCGAGTTCAGCAATACAGAAGCAGTAATACGCGAGGTTCCTAGAGCTGAGCCTCCTGCCTATCATAATCGCGGGATGTCAGACATTACAGGAATGCAGACAGGGCCTAGGCCTGGCTATTCATCTCTGGACTCAAACTCACCTGACTCTTCCGCCCAGGATTTGGTGCAACGTGACAGACAAGCTGCTTTGGCAGCTCCTATCATGGAGCAATACAATTCTCAGATGGAGCGACACCCTGCCCTGGTCCATGAAGAGCAACTTCCACCGCGCACGCCACCTTCTCCTGTCGCGAGCCCACCTGCCTTCGCACACGGCCCTCGAGAGATGCCGCCAAACCGTCCTTACGCAACTACGGCGCAGCGATTAGCCAATAATCGCATGTCCAATGCGACATTAGCGCAGTTAACATCCGTTGGTCGGACAGGTGGAACAGCGTTGGCTTCACAGGACTCCTCGTCCCCAGCCAGCGATCAGCAGTCCCAAGACCAGGAATCCCAGGCACCATCTCCCGCCCCTGCTGTGCAATTTGCAGAGCCCACAAGCTCGCCGAACCCGCAGCTCACCCATCAGTCCAGTGACGAAGCATTCCGTTTTGCTGTCGCGATGCGAGCTTCGCTCAGTATGGACGATCGGCCTGCAACGTCCAGCACCACGGGGTCCTCGTCACCGCAACGCAAGTTTCCACTTGACTCGTCCAAGTCTTTGAAACGGAAACCACTTCCTCAAAGACAGATACCCAATGGAGAGCCCCTGTCTCCCGGAGAACCCAGTCTGGATGACCTTCGGCACACTCTGGACGAAGATGCACTCAATCGCATTGCCCCTCACCTTTCATCTCCTGTGACTCCGACTGGAAACCAGGCAATGGAGGAAGAGAGCGTTTACGATGATGCTGCTTCTACAGTTTCGCCCGATTACGCAAGCACTCATGGCTCGATATACAGTAAGAAGTCTCAAAAATCAACCAAACCGCGAATGGGTGTCATGAAGACCGTGGGAGAACCTGCCAAACGCGATTTCGTCATTGGAGATGCTCACTACTCAACCGAGAAGCCCAAAGAAGCCAACCCGGATATTCCTTCTGTTGATTTCGGACCCACAATGACTTACATGCCTACCACTGGACGCCCAAGTACAGGCGACGCCTTACGCAGGGAGTCTCACCAGAGAAAGGATTCAGAAGCTGAAAGATACAGGCTTTCGGTGCCCTCGAACACCATGGACATTGGACATTACCGGTCCCCCGGCCAGGAGGAACACAGACGGAGTATGCTCTGGCAGCCTGGAATGGCTTCCAACCGTCCTACCACCCCTGGCGGAGGTCTCACCCCGGAGCAGTATGTCCAGCAACGCGCAGCGCCTAGTCCCCCGGTGCACATGCACACTCGATCTCCATCTAACAACACCCCACCACCACAGCGTCCAATTTCGGGAGATTGGACACAGTACACCCGCCCTGGCTCCCGCATGACTAGCCAGGAGCTCAACTACCGGCCCTCTTCGCGGGGCACAAGCCCAATGCTCAACTACGACATTTCGAATCATCTGTCGGCCCGAGAACAAGAACACGTTGCACGAGTGACCAATTCTCCGTTTTTCAATATGTCACAAGACAATCGCCGACCACAAGTTCCTGTTAATCCCGGAGGCCTGGTGTCAACCATCGATACCCGCGAACGAGAGAGGCGTGAGATGAGAGAGGGATTTTCCAACCAGATGGTCCAGAGTGCGATCAATCAACGCCAGCATCACATGAGTAACCAGCAAGCCGATGCCCGTTATTATGGCTCAATGTATCCAGCTCAGTCTTTGGCCCAGCATCAACCACAATCTCGTCCAAACGCTATGTACAATATGGCTGGCGCAAATCGCACATGGGATGCTGTTCACCAAATGAACCGACCTGAAGAACCTCGCCGTCAGTCTTGGTACGGTCAGCTTGGTCCGACACAACATATCCCGACAAACTACCAACATAGCCAAACCTATGCTCAACACGGAGTATACCCCGGCAACCCCAACGTCATGCATCACTAGCATACCTCCTTCGCTATATTTTCCTTCCTACTCCTATCTTCCTTCCCTTGGTCTCTTTTTTCCGGTAATCACTTTTCGTCGCATATGCATGGTTCCTTTTAGATCTAGACCCCCACAGTGGGCTTAAAAGTCCCTCTCCCCATTCAATTCGGCATTTTATTCGCTCATCTTGCATTGCGCATCAACTGGAGTTACAGATCGGCCTGGCGCAATGGATAGCTTTACAATCATTCCAGGGTTGCTATTGAATCATTCATTTTGTCTGTATGTAGATCAATTGTGTCTTGTCAAAATGTACAGAATGTGTTGATCATTTTTTCAGTACTGGGAAGAGCAGTACCCTCCACTACCACGATCTAACAAACCAATCCTCTTCAAGGAGTTTTCAGCCAGTAGCTCAGCCTGTCGAATCCCCATGGAAGTGCTCATGCGACGCAGTTCAGAGATAGCAAAAAGACGCAGTGCAGGCGTATTCAATACCTCAATCGAGATAACGTAAAGTGGTTGGACGAGCGAGAAGCTACCTACGGATTCATCAACCAACAAACACCCAGTATTAGTAAAGTAGAGCCACAGTGACAAGACATACGAGGAGAATCCATTAAATACTCAATTGACGAGCAAATATCTTCCGAAAACTGACGAATTACCGAATTCGCAGTAACGGATACAACCCCAGGACCAGATAAAAGCTCATTCCTCTGGATAATCTGATTAATAGATATCCTCTGAATGCGCCAGCTATTCCACGCCTCCGCTATCCTGTGGTTAGCATAGATATGAGATTTGCCGTCAAGACAGGTTTTGATATTTCGATTCCCCTTGTTTTGTATTATCGTATATCGCCATCCTGGCGGGACGCCTTGTCTCCACACTTCAAGGTCATGATCAATTTCGAGTGCCACGCTGCGAACCCGTGGCTGCGTGATATAGCCACTTTTAATTGCTGCGTGCAGATTTACCAACCGGAAAGCGATTTCGGTCAGAGAGCCTGGGTGGGAGGATCTACTTGACCATAAAGCACTCATGTGGAAGTTGTATGTCGCTTGAACGAGAGCTGGTGGAACGGCGAGACCATGATGTAGACACATTGGGAGCTGTATCGGATTAGCTCGGTTTAGTATGTCGTCTCTGACCACGGGGGTGGTTGAGACATACCATCCTCGTACACACTTGTCCAAGCAAGTGACCCCCACGCTCATGGGTAAATTGTTTCTGGCCCCGTGATTCGAGGAGAGCAATGGCTCCTTCGATGTGCGTGAGGGACATGGATTTCAATGGTAGTGGGCACTGGTCTTCCCACGTCTGAAAAGTGACGATCTATACAATAGTAAGTAACGTAGAATTGGCGGATAAATCTGACACCCATACCTCATAAAGAGCAAGCAATATCACAGCCGTGAGGGTAGTATCCGACGTAGCATGAATCGGGTCATCGAATAGCCTCTGCAAAACAGATATAGCCTGAGAATATAATTTCTGAGATTCCACTGCCTTCCCGTGAGACGGCGAAATATTAAAGAGACCTGCGATTCCAACCGCCTGGATAATAGCTTGCAGTGCATTATTGGAGTCCTCGGAGGAGTAAATCTCACTAAGCCAATCATAGAAGTTCCTTGAAACAACTGTTTCTCTAGGAAGGTACTTTGTGAAAAAGAAACTAGCGCCGAGGTGCTTTATAGAGAGTGAAGGCGGGGCCGAGATGGATGGAATGCAATTAGCAGGTAATTCCAATGCCCTTGTATGAGCAGCAGGAACATTAAGAAGGCAATATTTCCGGCGAACTTTGCGGATGATTCTCTCCGATTCATCGCGGAATAAGACCTCGTTTAAGTTGCGGTAGCCTGGACATTTCACGGCCGAATTCTCGCATTTCACACAGTCTGGTTTCCGCTGATCACACTAGACACCAGGTTAATCTTGTGCTTGGGATTAGGTGAAAGGTTCTCATGCCTTGACTTTTCGCTGGCGACAGCGCTGACAGCCCAGGCTAACCTTGCCGTAATAGACCATGACGACGTAACGGACCGGAGTTCCCGTGGCTACATCCGGCTCTTGTAGAGGAGGAGAGGAGGAGCCAAAGGACCAGTTTATGAGTCTACTGAGTGAATCAAGGAGAGCGTCCACGGATTCTTGTGAATGCCGTACTTGCTCGGGATTCGGGATTCGCAGTCGTGGCCCCAAATAGGTTTGGCGCGGGTGGATCCCATGAAGCTTAATTGGTCGGTTGATACGAGGTTTATTTTCGTCTATACTTCGTATCAGGCTATAAAGGTGGTGTTTTCCTCTGGAATTGATTCTGTATCCAACTCATCAGACTACCTTTCCTTACTCATCAGACTCTGCCCATCATGTCCACCAAGGCCCCCTTCACCCAGGAGAAGACGTTTAGCTCCTACAACCAAGCCCAAGGGGAGGCCTACGCCAATCTCCGCCCGAAATACCATCCCAGTATATACCAAATGATCATAGACCACCACACTTCCACTGGTGGCCACTTCGATGTCCTCCTCGATGTTGGTTGTGGACCTGGAATGGCCACTCACGCACTAGCCCCGAGGTTCTCTCATGTCCTCGGCCTCGATCCTTCCGAAGGCATGATAGCAGCCGCCCGAGCACACAACGAGAGGACCCCCACAACGAACGTGCGCTTCGAAGTTTCGACCGCCGAAGATCTAGGCTCAAACCTGTCTCCGCCAGTCCAAGACACCAGCGTGGACCTCATCATCTCCGCAAACGCAGCCCACTGGTTCAACATCCCAGCCTTCTGGTCTGCTGCTGCCCGAGTCCTCAAGCCGAGCGGTACAGTCGCACTATGGGCACCCTGTGGCCCAGCCATACACCCCTCCACCCCGAATGCATCGGCCATCCAAGCGGCAATTCAAAAGATCCAAGAAGAGTATCTCGCTCCATTCTATGAGCCGGGCAATCTCTTGACTCAAAATCGGTATGCCGAGTTTCCTCTCCCGTGGGACATGGACGAGCCAGTTACTGCGTTTGACAAGGAATCCTTCTTTCGTCGAGAATGGGGTGTTGATGAGGAGTTTTTTGATAGAGAGCCTGTTCTGAGCTTGGATCAGGTGGAAAAGATTATGGGTGTGGGGAGTCCGGTTACGCGCTGGCGGGAGGCCAATCCTGGTGCCGTAGGTACGGAAGAGGATGTCGTTAGGGTGTGTCGCAGGACAGTGGAGAAACTCCTGCATGAGGCGGGTGTGGAAGAAGGGAGGGAAGTCATTAGAGGGGGCTCTATGGGGGTGTTGTTGATTGTGAAGCACAAGGGTTGTGAGTAGTTCTCTCCGAGGTAGGTTTTACCTGATGTGTATCTAGGACTCTACCTATGAACGATTAGAAGTATTCTTTCCTGTCATTATCTCACTACTTGGTATCTTCCACAGACTTTTCATCAGAGCAAAAGAAAAACACAAAGAAAAAAGAACGTATGATCCAGTGGTTTGTGATAGGAAAGCGGGATATTCCAGTATGAACCCCCTCCTCTTTTCGGACGCCTATCCTTTTCTTCCTCTTATTCCTTCTGCCCTCGATCTCCAGTATGGAAAAGAACGACGGCTACAATGGATCGTCCCAACCCTAAATCAATGTGAAAAGCGGAAATGGGCAATGGAGCGAATCACGTAGCATCTTAGATGATCATTGCTTATTCCACTACTGTTGCATAGTAAAAGCTTTCAAGAATATTTGTTCTTTCAAATTTGAGATGAATTGTCGCATTGCTCTAGGCAAGTAATGGGATGGTAGAATAGCCCGTGTTGGTAGCGTTCCAAAGGTTGGACATCGGAAGAACCACTTTGCTAATGACGAGCTGTTGAATTCAACTGAAACCTGGCGCGGCTCCTGTCTGGGTGGCATATGCGATGGGCAATTTCGTGTTAGACACTTTGAGCGAATCAAATACCAAGATGTGATGAATCTTATACCTGACACATATTTCCCAAAAGAAGGTTCTCCAACAGGTAGTCTCGATGGGGCAATGCATTTGGAGTACAAAGGGAACCTTGGAACTCGAGGCTCTTGAGGTCTGCGAGATCATGCTCTCGGGTATGCTTGTATCGAAATGCTGCCCAGACGTATACTTGCATATGAATTTATAGAGGTTCTCAAATGCTGCTTTGATCAAACTGCTTCCCAGGGTTCATTTTCATGGTTGACACCATCATAATTATTTGGGAACGGTCAATTGGCTATGCGAGCGCTCTAAAAAGCATTGAAAGTACTCCAGGTAGATGGTGAAAATGATTGAAACTCTCATAAGACTAATGATCTGCTTTCTAAATTGTATGTTAACATTTGACGGTGCAGTCACTACAAAGCTCTATACAGTTAGAATTGCGGTGGGTAAAACGCCAAGCTGGCCACCCCCCGAGAGATGCGGCCCGCGCCAACTTCCTGCGAACCTCCCTCGAATGCGCCTTGCACATTGCCCCCCTTTGGCTGCGGGATGACATTGATGAACTAATGGGATGACTGCAATTACTATTCCGACCGGCCAAATGCCGCCAGATGAGGAGCCCCTCGACGCCTTGGATGCAGGTATGGGGAACCAACCATGCTCCCCAAAACACTCACTGACTCCAGATCTCCCCAGTGGATTACGACCCGATTGACCACCTGAATGCCATCTTTTCACATCCCTCCACCCTCGCTTCAGTCTCGCAGATCTCCGACGGCCTCCACTCCTACGAAGATGAATTGGACAACGATATCGGCACGCTGGTGGAGGAGCAGGTCACCTCCAATGCGGAGAGCGTGGAACGTATCCAGACCGCGAAGTCCGACTTGTCGGAGCTGTTCAAGAAGATCGACGACGTGCGCGAGCGCGCGATGAAGACGGAACAGGCCATCACCGATATGACCGCCGACATCAAGCAATTGGACAACGCGAAGAAGAACTTGACCTTGTCAATGACGGCGCTCAAGCGACTGCAGATGCTGACTACTGCCTACGATCAGCTCATGGCCCTCAGCCGGACACGACAATACCGCGATTGTGCGCAGCTGCTTCAGGCGGTGATCCAGCTCATGGCCCATTTCAAGTCTTACCGATCGATTGACCAGATTGCGATACTGAGTAGGAATGTGGCGGATATTCAGCGGGATCTTTTGGAACAGGTCTGTGAGGACTTTGAAATCACCTTTACGAAGGGCGAGGTCGCTCAGAAGCGGGGCATGCTCTCGGAGGCTTGTCTGGTTATTGATGCGTTGGGCGAGCATGCGCGGTCTCGGTTGGTCACCTGGTACTGCAATACTCAGCTTCGAGAGTACCGTCAGATCTTCCGAAACAATGAAGAGGCTGGATCTTTGGACAACATTTCTCGACGATACGCTTGGTTTCGACGCATTTTGAAGACCTACGACGAAGAGAACGCTACTATCTTCCCCGCTGCGTGGCGTGTCAATGAAATCCTGGCCAACGTCTTCTGTGAAGGCACTCGCGATGACTACAAAGGCATTTTGTCTCGTTCGGTTCGCAGCGGTCAAAATATCGATGTCAACATGTTGCTCTCTTGTTTGCAGGAAACACTGGAATTCGAACATTCTCTCGAGCGCCGCTTTGCTCCTCCGTCACGCCCATCCACCGATACCTTTGCTTCAACAGAGAACCCTATCTTCGGCCAGTCCATCTCCGAAGCCTTTGAGCCATATTTGAGTGTCTGGGTGGAAGCACAGGACAAGCAGCTGGCTGCCCTCCTGCCCAAATACCGCCAACAACCGCTCAGACCGCCGGACGATGAATTCAATTCACACATTGTAATCTCCTCATCGACCGAGCTCTTTACTTTCTACCGGCATGCTCTGCAGCAATGCTCTAAGCTCTCCACAGGGCCAAGTCTTGCGGAGCTGGCCAAGGTATTTGCGAAATACCTAGATCAATATGCACAGCAGGTTCTCCTTGCCTATATTAGTGAACGCCCTACTGGTCACACTCCGTCTAAAGTACCCTCGATTGAAGATCTGGTGTCTGTCCTCAATACCGCTGATTACTGCTACACCACTTGTAATCAACTGGAAGAGAAGATCAAAGGTCGGCTGGATGAGAACCTCAAGCAGTCGGTGGATCTACAAAGTCAAGCAGATTCTTTCATGGGCATTGCTTCTGCGGCTGTGCGAGGACTGGTCCGCCAGGTGGAGGTCGAATTGGAGCCATCCTGGCGCGAAATGCGCAACACACCCTGGAGTAAGATCGAGGCCGTCAGTGACCAGAGTCCCTATGTGGGCGAATTACTCTCTCGAACCAAAGACAAGGCAGCCGAAATTTTACAATTGCTGCACAAGCAGCAATATGCACGAGCTTTCTCCGATCACCTGGTTGAATTGATGTCAAGCTTGTTCATTACCAACGTCTTCCAATGCAGACCGGTTGCAGAAACTGGCGCTGAACAGGTGAATTTGCCCAGCATTCCCATTTTCATTTCCTCGATTCTAACGTTCATCAGATGCTTCTCGACTCCTTCACCCTTAAGAGTGGCCTTACATCCCTCCTCCCCGCCCCAGCCCCAGCAGGCTTTGTCAAGCGAGTGAACGCCAGCTTCTACAAAATCGAAACGCTCCTCAAAACCCTTCAAGTCCGACCATCCCCACCCGAGGCCCTCGTACAAGCATACCTCATTCACATCGCGGATCGCAACAACAACAATTTCCGCAAAATTCTCGATATAAAGGGTATCCGCAGCCGCCAAGAACAAAACCATCTCGTGGAGCTATTCCAGCTCCATCGTGCGTCAGACCGCTACGCGGCTAATCTCCAACAAAGCAACCCTATGCTTAATGCCCTCCAAACCCCGGCTGCCACCACATCAACTGGCTCCGTATCCCAGGGTCTGGGGTTGGGTAGCAGCACCCCATCAATGCCATCCCGCTTCGACGCCTCGATGCTCGGCTCGGCCATCATCTCCGCCGCTAAAGATGGCGTTGATCGCTTCGGGAATCCCAGCTTGGCTTCCGGCGTTGCTGGTATTACTGGGTCAACATCCACAGGGGCGGTGGGTACATCTGGTACCTCGTCGCCTGCACCAGGTAGCTCAGGACAACAAGCCAGCCATTTACAGAATCCGTCTGAAACTAGTGCTGCGAACAATCTCAATGAGAATCTCAAGAATATTGGGAAGTTCTTCCGTCGTGACCTTGGTGGCTTTGGGGGTCGGTTTGGGCGTGGTGCCGATGAGTGATGTGTGGGATGTCGATGTTGAATATACCTGAGCGTCTGTCCATAATCATACTTGTTTTGAGCTGGATACCATGAATAGATTCTTGAGTAAGTGTATGGAAGAGGTTTATCGGCTGGTACTTTGGTAGGAGACTGAAAGTATTCCAAACTGTATCGTAGCCAGCAAGCATGGATATCCATCCGCATTACCAACACCTGCTGGTACAAGGGAATTGGTCTGAGAGATTGATATTGCCATACTGGGTGGATATGTAACCGGCATGAAGCGGTACCAGAAAAGATAAAAGGCAATGCCAGCATGCGTAGGCATACAGGTCGACTCATCTCTCAATCTGTCACCTGAGTACAGCCTTGATTGCGTACTGACAAATAGTCACTGTAGACCCAATATACCCGGACGAGACCACTTGGCCTGTCAAGGCGTGGGAGCAGGGCAACTGACAGCGAGGACTTTTACAGGACGGAATTCAAAGCAAGAGACGAAGGGAGACTTGATTGAATGGTGCTTCACTAGTGTACTACGCAAGGCTTACCCGACACCAGGTCAAGAGAATTAACTGTATTTCGGCTTTCATGTTAGCACGCCAAACCCTTGGCCAAGCGCTCGGGTTAGACGACGATGTCCATGCGACCAAATGGAAAGCGCCCTTAACTTTGTTGTCACGCATGTGACATGGTTCAAGGCATTCGTTCCATGGCAAAGACACAGGGACATTTTGACTATCCGTCGACAGGCCCAAGCTAAGGAAAACGTGCGCAGGGCCCTCATCTACGCATTAATCTACGAGGACTATGTCAAGTCTGGGAGGATCTGTAAACTTTTTTTTAGGTTAGCAATTGCTTCGAAAACATAATCAAAGAGTGAAGTAGAAGACAAAAGCAGATTGGGTAATGGCGTCAGCAAAAAATTAGAGTGTTGTTGTTGCGTTTTTAATCGTCAGCGCGGTCGCGGAGACCGTTTGCTCGGGGTTAAAAATGTTTAATCATCCGCCAGGATTGATTGGAAAGTAGAAAAGAAAACGAAAACAGGGGAAACGAATCATGGAGAAAAGGTTCAAACTCACTCTTTGATGTCAGAACAAGTAATGGATCGTAGTTCTACGTCCATTACGATCTGAAAAAAAGGCAAGACAAGTGTCTCGTAGCCATCATAGTCATTTTCATTCCCCATCCGTTTCAGGACTGGGTCAAGTAGAACAATCTAATACATGGCGATCGTAGCCTTTCGAGGAAAAGGCGCTTAGTCGAAGAGACCAAGACCCATGTCGTCATCGGACTCCTCCTCCTCCTCAGCGGCGGCCTCCTTGGCGGGAGCATCACCACCGGAGGTGGCAGCAGCGGCAACGGGAGCAGCGGAGGCGTAAGCATCGGGGTTAGCGATGCGGTCCTTGAGCTCCTCAATACCCTCCCAGCTGTAGTCGGTGGAGATAGCGACAGACAGAACCTTCTTGTAGGCGTTGATGAGGGAGTGCATGGTAGCAGGGACGGTGGGGAAGTTGGCAGCCAGAGAGATGGCGGTGACGGTCTGAATGGCCTGGGAGAAGGACTTCAGGAGAGTCTCGTCATCAATGTCGAGGACATCGGCGCTGAAGACCTGGCCGGCATCGTACACCTGGGTAATGGTCATACCGTAGGTGAAGGGAGAGATGTTCAGCAAGTTCAGCAGGGAGGCCTCGGAGGCACCGACCTTGTTGCCACCCTCAATGAGCTTGAGGTCGGAAACAATCTCGATGGTACCACGAGCAATCTTGGTGGGGACACCAAGAGCCTGGAAGAACGAGGTCTTACCGGGCTCCATACCAGTGTTACCGGCAGGGACCCAGACGTCGTTGGGGGCGACAGCACCGGCACGAGCGGGAGCAGCGACACGGTTAGCAAGGATCTTCTCCTTGATAGCCTTCATGTCACCGTTGGTGAAGATGAAACCAACGTTGCCTGAAAATATCCCATATCAGTAATTGAACCTTGCAAATCATTTCTTCCAGTGATTTAAACTTACCGCGGACGAAGGGCAGCAGACGCTCGTACTCGGGGTTCTCAGCGACGAAACCCTTAAGGGCACGGCGAACCATGGTGTTCTTTCCCATCAGGACGACACCCTCACCACGCAGCGAGATACGGATCTCGTGCATCTGCTGGGAAGCGACATTGTCGATACCAACAATGAAGGCGGTCTTGTAGGTGTCAAGCTATAACGATTGAAAAATTAGCATCGTGATTCGGGAAAGTAGCCGCATAAGCGAGAAAAGAGATACATACAAGGGCCTTGAGCTTATCGAAGTAAGCGGCCTTGGAATCGGATCTGCCCCCCATTTCTTCTTTTACGTCTCTGAAGAGAGGTTATTTAAGGGCAAATGGTTGTTGTTGAGGTTGGTTAAGAGAGAAGAAAACTTCCGATTTCCAATTTCTTTTTTCGGTGCGTTCGCTAGTGGGTCACGTGGTATATAAAGTGGGTCACCGCCTTGGAGCGAACGTGATACACGAGAATAGGCATTGGGGACGCAAAACACAATTTATAGATGATTTGTTGCTTTTGAAAGCTGCTTTGTGGTAGATATCTTAAGCTCCTCTGTATTTTGAGTAGCGTAGCTTTGATGCGACAGAGTGGTGGTGATTTTGCTATTTTCACCTAGTTGACCCGCGCATATCTACTATCCGTCCGCCCTGTCAAAATTTTGCCTTGGGATCATACAAGAAATATAGCTCCCTGCACTGCGCCATGGCTAGCTTACAACACCCATTTCAGTGCTTGCAATATGCCAAGCGCAACTCACAGGGCCTGTCAAATTTGCTGATTGCTGCTGCGGGGCGTCATCTCTACACTTACGATGCCACCAGTGGTCAGCGCCTGGACGTCTGGCCTCAAGATGTAGGATCGGCTGTGGAGCCTGCTTCTGATGCAGCGCCCACTACAGAGGGCGACGCACCCCCTGAAAAAAGAAGAAAGCTATCTCCTGCTTCTGAGGGCCAGCAGGGGCAGAAGCCCTCTGACAAGAAGCCTCTAACGGGTACCACCATACCCCTCTTGGTGACTTCTCCCGATGGCAAATACGTAATTGCTACGACTGGGGACGGCAAGACAATCCAGGTCTTCGAACTGAGTGATGATGGGAAATTCAAGGAATTAAGCTCCCGGTGAGTGCCTTTTGAGTTGCTCTCCGGCCTGCAAATACTAATATATACAAAGAATGATGCCAAAGCGACCGAGTGCTCTGGCCTTGACTCCTGATGGTCAAACAATCCTTTGTGGCGACAAATTTGGTGATGTCTACTCACTGCCACTGATCCCCGGCGAGTATGTGAGGAGGATCGTGGAGCAACCCGCCATCCCGTCTGCCACCTCACTCACTGTCCACACCAAAGGTAATTTGCGAACCCTGGAGATGCAGAGACTTCAGGCAGAGAAGAAAGCCCAGACTGCGAAGCAAGAAACCGCCGCGCTCAACTTCGAGCACCACAACATCATTGGCCACGTTTCAGTGCTCTCGGACCTGATCTCTGTATCTGTGTCTGGGCGGAACTATATCCTGACTGGAGACCGTGATGAGCATATTCGTGTGTCTCGTGGTATTCCACAGGCGCATGTGATTGAGCAATTCTGTCTGGGCCATACTTCCCTCGTTAGCAAGCTCTGTGTCCCCTCCTGGGCACCTCACCTTCTCGTGTCCGGTGACACTGATGGTAACTTATTTTTGTGGGACTGGAGGAATGCAGAGATTCACCATAACATCTCGATTGAGGAAACTTTGCAATCGGAAGCTATGGTGCGCGGTATTTGGGATGTTTCCCTTGAGCAGTCAGGTGCTTCAGGCCCAGTAAACGTAATTCTGGTCAGCTTGGAAGGGTATGTGTTACAGCGTGCATAATATCAAACTTGATCTAACATATGAAACAGATCTTCGCAGGTTCTCTGCTACACAATCGAGGACAATGCTCTCCGGGCCCAGGATACCATTCAGGTTTCTGGAAACGTCCTCGGTTTAGTTGGAATCGATTCACGGGGAACGGTTATCGTATCCGTGGATACTGTCCGCGAACCTGGTTCAACTGACATCTGGAAGCCTAGTTCTGGGGCCCTTCTCGAGTCATTCCAGGTTAGCCTCGGTCCTGACGGCCTGAACTGTGCTCTGACTGAAGATACAATGGTGGTCAGCATCAACTCGGTCGGTACCAGTGATCTTCCCACTGGATTGAACGAGAAACAACAGAAAGAGTTTAATGATTCCCTGTACAATCTGGGAAACATGAAGAAGAAACACTATGAAGAGTAAAAGAGTGGGTGAATTGTATAGATGAACGCCCAACTTTTTGAACATTGAATAAAAGTCAAACAAATTGCTTCAAATAATGGAAAGCCGAAACTGAATATCTAATTTAATTCACAAAATGTGTTTGACTTTCATTCAATATTTCATGATAGCCTGGATTGTTGAAATTTGTGCCAAGTCTTGATCTCCGAGCAGCGCCGCGTGATACTGTAGCTCGGGAGTCCCTCAAGGTTCTCGGCGGCCCCGCGGTTCCCGAAGAATCCCACTTCCCTCCTCCAGCCTGCAATCAACCATCACCATGCAGGAACAATTTGAGCCTCTGAAGAATGATCTGTTGCTGAGGGCTGCTCGCGGTATTTCAGACTTCCGTCCATAATTTTCGACAGAGTACTAATAATCGCAGGCGAGAAGGTTGAGCGTCCTCCGATCTGGGTGATGCGACAGGGTGAGTTGAACACCGCCTTCGCCCTTGCAATACTCCTTTAGCAACTGTCCTCTGACTGTAACTTTCGTTAATAGCCGGTCGCTATCTCCCTGAGTACCACGAAGCCAAGGGTGGCCGTGATTTCTTCGAATGCTGCCGCTCGCCTGAAATTGCATCCACGTTGACCCTCCAGCCCATTGACCGCTATGATGGCCTCGTCGATGCGGCCATCATCTTCTCCGACATCCTGGTCATTCCCCAGGCCATGGGTATGACAGTGGAAATGATTGATAAGAAGGGCCCGCACTTCCCCGAGCCCCTTCAATCGCCGGACGATGGACAGTACGAAAAGGTGATGGCGAAGAAGGTCGACGTCAAGGCGGAGCTGGACTACGTCTACAAGGCAATTTCGCTCACACGCTTCAAGCTCAAGGGCCGTGTTCCGCTCATCGGTTTCTGCGGTGCGCCGTGGACCCTGCTGTGCTACATGGTCGAGGGCGGTGGCAGCAAGCTCTTCGTCCAGTCCAAGAAGTGGGTCTACAAGTACCCGAAGGAGTCCCAGGCATTGCTACAGAAGATCGCCGAGATCTGTGTGGAGTACCTGGCGCTCCAGGTTGCGGCTGGTGCGCAGATGATCCAAGTCTTTGACTCATGGGCTGGTGAACTTTCGCCTGCTACTTTCGCCTCGCACTCACTTCCTTATCTGCGTCACATCTCCGCTAACCTGCCCAAGCGCCTGCAGGAGATGGGCCTGGAGCCCGTCCCTATGACTGTCTTTGCCAAGGGCGCCTGGTACGCGCTGGATGACCTTTGCAACTCTGGCTACAATGTTGTGGGTCTGGATTGGCTGCACGACCCTGCTGAGGCTATGCGCATTGCCAACGGCCGGGTCACTATTCAGGGTAATGCTGACCCCGGTATGCTCTACGGCGGACCCTCTGCTATCACTCCTACTGTGGAGAAGATGGTCGAAGGATTCAAGAAGGGCAAGCAGGGTTGGATCTGCAACCTCGGACACGGTATGTGAAGAATCCATTGTATCCCAAGCCATAATACTAATCACGATTCGAATAGGTGTCACTCCCTTCGTTGACCCCGAGAATCTCAAGTTCTTCTTTGAGGAGATTCACCGTCTTTGCAAATAAAAAAAATCGCATAATCCCCAGTGGCTTTTTATCCATTTCCACGGGCATCTAAAATTTCATGATATATCAGAATATCCCCTGTTCAATTGCAATATGGGAATGATCTTGTTGGATTAATGAGAGATTCCAGATCCTTTTTGGGCTACTTATATGCAACTTCTAAAATCTTAGACGGCAATATCCTCGTTCCTGCACAGCAGACAGTCAGCATGACTCATGAAAACAATATTCACAGACACTTACCAGAGCTCCGGCTTCTCCTTCATAAATGTGGACATCAAAGTCTTGCACTCATGGTTATCCAACACAATGACCTCCTTGCCACGACTGCGCAGGAGCTCCTCGCCACCCATGAAGTTAATGTTCTCGCCAATGACAACGCGGTTGATCTTGTAGAGCAGACATGCCCCGGTGCACATGTCGCAGGGAGACAAGGTGGTGTACATAGTGGCACCCTCGTAGGCGGATGCGGGGAGACGGCCGGAATTCTCAAGCGCGGACATCTCGGCCTAGAGGAGTTCATCAGTCAGCATTGGGAAAAAGGGGTTCTTTCATATCGCAGGGTACTCACATGCAGGACGGGGCTTCCTTTCTGCACCCGCATATTATGACCGCGGCCCAGGATCTTGCCATCCTTGGAGACTAGGGCAGCACCAATCGGGACACCGCCCTCTGCTGCTCCAATAGTCGCCTCCTCCACAGCAGCAATGAATCCAGGATCCTGTTCCATTTTGAAGATGTTGCCCCGAGCACAGCACAGAATTCAACAGTATGTATGTAAATGGAGAGGGAGAACTGAGAATTAGCAGAACAATGGCTTATCTCTCTATCTCATTTTCCTTTGCGGCGAGTCCCGCATGCCGGCTAAGGTGGACCGGCAGAACTTTCCCCTCCTGCTTATCGATAAGGGATTGTGGCTTATAAAGTGTGGCGGGGATGACATGAAAATGAAAATTCAACACCGATGTTTCTTCTGAACCAGTAAACTTTCTCTGAATCAAAGTTTACTGTACATTACTGATTTTGCCATCGAAACCTTTTCTTTAACCTTGGAACCCGCTACAGAATCTTCAACGATAATTCGCCTTCGCTCTTTTCCTTTGTTAAGCAAGGCGACCCATGGCCTTTCATTTTGAACTGCCTTACTCAGCGGTATTTTACAGTCGTGAAACAGCGGAAGCGCATAGAAAGCCAGAGAAGCACATCGAAGTCCGCAGAATCCCGTCGACTCAACGCTCGGGCCTGAATTTTTCAAAATGAACATAGAAACTGCCAGAAGAGAGCAGGCATCAATGAGAATAGAAAACTGGAGGTTTCCAAAAAATTAGTTGATAATATAGACCGTAAATCTCCGTCAAAGTTACTACGGCTCGAGACCTTTTTGCCCTGGTAATCTATTGGTTATTTTACGATCGCCGTACAGTACCTGAAAAAGTTACTCAGCCAAGTTCGGGCTCCTGATTTCTTATCCTACGATATTCAATCTTCCTTTGATCAATCTCTCCATCCCCTCCTTCTCCCCCCACATCTGCAACATCTGTGTTGAGTTGTGTCATCTCACTTGGGTCATTTTCCTGGTTTTCTTGATCCCGACACGTCCTTGATCCCTCTTCTCTCTTTCGCTTAATATTTCTTAACAATGGTTCATGATACCAAGCTTTATGATTGCCTGGGGGTATGTCGGATAACACCGTTGCTTGATTAATTCATTCGAAAACTAACCGGGTGTTTTTTCATTTTGATAGGTTGCCCCTACGGCCACTGAGGCTCAACTGAAGACCGCTTATAAGAAGGGCGCTCTGAAGTTCCACCCTGGTACGTGACTGGCCATCCGAAGACCGCGCCTGAAACCATTTAACTAACAGCGTCTTCTTTGTCTCATCTAGATAAGAACGCCGACAACCCGGAAGCCGCGGAGAAGTTCAAGGAGCTGTCCCACGCCTACGAGATTTTGTCCGACGCTGAGAAGCGTCAGGTCTACGACCAATATGGTGAGGAGGGTCTGGAGCACGGAGGTGGTGGCGGTGGTATGAACGCCGAGGATCTGTTCTCCCAGTTCTTCGGCGGCGGTGGTGGTTCCTTCGGCGGCATGTTCGGCGGTGGCATGCGTGACACTGGCCCAAAGAAGGCCCGCACAATCCACCACGTTCACAAGGTTAACCTGGAGGACATCTACAAGGGCAAGGTCTCGAAGCTGGCTCTGCAGAAGTCAGTTATTTGTGCTGGCTGTGATGGCCGTGGTGGCAAGGAAGGTGCCGTCAAGGAGTGCACTGGCTGCAACGGTTCCGGTATGAAGACCATGATGCGCCAGATGGGTCCCATGATCCAGCGCTTCCAGACTGTCTGCCCCGACTGTAATGGTGAGGGCGAGATCATCCGCGACAAGGACCGCTGCAAGCGCTGCAGTGGAAAGAAGACCATTGTTGAGCGCAAAGTGCTCCACGTCCACGTCGACAAGGGTGTCCGTGATGGCCACAAGATCGAATTCCGCGGTGAAGGTGACCAGATGCCTGGTGTCCTCCCTGGTGATGTGGTCTTTGAGATCGAGCAGAAGCCCCACTCCCGCTTCCAGCGCAAGGGTGATGACCTGTTCTACCAGGCCGAGATTGACCTGCTCACCGCGCTTGCCGGTGGCACTATCCACATTGAGCACCTTGACGACCGATGGATGACTGTCAACATTGCCGCTGGCGAGGTTATCGTCCCTGGTATGTTTTTCTCACGTTCCTAGCATTTCTGCGAGATGTGTTGCTGACTTTCTTTTTCTAGACGCCATCAAGGTTATCCCGGGCCAGGGTATGCCCTCTTTCCGCCACCACGATCACGGTAACTTGTACATCAAGTTCGACGTCAAGTTCCCCCAGAAGGATCAGCTCCAGAACCTCGAGCTCCTCGAGAAGGTTCTCCCTCCCCGTATCCAGCAGACCCAGCCCCCGGCCGATGCTATGGTTGAGGACTTCGAGATCGAGAGTATCGATGGCAGCGAGCCTTCCCAGGCCCGTGCCCACGGTGCCGCCATGGACGAGGATGATGAAGATGGAGTTCCCGGTGGTGCTGAGCGGGTGCAGTGCGCTTCGCAGTAAGCATAGGGCCATAAAACGCCGTGATTGGAAAGGCCACCAGGTCCTCTGATGAAACTTTGCTTATGATACCATGCGAAGGGGTTGAGGACAGGTAAATCCTTACCTGATCACGAGTTTTCCTTTCTTCTGATCATGTGGAATTGCTTTGACTCGTTTATTTTTCCCTTTTGCTTTGCGATGGCGTTTGCTCTGAAGACTTGGAAGATGCCATTTGCCCACCTGCATCTTCTCGGATTTATCCTTCCTCTCCCCCTTCTTTGTTTCGTGTGTAATCCTTACCTCTCCATTTGCACTTAACCTTGACTCCATTCATCCGTTATACTATTTTCCCCTTTCCTTTTGATTCCACGC